AACAACAAACCCAGTACGTGTCTACCTCGTTTACAAATGATGATTGTTATTGTTGCTATTATTGTTGTTGTTAAACGATGTAAAATCTAGAGCGCGTTCCCCCTCTCGCCGTGTGTTGTACTCGCGCTGAGGCCTACACGTTCGGGCCCTGAGGCTCGCCAGCAAAACTCGCCGGGGTTATCGATAAAAATACGATAACAAATCGATAGCAAATCGATAACAAATCGATAACAAATCGATCTCTAACGCGTGTTTGTCTCTGTGTGTTGCCAAGTTAGTGGGGAGCGGTGGTGCAGCGGTTAGCGCGCTGCGCTCACGGCCACCACCGGTAACGTTCCTGGGCCTCCTCCCCTAGGTCGACTCAGCCTTAAATGAGTACCTGGTGCTCTGTGTGGTCAACATCGTCACTGGGGGAGACAAAGGCGGCCGGGCGTGGTTGTGGTCCCCCCTCTGTGTGTGCCACAAGTGCCGGTAGCCTTCATAGCTTGCTACTCGCTAACACCACTTGCTCCTACAGCTTGTTACAGGCTACACGGGGGGGGTCTTTGCGTGTTTATTTTACGTCTTTGTTAACAAGTTTCATCGTTTGTCGCGGGTAATCATCGTTGTTGTTTTAGGTGACGCCTTTGCTGGCAATGTGGGGAGGAACGCGTTGCCTGTGGGCTCTCTCGCTCGCCCTCGACAAACACGAACGCGTGCGTGGCAATTGCTGCTGTTGTTGTTGTTTATTCGTTGTTGTTGTTGTTGTAAGTGGTACACATTGTGTACAGATCGATTCAAATGTGGAAGTGCTCTGGGATGGGTGTGCGAATGACCGCGATGATGATGGTGGTGGTTGTTGTCGGATGTGCATTGCGTACACGGTAACAATGTGTCATGTTTCATTGGAACCTCATTTGCCAGTAAAAATATGATAATTGGTTTTTTACCCTTCTATCTGGCAACAAAACTGACACCTTATTACAAGGAGTCATGTTTTCATAGACCGCAATACCTGCAGTCATAATGCAAACAAAAAACACAACTCTGATAATGTATGCACTGTCCTTGAAGTTGATAAGGAAAGCTGTCTCGGGTGTGGACCAATCAACTTCAAGGATAGTGCACATTATCAGAGTTGTGTTTTTTGTTTGCATTATGACTGCAGGTATTGTGGTCTATGCAAACATGACTCCTTGTAATAAGGTGTCAGTTTTGTTGCCAGATAGAAGGGTAAAAAACCAATTATCAATGGGTCATGCTCATCGTTAGTTTACTATAAACGCGCTTCTGGGAGCAGGTAACAATTACTAAAACATTAAAATTAATAAAAGTAAAATAAAATAAAAATCACGACGTTTCGGAGGCAACACAAACGTCGTGATTTTTTATTTTTTTATTTTACTTTTATTAATTTTAATGTTTTACCTACGTGACTTTGCCGAAAACATCTAAGAATATGCATCCTTGCAGTCACGAAAGCTTCAAATATAGAAACAATTACTAACATTGTTTGTGGATTCATTAAGTACTTATACGTTGCTACAAACACGCCACATGCCAAACTATACGGCTTGTTAGGATAGGATAACGTTTCGGGCATTAGCCCTACTCCAGAGCAGGAAGTCGTTTATTCGCCTTTTGAAGAGTTTTGTTCAACTAAATCGGTGTCAACAAACGCGATTCGTTGTACGTAGTGCTCGCACAAACAATGGAAACGCTGTCTCGTACCTTTAAAACAATTGGGCTGATGTAAAAAACACAGAATGTGCACAGGACACACGATAGTAAGATATCACAACGTGGGAGCTACTCACGATTATTGTGACCAAGTGAGTTTATGTCGCCTGATGTGTTTCGAGTACAGATTTATCGTTGTGTTCTGTTATTAAGCCCTTCTTGGAGATGTTAACTACCTCGCCTGGTGTACAGGAGGTCGTGGGTTCGATCCTGACCCTGAAACCTGCTGCTGTATATTTGGAATTTGCGTCTCTCTCTCCGTGGTGAGATGTTAACTACCTCGCCTGGTACACAGGAGGTCGTGGGTTCGATCCTGACCCTGAAACCTGCTGCTCTATATTTGGAATTTGCGTCTCTCTCTCCGTGGTGAGATGTTAACTACCTCGCCTGGTATACAGGAGGTCGTGGGTTCAATCTCGACCCTGACGCCTGCTGCTGTATATTTGGAATTTGCGTCTTTCTCTCCGTGGTGAGATGTTAACTACCTCGTCTGCTATACAGGAGGTCGTGGGTTCGATCTCGACCCTGACGCCTGCTGCTGTATAATTGGAGTTTGCGTGTCTCTCTCTCTGTGGTGAGATGTTAACTACCTCGCCTGGTACACAGGAGGTCGTGGGTTCGATTTCGACCCTGACGCCTGCTGCTGTATATTTGGAGTTTGCGTGTCTCTCTCTCCGTGGTGAGATGTTAACTACCTTGCCTGGTATGCAGGAGGTCATGGTTTGACCCTGACCCTAATGCTTGCAGTCTAGTTTGAGTTTTCTCCGGGTCCTCCGGTTTCCCCTCCACATTTAGACTCAACATAACGCGTTTAGAGTATTAGGCCAGCAAGGAATGTTCACGTGAGAAGCCACTTCGTTGAGATATCAATTTTGGCCAGTTCGCTTCTGAAAAAATAGTTATTATAGCTCAGTGGGCCTTACCGGGTAAATAAAACAGTTTCATTTTTAGTTTTGTTATGAAGCATAGTTCGCGGATTTGAATTGGGCAATTTTTGTCTGAATATTGTGTTGATAATTGTTTTCTTCCTAGATTTTTTTGCCCACTTCAGCAATTGTTTCTTGCTGTGGTTGTCCCACCTGTTGACGGGCGCTTGTGTTGCGCCCGAAACGTCGTGATTTTATTTATTTAGTTTTATACCTACGTGACTTTACCGAAAGAACCAAAGAGTAATTGTATTCTTGCATATGATCAAATGTTAAGTAGCTATGTGCCAGTTTAGAGGTCTGCTAGGCACGTTGAGAGGGCTTCACGGGGAGAGAGTTTGTGTATTTTTTTTACTATTCCTGGATTACTACATGGTCCAAAGTTTGCTTTGCATGGCCACAAATGCACGCCTGTAGCTTGTCTTTCATTTTACATTCATGAGCGAGATGTGAGCATTGGCCTGTTAGTGTTCTGATGGGGTTGTTGATGGTTACACCAGAGTTTGAGATGTTTGAGTCTGGAATGAGGTGTTCATTTTGGACATCCGCATTTTTTCACCCTTCTGATTATGGGTGAGCTTCTAGGATGCTTACATTATGCTTCTACAATGTATGTTGAACCTCTTTCGCACTGTATGTAGCTAACCGTACTAATTCAGAATCAGAATATTTATACTGCAGGAGGAATCCGATGAGCTATGAAGTGCTTTCTTTTCACATGTCCAGTAGGGACACAGTAAGAATGTTACAGCAACAATCGATAACTAAGTAATTGGAGGTTCGGCTGGATTGACAACAAACGAGACACAAAAAAGAGGAGGTGAGCGTGGCTTGAGTCGATGGGGAAGTTTCCATTTTTGATGTCTTGGTCGATGGGTAGGGGTTGTCGTCTTTTGCAGTTCTTGCGTGTCTGCAGATATTTGGTGGCAGAATGTTCGCTTGCGAGCCAAGAGATTGGTGCCGGGTCTCAGGGTTTCCGGTTAAGATAATGCATCGCCTTATTTAATGATACGGGGACACCCTTTACCTACGAACGAGTTAGGTTCCAGAAGTTTGTTCGTAAGTCAAATTTTCCCCTGTCGATTCCATACATGTTGTACGGCATGTACACTAAAACACGGGGAATGGCTTTAAAAGTTGTATAATCTCCTGGAGACGTATATGCCACTGGTTCTTCACGTTTGCGCGGCGGTTGGCCTGAAATTGAAGTCAGGATGTGCCAGTTTCGTAGCGGAGTGTGCGAACTCGCTGCGCCGTCTTGAATACGAGAGGTTATCTGCAGATGCAGTTGGGTTAGTGGGTGCCCGTTCACAGGCGACCAGTGTGGCTTCATCTCACCTTTAGTGCGCGAGCTGAACCGGCTTCAGATTACTGCTATGGCCCTGGTCCCGTATCTAACTAAGACTCCCAGCCCGGTGTTAGAAATACTGCGACCTGACCACCTACACTGGCGTAGGCCGCGATAAACCAACGATTCTAGATTTGAAGCTTTCGTGACTGCACGGATTCATACTCTTCGGTTTTTTCTGGTAAAGTCACGTAGGTTAAAAAAGAAATAAATGAAAACAACTAAATTAAATCACGACGTTTCGGGCGCAACACAAGCATCCTTCATCTGCTGATGCCCAACCAACGATCCCCGTTGCGGCCTACGGACACACCACATTGTGAGCGCACCGCACGTGTGCTGCTGTTGCTATTGCCAAGTAAATACTTGCAAGTGCGATGCAAGTTGGAACCATTGTAGAACACGTGCATATTAATTTAACCATTTCCGGGACATCTGCAAGTTGGCAGGGTGGGGTCCCGTTCGTTCACCGACGAATCTCGGAACTCGCAAGCGGTTCAGCCTTAATTTTATTTAGAGAGGTATAGCGCCGTTGTTTTTAAAGACATTGTACTCACCGCAGAGAACTGTAGCGACACAACTGCACTCCATGTTACATAGCCATCAACCCATACGGTCTGCCCGTGTTCTTGTGCAGGGAAGTTGAGTTTTCAGGTCCATCCGGCGCACAGCCGTTTCAATGCGAGAACGCGCATTTTTTGTCTGTTTGTGTTTCTCCCTTGTGATGGGACTTTGTAGGATGAACGTTGAGATTTATGAGGGCACGGGGTGACCAATAAGGTCAGAATTGGCCTGTAATAAGGGTAGGGCACTGATAAGGAGTTGACAGGTATGATGATAGCTGGCGCCAAACTGTGCCACACGCCCTCCCGCATGGCCTTGTGGGAGCCCTCTGTATCGACAAAGTTATTTAAAAGTTATTTTATTTCAGGTTTTCTTCCGGTAAAAAAGTTGATGATTTCATGCGTTTAATTGTTAATGTGCTCGCATTTGTCCGGTCAAAATAGGCGGTGCCGCCGCCGCCACCGACGGCCAGCCCATAACGTCGCGATGGACAAGAAAGGCCACGCGTTGGCCGTCACGGCCTTCGCACTGGACGCCGAGGGGAACCTGATGGAGGACGCCCCCAGGCCGCCGGTGCCCGGCAAGGAAGACCGCCCCCGCGCCGGCTGCCGCATCGCCGCCTCCAAACCCTCGGCGGGCAGCGGAGCGTCCGCGGCCGCCGTCGAGCGCGCCGCCGCCGCGGGTGCCAAGTGGTGCACGCCCCGGCGGCACGACTACGACCTGGGCTTCGAGCCCGAGGGCAGCGCCAGCGCCGCGGCGCCGTACGCCCGCTGCGGCGAGACGCTGCCGGCACTGCTGGGCGACCCGGACGGGGCGCACCTCCTGCGCGCGTTTCTGCGCGAGCGCGGCCTCGTCGACCTTGTCGACTTCTGGTTCGCGTGCAAGGGCCTGCGCAAGCAGCCGCGCGCCCGCACCGCCCGCGCCGCCCGCGCCATTTACAAGCGCTACGTGGCGGACGTGGGCGGCGTGGTGGCGTCCCGCCTCAAGCCGTCGACGCGCTCCGCTGTGCGGGAGGCCGTGCTGGCGCAAGCGGCGGGTGGCGCCGGCGGTGGCGATTGCGGAGCAGGCGGGGGGGAGGGAGCGTTTGACCGGGCGCAGGGCGAGGTGCAGCGCTGCCTGGAGGAAGCGGCGTACCCGGCGTTCCTGCGCTCGGACGCGTACCTGCGCCACGCGCTTGCGGAGAGCGCCGGCGGCAAGGATCACGGGAAGGTGGTGGTGCTGGTCCGGCCGCCAGACGATGCTGCGCAGGAGGAGCAGCAGCAGCAGCAGCAGGAGGAGGAGGAGGCAGCGCCGGTTGGGACAGAGTGGACGGAACGTGGTTTTGGTGGGCTGGTGCAGTCGGAGCCGTAAGTCTGACCCAGCGATTAGAATCACAATCTTTATTTAGACTGCGGGAGGAATCCGATGAGCTATGAAGCTCTTTTTTACGGATGTCCAGTGTGGGCGGGTCAGCAAGGCGATGAGTTGGTGGTGGAGATTTCGACTGGCACTTCTCACGATGCAGATTATGAAATCATAGTCCTGCTTCTCGTCTTCATCATCATCATCGGCCATCATCAATCCACTGCTGGATGAAGTGCTCCCTAAGCCATCTTCATCTTGCAATATCTTGGGATGTAACAATCCATGCAGTGCCTGTACACGAGAAGATTTTATTCCTGCAGTGGACGTAGTCACGCAAGCGTTTTCCTCCTTTGGCTGTCATTCCGTCATTAGTCTCAACCACCATTCATCATCATCCCTTCTACCGACGGGTCCTGCGCAAGCTGAATGTTTTTCATTTTATCACGCAGCCGATGTCATGTTTATAACTTGCGTATGTTGAGTGTGATGATTGAGAAGATTGATGATTGGCAATTTAACAGTGGGATTTCCCCCACTCATTGCTCTCGAATAAAATGCAATTGCTCTGAGGAGCAAGTTGAATTTCACCGCTGGTGGAATGGCCACTGGGCGTTTCGGTGGATACGGTTCGTATACTCCTCGAGTGAAATTAATTTCTATTGAGAACTTCTCGATGAATAATGAGTTGCACTTTTTCTAAGATTTGGTGTGGACCTCCAGTAGGTTAACTCGGCCTAAAACGAGCATTTGCGGCCCACTTGCGCTGGGGAGACCTAGGTAGCCGTACGTGGCGACACCTCACCTAGCATGCCGGGTTTAACAGTTTCTCGCGAACAGCACTTGCCCCGACAGCCCATGTACGGGGGGGGGGATCTTTCTCTCTTGTGTATCTGTGCGTTTGCAGACTGTCCGTGGCGACGTCGTGCCGGTACGACCCGGCAAACAGCGTCAACGACAGCGAGTGCGCCGCGTCGAGCGGCGGCACCGCCACGGATGACGGCGCCTCCGTGGCCGATAGCGCCAGGTGAGCGCCGGCCGAGCCCCCGTGATGATCGCCCCGACCCACCGGTTCCTCATTCCGGCACGGTCACAATCGCCCCGATTCGCCGGGTTCCTGTCTCTGGCGGTCTGATTATAATCTCCCTGATCTGCCCAGGTCCTTCCGCTTGGCACGGTTGTGAACTTGCAGATGGACTGGGCGGCACGGTGGCGAGATGTTAACTTCCTCGCCTGGTACGCATGAGGTTGGGGGTTCGATCCTGACCCTGACGCCTGCCGTATATTTGGAGTTACGTATCTCTCCCTCTCTCATCATCGTCACGGTGGTGAGATGTTAACTTCCTCGCCTGGTACGCATGAGGTTGGGGGTTCGATCCTGACCCTGACGCCTGCCGTATATTTGGAGTTACGTATCTCTCCCTCTCTCATCATCACCACGGTGGCGATTGCAAAGTCATCTCCGTGTAGCTTCGTGTGTTTGTGTTTATGGGTTTGTGTATGTTGTGGGGAGTGGGTGTGTTGTAGCGGTTAGCGCTACGCTGCGCTACGAACCTGGCAACCCGAGTTCGATTCTTGCTCTCGCGGCCAACGCCAGTGACGATTATCTGAACAGGTTCTGGGCCTCCCCTAGGTAGACTCAGCATTAAATGAGTACCTGGTGTGGTGTGTAAACATCGCCAGTGGTGTGGTGCTGGCCACCCACCCCCTCTTGTGCCGTGCCGGCCTTCATAGGTGCTCGGTAACAGTCTGTTAAGGCTATATGGGGATCTTTTAATTTTTTTGTTGAACTTCTTTCGCACCGTACGTAGCCAACCGCACTTATTGGAGGTGCGGGGTGAGGACAACAAACCAAACACAAAGAGCTGTTCTGAAATAAATTAGTTTTCAATTTGGATTTTATAAATTGCACTGCTCCAGTGGCTTCCTAAAATTGTTGGCACCTGTGTGTGGATTTTCTGTGGGTACACACGTCAAACAGATGGGAGTGTTCGTTTCTAACTTTTACAGAACGTTACGTTTCTCCAGTACCAGGTGTCCGATCGGATGGCCGGTATAGCAGCTGGATTGAATCCATCTGTGCGGAGCTCTGCCACCCGTATTTTAGTTTACCACGGAATTTATTTGCGTTCACCGGGAAATGTATTTGCGTTCACCGGGAAATTTATTTGCGTTCACCACGGAACTGATTTTCGTTCACCGCGGAACGCATTTGCCTTTCCGAAACATTGGCCCAAGTTTCGGCGGACCACCGAGGAGGCGGGGTCGGGGGGGGGCGGCGAATTGTTACGTTTAGCAGTGAGCTCCTCCGGCCACGCGGCGTGGGCTAAATGGTCGGCGAGCGTGTGACGTAGGAGAGACGAGGAAGACGCCCGTCTGCGAATAACGGCGAGGGGAATCTTGAACCGGAGCGGAGGAGCAGCCGACTGAAAAACCCGCGCAATATTTACCGCGGAGGGAAATGAAACGTCTTCAAAATGCAGCGCGCGTTGGCTTGGCCAAGCGAAGTAACAAATGTGGAACGATAGCACGGCTGTGCGGTGAATGGACAGTTGTGTGTGGGACAAGATGATTGTGGTGTGCGATGTGCCTCAGAATCGGGAACAATTATGCCTGCAAGTACAGCACCTTTGCCAGCTCGTTATAGAATTTCCAAAAACGCAATCGTAATTGTCCCGTGGTCGTGCGTGCAGATGCTTTGTGGCATGCGGTTAGACATTCGTGATGCGTGGTTAACGGACGCATTGTTGTTGTTAGCAGACACTGATGGGATCTGATTGTTGAGATGCGCCGGTGTGGCTAGTTAGACTCTTACGGTGCGCGGTCATCAGAAGCTTGCGCACAGTGGCGGCACTGCCTGCCTGCCGCCGCTGCCGCCGCTCGGCATATTTACACGCCGGATTAGATGGCTCCTCCGTGCGTCCGGCCGTAACCGTGACCCCGGCAGCCACGCGAGGGAGGGAGCGCCGCTCTCCCTCCCTCCCTCGCGCCACCGTTCCCTCCTCCTCTGGGCGAGCGCCGGCTCACTCGTCAGCGCTGCAGGGCAAAACCAGTAGCCACGGAGCCGGCACCGTGTAGGGGCCTGTCCCCAATGGGAAGACCCCCCCCCAGGGGCCTCCCCCCCCCGCCTCCGGCTGCTGCGTGCGGGAAGCGAGCGTCCGACGTCCGCGTCGTCGTCATCGTCCCGCGCATGTCGCCCGGGAGATGCGGCGGTAACGTGGACCGTGTGTGGGTTCGCCTTGGCGCCGTCTCTCCGATGCACTTGTCGCTTGCGCCGCTCGGCGTGTCGTGCCGAGGGGGTCAGCAGTCGATCTTCTCCGTGGCTCATGTTGCCTCTCGGCGTTGCTGCCGAGGTTGATTGTCCAGTTGACGCGATTCTAGGTTGCGCCTTTAAGGCTGCCGTTTCATTCCACTGTTTGAATGCTTGGGAAATTGTCAAGTGACGTCATTCCAAAGGGGAATATGAATTAGATTTGCAATGCTCCGTTGAGCAATGGATCTCAGAGTGCCGTTGGTGACATTTTTGAGGACTTTCGAACGATGTACGTTTGTATGTCTGTTGAACTTCTTTCGCACCGTACGTAGCCAACCGTGCTAATCGTATAGTCGTGGTGTACAGCAGTGTAGCATGTATAGTAGTGTAGCGTATAATAGTGTAATGTATAGTAGTGTAGTGTGTTGTGTATAGTAGTGTGTATGTTGAACTTCTTTCGCACAGTACGTAGCCAACCGTGCTAATCGGAGGTGCGGATGAGTCGAGTGTCTTTTTGGGGCTCGTTTGTCCAACTTGTCACAATAAGGAGTTGACCAAACTGCTGTTCGTCTCTCTCTCACTGCGCGGTGTCAGCCAAGGCTGTGCGTGGCCGGTCAGCCCGCCGTGGTGGTGACGGTGGTGACCGTGTATGTACCGTGCTCGCGCGTGTTTTTCAGCGTCCGGTACGGAGCGCCGGACTTTAGCCACAGGGCACCGCCACACGCTGAGAGGACGCGACCGGCTTCTGGCGGTGCAGGGGAGCCGCTCCACCCACCGGTAAGTCAAACGCTGTCCACAACTCTGCGGTCTTCTCGCCCGGTGATGCCGGTTGGAATTGCCGGCGGAATGTCACGGTGCTGGAATAGGTAAATGTTGTGGTGGGTTTACTCGGCAACACGTGACCGGTGAGTGCTGTACTCGTGACGAATTGGCACGTTCTGTTTACGTGACGAACCTCACCAATTAGCCGTGGCGGGTGTGACGACACATTTATATTTACGCGATCTAACACCAAGAAACATCTCTTGTGAACCCACATGATCGTTCGTGGAGAAAATAATCAAGGGGTATTCATTTCTCCCGGACGCACATCGATGCGCGTGTCACGAGTATAAGAAGATATTTTTAACGGCCTATCAGGCGAACTGTTTGGTCTCATCCGTACCAGCACCCGTATAGCCTTAAGAGACTGTTGGGGCAAGTGCTGTTAGCGAGTAGAACCTACGAAGGCCGGCACGGCACACGAGGGCGTGGGTGGCCAGTACCATGCCCGGCCGCCTTTGTCTCCCCAGTGGCGATGTTTACACACCGCACGAGGTACTCATTTGAAGCTGAGTCGACCTAGGGGAGGGCCCAGGAACAGTTCAGATATACGTCACTGGTGTTGGTCGTGAGCTGGAATCGAATTCTGGTCACCAGGTTTCGAGTCACACACCCACTTACCCACCTACTCACCCACCCACCTACTCACCCACCCACCTACTCACCCGCCCACCTACTCACCCGCCCACCTACTCACCCACCCACCTACGCACCCACCCACCTCCTCACCCACCTCCTCACCCACCCGCCCACCTACTCACCCATCCACCTACTCACCCACCCACCTACTCACCCACCCACCTACTCGCCCACCCACCTACTCACCCACCCACCTACTCACCCACCCACTCAACCACCCACCCACCCACTCACCCACCCACTTACCCACCCACCCACTCGCCCACCCACTCGCCCACCCACCCACCCACTCACCCACCCACTCGCCCACCCACTCGCCCACTCACGCAGTCATGCAGGTCACCTCACTTCTGTCTACCTCTTCCCTCACACTGCTCCACTTTGAAATTCCCTCCTGTTGCCTCGCCCCCCCCCCCAAGTTCTAAACAACATTGCTCAATTCAAGAAACGCATTGTAACCCTTTCGTATTTCGCCCTTACTATTTGCTGTTTGTTGCTGTGCCCCTTGCCGTATTGGGCCTCCTAGGCCATGCTTGCCAACGATGAGTTAAAAACAAGTAACTCTTCACTCTCACGGGCTCGAATTGTGAACATAAGAATAGCTTTTTCATCAACGTGCTAAACGTGTAAATAATCACCCTCTCGCCGTTTGACGCGTTTCGCCCGACTGCATTGTGGGAACGGTGGTACGTGTGCCTCACTGTCGAGGCGCTGTCCCCCGCAACCTAGCGGGGGAGACAGGACGGAGCATTCGTACGAAGCCTCGGCGGCCCCGCGGACGTCTTGAAATAGTTAAAGCTAGAACCGCCTGTGAGGAAAGAAAGAGAGAGAGTGGGTGGGGGGGGGGGAGAGAGAGCCACCCTGACCTCTGCTAAGCCCCCCCCCCCCCACAGCGAGTCCCTTTGATGTGCCGCGCCGCGTCGAGCTTAGCGTTTAATCAGGGGACGCGTGGCCCCCTAGGCCAGCCGTGTTTGTTTAGCGTCGGGCGCAGGAGCCTGCACGCAACAACAGTGGCGAGTTTACAATCCCCACGTCGCTCGCTCGCTCGCTCAATCCCGTCTCCCGGTCTTGCCGGTCTCCGTGCCTCGCTGCTCCGTCCCGTAATGCGAGCGCGCAGCCCGTGGGGCGGTTTGATGTTGTGGGTGTCGTGGGCGCGAGTCCTTTGAAGCGCTGAGCTGCGAGCGTTGGTGGCGGTGCGATGGCGGCGGCGGTGGCGGTGGTGGGGGGGGGGGGCGGTGAGCTGGAGCGGCGGCGGTGCGGTGAGGACTCGCGGGGGCCGGTCTGCGGTGAGACCCGCCAACCATTGACCGAGTTGGGGGAACATTCGCTGGGATCGCGCGTGAAATGTTATGTCGTCTCCGGACCAGCGGGAACATTTCAAGCGACGCTATTGCCGTACGTTCTCCCGATTTATATAACGCTCCCCAGGCTTTTGAGTCGTGTTGAACAGAAACAAAAAATTTAAACGTGTTTTTTAAAAATATTCGCGTGGAATACGGTACAGTGTGTTGTAGAGAGCCATCTTCCAGGAGACGATTATGAACACGCTGCTCTAAAATGGGAATAGATGGTCTTCTGTAAGATGATTCTGAGCGGCTGGTGGGGAGCGGTTCCTGTCGTCGGGGTGGTCGTGCATCGCTACGGAGAATCGGCTTCCAGAAGATGAGTATGAACAACCGAGCTAAACGATCTTCTCGTTGACAAGTGCATTCTCCGCATCGTAAGATGTACCTTTAACCTACAGCGAGGGGGGGCGGGGGGGTGAATGAGTGCATCTTGGGAGGATGCGGTAATGCTCCTAACCTTCAAACATTTTCCGTGTATTTAATAGCACAGTGGTGCATTTGGAAAGTAAGAGGCGAAAAAGTGATGAGGGTTTGTGTTGTTGTCGAGCCCGGTTCATCACTCAGACTTTATTCTGACGCGTAGCCCGATGTTGATTCTGTTTAAGACTTGGGCAAAGTTTGCGTTTTGCTTCGACCATTGCCATGGATCGCCTGCGCGGCAAATCGAGCTGAACGGCAGCGCCGTGGCGTCCGCGTGCACCGCCAACGTGGTTTCACGGCCGCGTACGAGGTGACGCTGGTGTTGTCGAGATGTTGGCTACCTCGCTTGGTACGCACGAGGTCGAGGGTTCGATCCCAACCCTGACGCGTGCTGCTTTATATTTGGAGTTTGCATGTTCTCTCCGTGGTCGCGAGGATTGTTTCTCCTCCGGTTTTTCCCTCCACATTTCGAATCGACGTGCGTTTCGAGTTATTTGGCTGCTATACATTTCCGCGTGATAAGCTTCTTCGTTGAGCTATCATTCGTGGCCAGGTGGGGGGGCCTTACCTTGGTAAAATATAAATAGTTTAGTTTTAGACAGGCAGACGCGATAGAGGTACCCTAAGTAAACGTGACAACTGGCATTACCGGGCAACTGCTAGGAGCAAAGTGTGACTGATAACGGGGAAGTGAGTTCTTATCGCGCCCCGCTTGTGTTTGAATTCCCTCCGGACCGTGAGCGGCTTTGGTAGCACGTGTGTGCGTGTTTGTCGCAGGCCTGTGTGTGCACGCGTGTGCGTATTTGTCGCAGGTCTGTGTGTGCACGCGTGTGCCCGTGTGTACATGGGGAGCGGTGGTGTAGCGGTTCGCTCGCTGTGCTACGAACATGGCGACCCAAATTCGATTCTCGTTCACGGCACAACACCAGTGACGATTATCCGAACCGGTCCTGGGCCTCCCCTAGGTTGACTCGGTCTAAAATTAGTCCCTGGTGTGTTGTGGAACCATTACCACTAGGGAGACCAAGGCGGCGAGGCATGGTGCTGGCCAAGCACCCCTTCGTGTGTCATGTCAGCCTTCATAGGTGCTCGCTAACAGAACTTGCCCCATCAGTCTGTAAGGATATACGGGGGTTCTTTGTCTTTGTGTTGTGTGTGTAACGATGTGTGGGAGCAGTAGTGCTGCGGTTATCGCGCTGCGGTACAAAGCTCGCAATCCAAGTTCAATTCCCGCTCACGGCCAACACCAGTGACGAATATCTGAACCGGTCCTGGGCCTCCGCCAGGTCTCAAATAGGTACAGGGCGCGATGTCTAAACATCGCCACTAGGGAGACAAAGGCGGCCGGGTGTGGTGTTGGCCACCCACCCCCTCGTGTGCTGTGCTGGCCTTCAAATGTGCTCGCTAACAGCACTTGTGCGAACAGTCTGTTCAGGCTATACGGGGGATCTTTGTCTTTGTGTGTAACTGTGTGTGTGTGTGTACCTGTGTGTGTGTGTGTACCTGTGTGTGTGTGTGTACCTGTGTGTAACTTTGTGTGTAACTGTGTGTGTGTGTACTGTGTACCTTGTGTGTAACTGTGTGTGTGTAACTGTGTGTGTGTGTACCTGTGTGTGTGTGTGTACCTGTGTGTGTGTGTGTACCTGTGTGTGTGTGTACCTGTGTGTGTGTGTACCTGTGTGTGTGTGTGTACCTGTGTGTGTGTGTGTGTGTACCTGTGTGTGTGTGTACCTGTGTGTGTACCTGTGTGTGTGTACCTGTGTGTGTGTAACTGTGTGTAACTGTGTGTACCTGTGTGTAACTGTGTGTGTGTGTGTACCTGTGTGCTCGTGTGCAGTGGGCGGTGCGAGTGCCGCGGGTGGCCAGACACTCGGAGCCGGCAGTGTTTGCGGCAGAGCTGATCCGGCGCCTGAACTCGGTGCAGATGGAGCGGCACTGTCAGCACCAGCCGCTGCTGTACAGCCAGAAACAGGTGAGGTTCGACCCCCAACAGGGCATTGGAATGCTTGAGAAGAGATGTGTGGTGTAAGGTGCTCCTGAGTTGCTGAGGTATTACTGGTAGGAACCTCCTGGTTACACCAGCCCACAGGGGATTATTGTGTCCGTCCGTCCGTCGTGCAGGGAGGGGCTGGGTTGGTAAGGAGGGGTTGGGTGGGGAGGGTGGGGCTGGGTGGGGAGGCTAGGAGCTGGGTGGGGAGGGGCTGGGTGGGGAGGGTCTGGGTGGGGAGGGTCGGGAGGGGCTGGTTGGGGAGGGTCGGGAGGGGCTGGGTGGGGAGGCTGGGGCTGGGTGGGGAGGGGCTGGTCACCCCGTGGTGCCCTTATAAAACTCAACGTTTGACCTACTCACGCCGGCTTGTGCCCACCCTCACAGTCGTGCATATTTGCGGAATACACCACGCCGCCGTTGACCCTGGCCATTGACCGAGCAACCCAACGTTCCTACCAGCTCACTCCACAGGAATGTGTTTAAACAAGCGTCCCCCTTACGTGCAAATCCTCATCTCCCGACACTGTGAGAGACGGTAACGTATGTTGAACTTCATTCGCACCGTACGTACTAAACCGTGCTAATCCGAGGTAAGGGGGAAGGACAACAAACTAAACAAAAAAAATCAGCTCTAAAGAAATTAGTTTTAAATCTAGATTTAAAAGTGCAGAGGACCAGTGGCTTCCTCATATCGGAAGGAAGAGCGTTCCAGACGGCCGCATCAACGTCACCACCATCGCCATCCCCCACTTCCGTATCATGCAAGTACTTTTTGAACATCACCACCATCACCACCACCATCATGTATGTACATATGTAGAATTTTATTCGAGCCATACGTAACCAACCGTGCTACTCGGAGGTACGGCGGGAAGGACATCAAACTAAAACGCAGAATTCAGTTATAAAGAAATGAGTTTTCAATCTAGAAAAGTGCAAAGACCGTTACAAGCCATCGCGGAAGTCGATAGGAAATTGAATTGGTAACTTCACGGCGGCGGCAGCAGCAGCATCAGGAGGAGGAGGAGGAGCGGCAAGAGGAGGAGGAGAAGGAGGAGACGGTGACGATGGCGACACTGGGACTGTCGGGCGCGTCCGTGCTGCCGGCGCTGCACCCGTTTGCGCTGCTGCTGCGTGCCGGCGCCGATGCCGACGACGACCCCGAGCGAATCCTGGACCAGCACGTGTCGCGAGTCCTGCGCACCCCCGTGGTGTGCCGCTCGCCCACCAGCCGCCCCCACCAGCACGGCCACCAGCACGGCCACCAGCACCACCACCAGCACCACCACCACGCGGCCCAAGCCGCGGCGGTGAGCGGGCGGGCGCTACCAGTGGACAGGAGCCAGCACGGGGCGACGGCCGTTCCCTTCAGGTGGGTTGTGCATCCGCCGCTTGATGTCGCGTGGCATGTGAACTAAAAACGATTAACTTTTATTACTTTACCAGGTAAGGCCCAATGAGTTGTACAGCTCTTTTACAGAAGCGACCCTGGATATCGCAAATGATAGCGCAACGAAGTGGCTTTTCATCGTGTGGAAATTCACAGCGGTAGCCAACTGCTCCAAACGCGTGACGTTGATTCTAAATATGGAGGGAAAAACCGGAGGAGCCGGAGAAAAATCGACGCGACCACTGGGAGAGAGCGAGAGATGTAAATGACAGGTGTTGTTAGGATCGAACCCACGACCTCTTCTATACCAGGCGAGGTAGTGACACCATGTGGCCAGCTGTCCGGGCCAGTTCAGAATTGGTGTTCATTTAGTTGGCGTAATGAGTGACGGAAAAAATAATGTTTTGTTAATTGTTTTCACATTTTAGTCAGCGGTGACTTAAGCATGATGACGACTACGATCTCCCAGCGGAGAGATGGAAGCGTGACGGACTTATGATGGGCGGAAATGAACGAGTCCCAATGACGTAACAGACCGAGATAATTGAGTAATCTTGCTAGAGAATGCAGTGCACGGAGCGAGACCAGACTTGGTAATCGGCTCTCTGTATTTCTTCTTGTAATTATAACAAGTATAATTCTAACAAGTAATAGTAGCAATTAATCGTAACAATTAATCGTTAACAATTAGGTTTTTTTCGGTAAAGTCATGTAAAAAAGAAAATTAAAGTTAATAAAAGTAAAATCAAAATCACAACGTTTCGATTTTTTTTTACTTTTTTTAATTTTAATTTAATTTTTTACCTACGTGACTTTACCGAAAAAACCTAAGAGTATGAATCCTTGCAGTCACGAAAGCTTCAAATCTAGATTAATCGTTAATAATTAGCAATTCAGTGAGTGGCTGACCTGACATTGCAAGCCCCTCACACTAACATTTAATCAGCCGTAGCGAACAAGTGTTGACACTGCTCTGAACCGGAGTTGTGGATGCGGTGAGAACACGAGAGTGGGTGGTCACTGACGCACTGGTGCTACTTGGGAGGTGGGGTATTGACACCTATAGATGTGTACGGTGGTGGTGGTGCGGGTGTGGTGAGTGTGGGAGGGTGGGTGGGTGTTGGCAAGTATTGGGGCACTGCGGTGGCTTGGAGATGTTTACTACCTCACCTGGTATGCAGGAGCCCGTGGGTTCGATCCCGACCCTTACGCCTGCTGTATATTTGGAGTTTGCGTCTCTCTCCGTGGTGAGATGTTTACTACCTCACCTGGTATGCAGGAGGCCGTGGGTTCGATCCCGACCCTTATGCCTGCTGTATATTTGGAGTTTGCGTCTCTCTCCGTGGTGAGATGTTTACTACCTCACCTGGTATGCAGGAGGCCGTGGGTTCGATCCCGACCCTTACGCCTGCTATATATTTGGAGTTTGCGTGTCTCACTCCCCGTGGTCGCGTGGATTTTTGTCCGGGTACTCCGGTTTTTCCCTGCCACATTCAGAATCAACGTCACGCGTTTAGGGCATTTGGGTGCTGCTATAAATTCCCACGTGATGGTGACAAGCCACTTAGTTGAGCGACGATTATTTGTGATAGCCAAGTTGCCGTCTGAAAAAGAGCGAAACAGCTCAGTGGAGCCCCTCACCTGGTTAAAATAAAAAGCTTGGTGTGCGTGATGGCGTTGCCGTGCTCGGTGCGGGTATTTTGCCGTGCAGCGGCGGCGGTGCGTGCGTGTGTGTGCGTGCGTGTGCGTGTGGCAGTGCCGTAAGAGTGTGTGGTGCTGTTGGTGCGGCAGGAAGGCCATCCCGGCGGAGGAGGTGGACAGGGCGAGGCAGATCTGGCAGTGGCTGGTGGAGGGAGAGAGGGATGGGCTCGGGCACGTGCACAGGTGTGTGAATGTTAGAAAAGGGGGGGGGGCGGGGAGTGTTAACGAGGGGGGGGAGGGGAGGGGAGGGTGTCGTTCACGGTTGCGGCTCTGAGTGTGCACGAGCGAGTCGAGCGATCTCGGTTGATGACGAGTGAATAAGCCGTTCGTGAATCAGTAACGACGCGGGTAAGCGGCGTTATTTAAAGTGCGGCGTCTGCGTAAGCAGTTGAGTTGGCGATGCTAATACTGGTAGGAACCTCCTGGTTACACCAGCCCACAGGGGATTATTGTGTCCGTCGTGCAGGGAGGGGCTAGGTGGGGAGGATGGGGAGGGGCTGGGTGGGGAGGGTGTGGCTGGGAGGGGTTGGGATGGGGAGGGTGGGGCTGGGTGGGGCTCGGTGGGGAGGGGCTGGTCACCCTGTGGTGCCCTTATAAAACTCAACGTTTCACCTACTCACGCCGGCTTGTGCCCGCCCTCACAGTCGGGCATATTTGTGGAATACGCCACGCCGCCGTTAACCCTGGCCATTGACCGAGCAACCCAACGTTCCTACCAGCTCCCTCCGCAGGAGGAATGTGTTAACTCTGTGAGCATCCTCGTAGTGTCGGTAACTGCGAGCGTAGTTGCCGAATCGACGATAGTGCCAATATAACCGCTCTTCAGCATCTGCGTCGCGAGCCTGCGGGTTGAACCCGGTTGTCTGTGCACCCCCCCGCCCCCCCCGCCAGCGAGCTGGTGGTGGAACGTCCCTGGGGCCCTCCTCCCAGGCGCCGGGTGGTGCAGCCCAACCACCCGTTCCTGCAGGACCCGTCCATGCCACCCCCGCCGCCCCCCAACACCACCGTGCAGCTGGAGGAGGCCAAGCGGCGCCTGGAGGAGGAGCAGCTGGTGCCCTTGAGCCGGAGCGCCCAGCCCGGCAAGCACAAGTGAGTGCCCGGCGACTTTTCCCGACGGTCGACTTGCACGTAGCAGTCGTCGCCGTTTGCCGGGCAACAAGGGCGGGCGCGACGGGCCAGAAATGCCGAGTGGCCAGCAACGAGCAGCACTGTCGAATTTGTAATAATCATAATTTTTTTTAAATCCAAGTCAAAGGTGATTTCCTGCTCATAATGAGCATTGGCGTGGCGCTTACCTCCTGGATCCAGTGGTGGAAATTCTACATTGCTATGGCGGCGAGGGCGACTCCATAAGATAACCTGAACCTGGGGCGACGATGGGGCCTAGTCAAACCGTCAACTTGTTCTTTCGCGTGGATTTATTATAGCAGCATAGGGTTGCCTGGTGGAGTCGTGCCGAGTCAACGTGTCTGCCAAAGTGTCCCCCTGCTCAGTCTCGAGCATCTCCGTTAGAAACGCCACATTCCGATTTGCCTGGCTCTCACCATCCCTATGGGCAGATGAATATAGCGGGAGGTATTATTAGCGTGGGATGTAATGGTTGTGGTGTAATGGTTGGCTTACTGGACTTTGCAAGCCAGAGGTCGCTGGTCCAACTTGGTCTCACGGCATGGGGAGATCCCAACTTTCTAATTGCGAGTCAACACTGTGGCCGCCTCGGCTAGGTATACGTGGAGTTGTTTTGTGGTTAAGTAGCCCCACGGCTATAACGTTAGTGGCAAACGGCGTCTTAACCTCTTCTGGGCCTTGCCGTAGTCAACTCTGGTGGTCTTGGCGCAGTGTGTACACCACCACTACCACCACCCCATCCGCCGTTCTGGTCTTCAGCGGTGCTCGCAAACAGCACTTGCCCCCATCAGTCTATGGAGGCTACACGGTGCATATTCTTAGGTTTTTTCGTTAAAGTCACGTAGGTAAAAAATAAAAAATAAATAAAAATAAATCACGACGTTTCGGAGGCAACACAAGCTTCCGTCTTTATTTTATTTAAATTTTACTTTTATGAATTAAAAATTTTGACCTACGTGACTTTACCGAAAAAATCCAAGAATATGAATCCTTGCAGTCACGAAAGCGTCAAATCTAGACTTACACGGTGCATCTTTGTGTTTGCGTTGCCGTGCAGGTACGTCCAGGAGGTGATTGAGAGGGGCCGCTGTCTTGCCAGGGGCGTTGCCGCGCCCATCACGAGCGCCGTTTCCACCGTCCCGGACGCACACCCTGCGGAGTACGGGTGAGCCGCACCGAACCGTGACGGTCCACACCTTTAACATCCACGTTGCCATGGTGGCGAGATGCTATCTTCCTCGCCTGGTTTTTTAGCAGGTCGGGCGTTCGATCCCGACCCTGACCCCTGGTCTATATTTGAAGTTTGCGTGTCTCTCTCCCCGTTGTCGCGTGGGTGTTTTCTCCGGGTTCTGCGGTTTTTCCCTCCACATTTAGGAACATGCGTTTAGAGTGATAATTGTTTTTTTACCCTTCTATCTGGCAACAAAACTGACATCTTTTTTACAAGGAGTCATGTTTGCATAGATCACAATACCTGCAGCCATAATGCAAACAAAAAACGTAGACGTAGATGCCATTGGTTATTTACGTTCTGCAGATGTAGATGCCATTGGTTCTTCACGTTCTGCAGATGTAGATGCCACTGGTTCTTCACGTTCTGCAGATGTAGATGCCACTGGTTCTTCACGTTGTGTAGATGTAGATGCCACCACTGCCATCCATTGCGCGGCTGTTGAACTTACGACTCTCGGTCCGAACAGACGAGTGGACGTACGTAAGGGTTTGTTCGTATCTCTGAAGACCAGGTCATTCAGACGCTGTCTCCCCAACAGACCTGGTCTTCACCTGAGGACGGCTGCTTGCGTTGTGGCCGAAACGTCGTGAGAAATATTTTATGTTTTATTTTTATTATTTTATTACTTCCCTTCTACGTGACTTTACCGAAAGAACCAAGAAAAACTGCCGACTGGTTTCATCCTCGTTAGGACTCGTCGATAAGGCGCATTCGTCAGCCCAGCAATTCTATCAGTTTGCTGGTGTCGGAGGGTGTGGGGATGCATGGTCACGTGACTGGCGCGCTGCCGTGGCGGCCTTGCGCTGGGCTAAGGCGCGACGCACCTGGTGGTTGTGGTAGAGGCACGTTGACAGGCGTGCGGGCGTGCGTGAGCCCGGGAAAGCAATCCTAATTCCATTGCGTGGCGGACTTTGAAGTCGAATCCTCGCCTCGACGTGGGGAGCTTTGTTGGCCTGCGCCGCTCATTTTGGGAGGGGTTTGATGTTTTTTCAGGAGCCGACTGATGAAATGCACTTGACGCCTTTTTTTGTGGGTTTGTATTTCAAAGCTCAAAAAAAAAACCTCTGTCTCTCTCCACGTGCGTGTGTGTGGGTTTGGCCACCAGATGAGGATTTGTACATTTTTGTTTTATTTTGTAAGCTTTGTCCTTTTTTTCTCTCTCTCTCTCGCTTCGCTTGCGTGACATCTAACTTCTTTTCGGAATGACAATTCGTTTTGGATTTCACGGAAAGTTCGCCCCCCCCCCCCCACCCGTGTCTCCGTGACTGCACAATAACGCGCGCGCGGGCACAGGCCTGCTGACATTCTCTTGATGTCGGGCGCCGCACGCTTCTTTGCGGAAGCGCTGACGGAAAAATGGAAATTAAATTATTAGAAAAGAGCTGCTCCTAAAGTCACGGGGTAGTGCACGCAGCCAACAGCAACAAGCACGCAGGTGAAGAGACTTCATCGCCACGGTACCAATGGGGGATGAATGGTCACCCGTGGTATGTCTGGGACGCCAGTAATCATAATGATGAAGCCACTGATCATTTTCTGTCATTTCAGAATATTGGATCAGGCCCCGTCCACCGCGTTTGATTGAGCGAATTTGGCGGTCATGGATTTGATTCAGTCATCAGTCTCGTTTTCCTTTTCACCGTCTGGTTTGTGTGGTTTCTCGTTTTTTTTCTCACGGTGACATTTTTCTGCCCCCACTTTTCAGAACAAACATGATGAGCGTATTATTTGCTTATATTCTGCATGCATCTTCTTGGTTCTTTCGGTAAAGTCACGTAGAAGGAAAATAATAAAAATCAAACATAATAAAAGAATTCTCACGACGTTTCAGCCACAACGCAAGCAGCCGTCCTTCACCTGAGGACGGCTGCTTGCGTTGTTGACCTAGGGGAGTCCCAGGACCGGTTCAGATAATCGTCGCCGGTGTTGACCGTGAGCGGGAATCGAACTCGGGTCGCCGGGTCCATAACGCGGATACACCTGATGATGGAGGCTTGTGTTGCTTCCGAAACGTCGTGATTTAATTTATTTTCATTTTCTACCTACGTGACTTTACCGAAAAAAACAAAGAGTATGAATCCTTGCAGTCACGAAAACTTCAAATCTAGAACCATAGCGCAGCGTAGCGCTAACCAGAGGTCGCAAACGGGTTTTGATTCCTTACCCGTACCCGGCCGCACCAGGGTTGCAATCGGGTACCCGATACCCGTACCCTACCCGATACCCGGCTACCCGTACCCGGCTGGGTATCGGGTAGGGTACGGGTACGAGTACCCGATTGCGACCTCTGGGATGAAGCCATGTTGCAGGCGCGGGTGGGTTGATTCTAGGAACTTTAATTGTGAGAAGAGACAAGACGTTGGGAAATGAGTGACAAACGGTTACTCACCAGTGACTCACGGCCTACCCGTACCCGGCCGCACCAGGGTCGCAAACGGATACCCGTATCCGGCCGGGTACGGGTAGGGTACGGGTATCGGGTAGGGTACGGGTATCGGGTACCCGATTGCGACCTCTGGCGCTAACCGCTAGACACCTCTGGTGCACTCGCTGCCTCACTCTTACACGCGTGCACCAGTGCCACTCCCGTGCACCTGACTCTGCCACCGCCCAGGCTGATTTTTCCTTGCATGCGACCGGTGTGTGGGGCTGCCGCTCGCTATCTTGATTCGCACGCCGGTTCCGGTGAGCCATCGCCGCCGCCGCCGCCGCCGCCGCCACCGGCTGTAATTGCCGTTAAATTGAGCTCTCGCGTTTGAAGTGCAGTCGCTCGGCTTTGAAGTGAGTGAGGAGCTGAGGGGCTAAGCCCGTGGCCCCCCGTGCATGCGATTGTGGGACGTCTCCCCCCCCCCCTCTCCACTCCCGTCCCCCCAAACCCCAGTGCCCCCTGAGCCACGGCCGCGTGGGCTTTTTGGTATTTTTAATCTGAAAAGGAAGTCCTCCGTCTATCCTAAGGCTCGCTGTCCTCCCTCAGCTAGCTAGGTGATTCGCAAACATGAAAGCGCTGCCTTCATGTTGCGTTTGAAGCGGCGGCTTGTTTAATTCTGCGTGCGATGGGTTTTTCTATATAAATACCTTTAAAAAATCTATTATTTTTTTATTAATCTAACGCTGCTGCTGTCGCCGTCCCACGGCTTTAGAGCGGAAGTTGAGCGTGCCCGTTCGTCGCTGCAGGCCACCTCTGCCGCCTCTCCGCCCTCCCGGAGCTCGCTTGCCATCACCGCTTTTGAGCAACAGATCTCTCGCTTGCGTGAAGTGCGCTCGCGAAGCCGGGTCCCGAGCACCCGCCCCCCCCCCCCCCCCCCCCCCCGGTAGACTTGGGCCGTGTGCGGGCGCGCGAGTTGGCGCCGCCGCACTGCGCCGCTGGACCCAGCCGTCGCGAGTTCGGCCAACATCGGTGACGGAGTTTGGTAGTACGTGTTGTTTACGTCGTTTATTGTGAAAATTCGGTCACAGTTCCCATGACCACTGTTTCATTGCTTTTATGGCTTTATTTTGGTGATTTTCGATAAGTTTTTTGGTTTGGCCATGTTTGTTTGTTGTAGTACAGAGTTAGACTGATGGCCTTAATCTAAGTTGTCTTGTGGTTGTTGTTGTTTGACTTGCATACCACTGGGGTTTTTGCACATTTTTGTGTACGGTGCTTTTTCTGCAATATTTTACTGTATTATCTTGGATTTTCTGTTTGCACTCAGTCACATATTCACTTTAAGATGTGTTTTGTTCATGTTCTAGTATCAAAGGAAACGTCAACATCTGATGACTGCTGAATTTCAGCTCCGTAACTTTTTTTCAGAACCGACCAGGCTGCAACAAATGATAGCATGGAAATGTATAGCAGCCGAATAACTCTATAAACGGGCGACGTTGATTAGAAGTGTGGAGGGAAAAACCGGAGGACCCGGAGAAAAATCCTCGTGACCACGGCGAGAGAGCGAGAGAGAGAGAGAGAGACACGCAAACCTCCACATATACAGGCGTCGGGGTCGGGATCGGGATCGAACCCACGACCTCCTGTCTACTGGCTCAATTAATAGTCGGTGAGCTCAACCGGGCTACCAAAAGAGGGCCAGCACCCTGTCAGAATAAATGTGTGGCGTGGCCATAATGTTAGAGTTCGCGGTGCGAGGAAAGGAGCGGAAAGAGAAGTGTTGTGAACTGCAGCATGGTGATGTTTGAACTTGGGTGCGGACGAAATGAAACAGTCCGGTTAAAGAAAGTTTTTGGCTGCTATCAATGTTTACACGATCAAGTCACTTCTTTGGGCTGTCATTTGTGATCGGTCGTTTCTGAAGGAGAGATACGCAGCTCAGCGGGCCTTACCTGGTAAAATAGAAAAAGATTGTTTTAGTTTTTACTTGACTTGGTCTATCAGGGTCCAAGGTCCTTTCTCCAAACCTCCGATTAGCGCGGCTGGCTACAAGCAGTGCGAAATAAGTGCAACGTACCCTTTGGTTCTTTCGGTAAAGTCACGTTGGTGAAAATAAAATGAAAATAAATATTTTATTTTTATTATAAAATTTTAAGAAATATTTTATTTTTATTATAAAATTTTAAGAAATATTTAATTTTTATTATTTTCACCCACGTGACTTTACCGAAAGAACCAAAGAGTATGGATCCTTGCAGTCAATAAAACTTCAAACCTAGAACTAAGTTGAACGTACGCACACATAAGACCTCCGTTGAGTTCCGGAAACAGGACTGAATATCCTGCTGCCCCCCTCCTCCCCCTGCCCCCCCTCTCCCCCTGCCCCCCCCCCTGCCCCCCACCTGCCCCCCCCCCTTCCAATTGTGACAGTCGGCGAACGGGACGGCGCCTGGGAGCTCGTGGCCCCGCCGGGGGGGAGGAGGAGGAGGAGGGGGAGGGGGGGCCAGCGGGGGGCGGTGGGGGCGGCGGGGGCGGCGTGGTGGTGGCGTACTACTTCTGCGGGGAGCCCATCCCGTACCGTTCCAGGGTGAGGGGGGGTTCCCTCACCCTCGCCCACTTCAAGGAGCTGCTCACCAAGAAGGGCAACTACAGGTGAGTGTGCGAGCACGCAGAGGCGCGCGTGCGTGCGTGTGTGTGAGCACGCAGAGGCGCGCGTGTGTGTGTGTGATTGTGTGTGTGTGTGATTGTGCGTGTGTGCGTGCGTGCGTGTGTGTGCGCGTGTGTGTGATTGTGCGAGCACGCAGAGACGCGCGTGCGTGTGTGTGTGATTGTGCGTGTGTGTGCGTGCGTGCGTGTGTGTGCGCGTGTGTGTGTGTGTGTGATTGTGCGAGCACGCAGAGACGCACGTGCGTGTGTGTGTGTGTGATTGTGCGTGTGTGAGTGTGTATGTGTGATTGTGCGTGCGTGTGTGATTGTGCGTGTGTGCATGTGTGTGTGATTGTGCGCGTGTGTGTGTGCTATGTGTGTGAGTGAGTGTGTGTGAGTGTGAGTGTGTGTGCGTCCGTGTGTGCGTGTGTGTGTGCACACGCCCTACCTCCTTTCTTTCGCTCGGGCACACAGGCCTACGTCACCCTTCCCTGTGTTGCAAAGACAAAGATCCCCCCCCCCCAGCCGTGTAGCCTGCAACAGGCTGTTGGGGCAAGTGCGGTTAGCAAGTAGTCGCCTATGAAGGCTGGAAACGACACACGAGGGGGTGGGTGGGTGGCGAGCACTACGCCCGACCGCCTTCGTCTCCCCAGTGGTGATGTTTTCACATCGCACAGGTATTTATTTGTGGCTGAATCGACCTAGGGGAGGCCCAGGACCGGTTCAGATAATCGTCAGTGGTGTTGGCCGTGAGCGGGAATCGATCTTGGGTCTCCGGGTTCATAGCGCAGTGCACTAACCTCTACACCACCGCTCCCACGTTACATCGCACAGACACACACACTCAAGTCGCCCTTCCCTGTTACAAAGACAGAGATCCCCCATATAGCCTTAACAGACTGTTGGGGAAAGTGCTGTCAGCGAGCGCCTGTAAAGGCCGGCACGGCACACGAAGGGGGTGGTTGGCCAGCACCTCGCCCGACCGCTTCTCTCTCCAGAGTGACTTAGGGGAGGCCCGGGCCCGGTTCGGATATTCACCACCGATGTTGGCCACGAGCGGAAATCAAGACACAATCACGCTCACGCGATTGTGTCTTGCATCACACGCGCACACACGCGCATACAAGGGCACTGCGGTGGCTAGGAGATGTTAATTAGCTCGCCCGGTATGCAGGAGATCGTGGGTTCGATCCCAACCCCAACGCCTGCTGCTGTATATTTGTAGTTTGCGGTGTCTCTCTCCACGTGGTCGCGTGGATGTTTTTCCCTCCACATTTCGAATCCACGTCACGCGTTTAGAGTATTTGGCTATTATACATTTCCACGCGATATCAGGCGCTTTGTCGAGCGAGCATTTGTGATGGCCAGGTCACTTCTAAGAAAGAGCTACATCGCTCAGTGGGGCCTTACCTGGTAAAATAAAGTAGTTTAGTTTTTGCCCGGCTGTGGTTGCTGAGCGAGTGGTTGACATCTGGAGGCTTGTGTTCAGCTGTGCACGTTAAGCACGTTCACATTCCATTTCTGGACCGATGGAGCTTCTGAATACAGTCGGATCTCAAGTGCTTTGTGGTCGTGGAGACCGATTAGATCAGCGGGTGGGTCATAAGGAAGTGAGGGTATAAAGGTGAGCAGATTAGCGCGATGCGATCAGGAGGTAGAGTGTGGTCAGTTTAAGGTTCTGTTATGGGACCTTTTTGCTAGTATCTATGTATGAACCTTTTTTTTAACCCTTTTTTTTTTCCTAGTTTAATGATCTACGTACATCATGGTAGTTAATCTGCCCCTCTCACTGCTCTGATATTGCCTACAATGTCCGCCAATTTTAAATGTGGTTGTTTGCAAGGGATGCTTATCGCGAATGTTTAACGGGGCACCGTGAGACCGCTGATTGCTACGCGTGAGAAACATTGTACGTCCGGCCAAGGCCACTGCCAAAAAAAAACCTAATTCTAGATTTGAAGCTTTCGTGACTGCAAGGATTCATATTCTTAGGTTTTTTCGGTAAAGTCACGTAGGTAAAAAATATAAATTAATGAAAGTAAAATAAAAATAAAATTAAAATCACTACGTTTCGGAGGCAACACAAGCTTCCGTTTTCAGGTGGAACCGTCACAGCACGCTTGCTATATCAAGTAAATTATATTTTACTTTCATTCATTTTAATTTTTTACCTACGTGACTTTACCGAAAAAACATAAGAATATAAAAAAAACCTGTTGAATTTTTGGAACAAGATGGGCTACGAATTGCTTTCGCGGAAGAATTTTTATAAAAAATGTAATTAAAACCAGCAACGTTGCGCTGCGTTGCAAGCGCGATCGACGCGCTTGGCGTCTGACGGGCGTGTCGGTGTTAGAACCCCGCGGATGCCTGTTCCTGCGGGAGCGCCACACTTCTTCGTGCATTGCAGCCAAATATCTGGGGCTCAATTGATAGACTGGCCTGCCAGCTTGCATCCCAACGTGCAGTGCAGCAGTTCCACTGAACATTGAAGAAGATGTCAGAGACTCTGTGCGGCAAAATATTCCACTTGTCCTTTTTTTTATCTTGACGTTTGCGAAACCTGTCGCCTCGTGTGCGGCCAGATTTGAATCCAGCTCTTGAACGGCGGTCATCGGTTGCACTTTGTGCCGGGACAAGCGGGACGCACGTATGTGCGGGCGTTGACCTTCTTTCGCGCCGTACGTAGCCAATTGTGATAATCGGAGATGCGGGGGGAAGGACAATAAACTAAACACAAAAAGCCGTTCTAAATAAATAAGTTTTCAATCTAGATGATTAAAAATGCACAGCTCTCGGTGGCTTCCTAATGTCGGAAGGAAGAACGTTCCAGACGGCCGCAGAAGCACACCTGAAAGCGCCGTGCGGTGCTGTGACCGCCTTTGTCCGACCATTTTCCTAAAGCCGCCCGCTCCTGCTGTGAGGACGAACGGAGCTCGCGTGACGATGGTTTATGCTCCTTGGCGAGTTCAGTGAGGTACATCGATTGCTTCGTTTGTGTCGAGCACGATCCGTCTCCTCCTCCTCACCACTGCCCCCACCCCCCTCCTCCCGTGCCCGTGCCGCCGCTGCCGCCGCAGGTTCTACTTCAAGAAGGCGAGCGAGGAGTTTGAGTGCGGGGTCGTGTTCGAGGAGGTTCGCGACGACAAGGCCCCGCTGCCCCTCTACCAGGGCAAGGTCGTGGGCAAGGTGGAGAAGGTGGAGGGAGGAAGTCCCCCCCTCAGGTCCTGAGGTCGCCCACCCCGAGGTCACCCACCCCATTGTCACCCACCCTCACGGTCTCCTGCAGAGGAGCCCTTCGCCCGCTGGCGTGGAGCGTGGTGGAGGGGCGGACGGTCGTCGTGCCGGGGATGCGCGAGGGTCGAGCGGGCCTCGGAGTCGACCTCCAATGAGCCGCGGCTGGCCACGTACGGTGCGAACGAAGTCCGACGTATGGACGTGCGTACGCTGGAACGCTCGGCTGGAGACGGAAGAGGAAGCTCGCTCGAGCGACGGCGTGTCACGGACGCGCCGCGCGTGCGCTGGGGAGAGTTCTGCTTTGGTGAAGGATGCCGTGGCGTGCCGTACAATGCCACTTGGTGTGTGTGTGTATGGTGTGTGGGGGCGCCGGGGCATGGTGCTGGTCACCCACCCCCTCGTGTGCCGTGCTGGCCTTCGTAGGTGCTGCTGCTACTCGCTAACGGCGCTTGCCCCGACGGTCTGTTGAGGCTATACGGGGGGATCTTTGTCTTTGTTGTGTGGGGTGGGGGGGGTGTGTGGATAGGGTCACAGAGAACTATGGGTAGAAGATGCACGCAGCTTTGGGATCGTGGTGCGATGCGGTGTGGTGCTGTATACAAGGTAACGGTGATGTGGCACGGTGTGATGCGGTGTGGTGGTGTAAGATACACTGGAGTATGACGGGTGTTCACATTGTTTTGAGGCAGCGATACGGTCGAGCAAATTTGGCCGGACTTAAATTTGTTAACGTTTAGTTTAAAATACCTTTGATTTTTCTCGTTTGTCAACATTTACATCGGCGCCACGGTGGCGAGATGTCACTTACTTTTCCCGGTACACAGGAGGTCGTGGGTTTGATCCCGACCCTGACGGCTGCTGCATATGTGGAGTCTGCATGTCTCTCCCGTGGTCACAGGTGTGAGCCACTAACCTCCTGTGACCAGGCCGAGACCCATCGACTCGCCGCACATGAGAGCGGTTTCAGGTCAGAGTTGAAGGCCACGCTCGGCTACTTTAGAATAACCCTTTCTTAAGCCGTGCGCTCGGGGGGACAAGTGCACGGACGTTAACCTCCCCCTTGGCTAATAAACTAATAATTCTAGATTTGAAGCTTTCGTGACTGCAAGGATTCATATTCTTAGGTTTTTTCGGTAAAGTCACGTAGGTAAAAAATTTATAAAAGTAAAATAAAAATAAAATAAAAATCACGACGTTTCGGAGGCAACACAAGCTTCCGTCTTCAGGTGGAACCGTCACAGCACGACTGCTGCATCAAGTAAGAGAAATTCCAAGAAAACAGTCCTTGGAATGAGCTCATTCCTTGCAGCGTGCTTCAGCCTGCACCGAACCTCACAATGGCTCCTCCCACCCTCAACCAGTATATATACAAGGACTGTTTTCTTGGAATTTTTCTTACTTGATGCAGCAATCGTACTGTGATGGTTCCACCTGAAGACGGAAGCTTGTGTTGCCTCCGAAACGTCGTGATTTTTATTTTATTTTTATTAATTTTTATTTTTTACCTACGTGACTTTACCGAAAAAATCTATAAAAATAAACTAATAAGTGGAGGCGATGGCCGTGCATTTGACTTGCCACTCGCAAAGCCGTTTAGCCGCTCCTCGCACTAATGCACACACTCCCTTGCAACTTGCGTAAGGGTCACATGTAGATATCGCACGTGGGTCATGTAAGTATTTGCTATCTTTTTTAATTTATTATGGTATGCATTTGTAATATGTAAATATATTATAGAGAGAGAACCCCCCCACACCTCCTTTGATTAGTGACGGTCCCTGGGGCTAATCTGCGTTGCGTGCGTGCGGGCGGGCGGGCGGGCGGGCGGGGGGGTAACGATGACGACAGAAGGGGGGGGGGCGCGCGCGGGTGTCGTTAATGTGACTGCAACCGCGAAGGAGCGTGCGGGCGCGACGGGCACGGGTTTACTTTGTTTCAACTCGGTGAGAGAGTTGAGACGCCCAGATCGAGTCCTCGCGGGATAAGTTCGGTGGGGGGGGGCGTCAAAACGAAAAAAATTAACAAGAGCAGCCATTCTTTTGGAATGCGGTAAAGAAACTCGATAATTATTCAAGAGCCGCGATTCCTTAATAAATCACCGTCACGAAGCAGTCCCTTGAAGAGCCGCAGCTTTGCCGACCCCTAGGCGCAAAGGTGGTGAGATGTTAGCTACCTCGCCTGGTACACAGGAGGTCGTGGGTTCGATCTCGACTCTGACGCCTGCTGCTGTATATTTGGAGTTTGCATGTCTCTCTCCGTGGTGAGATGTTAACTACCTCGCCTGGTACACAGGAGGTCGTGGGTTCGATCTCGACCCTGACGCCTGCTGCTGTATATTTGGAGTTTGCGTGTCTCTCTCTCCGTGGCCACGTGGATTTTTCTCCGGGTCTTCCGGTTTTCCCTTCACATTTAGTATTAACGTGAGTTTAGAGTATTTGGCTGCTATAAATTTCCACATGATGAGCCATGTTCGTTGAACTATCATTTGTGATAGCCAAGTCGCTTCTGAAAAAAGAACTTTATAGCTCAGTGGGCCTTACTTTGGTAAAATGAAAAATAGTTCTAGCTTGCTGGGCCACCGGTGAACGACTCGTGATGGGCGACGGATGCCGCTTTGCGCCTGCAAGGCCATGATGCACCAGCTCACGTTTCGGGCACTTTCGTAGTTGCTACCGCCGCCACCGCCGCCGCTGCTGCGGTTTCCGTTCCGAAAAAGAATTCCGCCACCCAATCAGGAAAAATGTTATCGCTTCTCCCCCTTAGTGGGCAGCCAGGCGGGCAAGTTTCGATCGGATTAGTACAGACAGCCGTCCTCAGGTGAAGAACAGGGCTGTTGGAAAGACAGCATCCCAATGAACACCACCAAGCTTGGCATTGTTCATTGGGATGCTGTCTTTCCGACAGCCCTGTTCTTCACCTGAGGACGGCTGCTTGCGTTGTGGCCGAAACGTCGTGAGAATTTCATTTTATTATGATTTATTTTTATTACTTTATTATTTCCCTTCTACGTGACTTTACCGCAAGAACCAAGAAGATGAATCCCTGCAGTCACGAAAGCTTCAAATCTAGAAGTAAATCTGGCTGTTACTGTCTCGCCATGTTGATTGTTTACCTGCGTGGAATAGGTTCGGCGGTGTGGAATGCGACGTTTATCTTCTTATTTGTGAATAAAGTCCATCGCTTTCTTTGCCGAGAACTTTTTGCGGCTACTTGGGCCTCTGAGTCGCGAACCACCGTGCCTGTAAACAGGGTGGCCCCAAAAGTCGAGACGCGGGTTATTATTTGTTCAAACAAATCGCATCGGGTCATTTTATTTATTTTAATTTGTCCAGTCCTGACTTCTGTTAATATTAACTGCGTGCACGAATTATCTTTTGAAATAAATTTAGGCAGTTAAAAATGTATGAAAGGTGTCATCTTTTAACAGTCCTCAATTGTGTTTTGTGTCAATCCAGCAAATTGTATTTTCCATGTTTAAATGCCATATGAAAATGAAGAGATATTCACGATAATAGATACATTTTATCTTCTTGGTTCTTTCGGTAAAGTCACGTAGAAGGGAAATAATAATATAATAAAAATAAAACATACATTTTACTTAAAGAATAAAATATGAAAAGTTTCAATACCAAATATAACTCTACGTGTCGTAACTTTTAGGTCACCCTGTATTTTCCTTTAGATGTCACAAGCACGGTTAATCTGCCACCTGGATAAGTGGGCACCGTGGTGGCTAGGAGATGTTAACTACCTCGCCTGGTATACAGGAGGTCGTGGGTTCGATCCCGACCCTGACGCCTGCTGCTGTATATGTGGCGTTTGCGTGTGTCTCTCGCCGTGGTCGCGTGGATTTTTCTTCGGGTCCTCCGCTTTTGCCCTCCACGTTTAGAATCGACGCAACGCGTTCAGGAGTATTTGGCTGCTATAAATCTGCACGTGATAAGCCACTTCATTGAGCCATCATTTGTTGTCGGGTCGCTTTGGAAAAAGAGCTATGCAGCTCAGTTGGGGCCTTACCTGGGTAAAATTAAAAAAAATTCTACATCATGGGACCTCCATTGCCAGTACCAAAATATACTAATAGGGGTTTTCCCCTTTTTTCTGGCAACCCCGAGCTCTCATTACTCTGGTAGTGCGTTGTCTTTGAACTGTGCACCTTTTGGCGTCATCTGGTCGAACACCATATGAGACTAGGCTCCAAAGAAAGCTGTCTCTGGTGTGGACCAATCAGTTTCAAAGACAATGCATAAATTATCAGAGTATTGTTTTTTGTTTGCATTTGACTGCAAGTATTGTGGTTAATGTAAGCATGATTCCTTGCAAAAGGTGTCAGTTTTGTTGCCAGAAAAAAGGGGAAAAACCCTATTAGTAAAACAAATTCTAGTTTCGTTTTATAATTCAGACTGATGCTGTCCGACATCAGCATGGGTTGCAATCGTTGCTCGTACTAAATTTGCTCCTGGTGACAGCTACACTCATTTTCCATAAATATGCTAAATTCCTCTTGATATGCAAATCCCTTTGTCAAGGCGCCCTTCCCCCTCTAACTCAGCTTAAATATACGCTGCCAAGCTTGGTGGTGCTCATTCAGACGCTGTCTTTCCGACAGACCTGTTCTTCACCTGAGGACGGCTGCTTGCGTTGTGCCGAAACGTCGTGAGAATTGTATTTTATTGTTTTATTTTTATTATTTTATTATTGCCCTTCTACGTGACTTTACCGGAATGAACCAAGAAGAAGACCTGCGCTCAGTTTGCCCTCGTGCGCCACGACTCGCTCCCCCGTAGCTGAGACTGGGGACAGAAACGGCGACATGGGGCGCGTTTGTCGCGCGAGACGGCGACACACACGCGGACGAGCGCAAACGGAACGGGGGAAATGCGCAGCTACTGGCTCGTCACCGGGTGGCGGTCGCTGCGAAGAGGAGGACTGGGGAGCGTCTTTTGGAAGACAACTGGATTCCAGACTCTCTGACAACTCGGCTTGCAGAGCCGCCCGACTCGCTGTTGAGTCGTTCTGCAGTGTCGGCTGGTGACCTCCCTGTGCTCCTGAAGGGTCCTGCTGCGCGCCCAACCATCCTCCAACTCGTCAGGCCAGCGCGTGCACAGGACTATAGCGACGTGCTTCGACCGCAAAAATAGTGACCATCAAGACGGCGGATTGTAATTTGAAGGCAACGCATTCTGCCGGTTCGATCAACCTGGAAATCACACTTCTGCCGACATTAGCAAGCCATTGGAGCTATGCACTTTTAAATAATCTAAATTGAAAATTCATTTCTTTAGAACTGCTTTTTGTGTTTAGGTTTGTCCTCCCCCCGCACCTTCGATTAGCACTGTTGGCTACGTACGGTGCGAAAGAAGTTGCCGATGGCCGGGTTGACCATCTGCGCTGGTTGCCCTTGGCTTTGTTTGCGTCGAGCTGCGTCAGCTCTTGCGCCCGAAGACCCGCGGCCCGATTTGACGAGGGCTGTTCTGCCGTGATCCGCGTGTCACGCAGACATCCGCACCACCCTCCTGGCTCTGACAGTCTCCCGCGAAGACGCTGGCGTAGCGCGTTAACCCACACTGGAACGTCAACAAACAGGCCGACTGATGCGCACACCTCCGAAATTAGCACGGTTGGCTACGTACGGTGCAAAAGAAGTTCAACGTACACACGGACAATATGGACGCAGACACGCGGACTGGTTTTTTTTTTGGTACAAAAAGCGTTTCCGGTTATTTTGCGACTTATTCCAGGCCGGGGGGGGGGGGGGGGTTGGGGGGCCTTGCCGTGCCGAGTTGGCCGAGTTGGCCGAGCTGATGTGTCCCGCGCGCGTAGCGGCGAGCGAAGGCGCCGCGATCGTTGATTTTCCGCTCGCCGCCGATGGATCTCGACGGTGTGTTTTGTTGCAGGGTGCGTGGTGGTGTGGGAGTTGTGTTTTTGTTCCCCCCCCCCAACCCCATCGCTGGGATACGCGCGAGTTGGACATTGTACGTGGATCGACGCTTCGGGAAGAGTGTTAACTTAATGATTAAAAACAAGTGCGGAATCTTAACCCCCCTCTCGGTGTGTCGTTTCCGTCTTACATGTTCGTCCGCCATCGTCGCTCGGAATTACTGCTGATGTGAGACTGGGGCGTTCGCTGGTTCGGTGGAGTTCGCTGGTTCGGTGGCGTTCTCTGGTTCGGTGGAGTTCGCTGGTTCGGTGGCGTTCTCTGGTTCTGTGGCGTTCGCTCTGTTCGGTGGCGTTCTCTGGTTCTGTGGCGTTCGCTGGTTCAGTGGCGTCCGCTGGTTCGGTGGAGTTCGCCGGTTCGGTGGCGTCCGCTGGTTCGGTGGAGTTCGCCGGTTCGGTGGCTTCTGCTGGTTCGGTGGAGTCCGCTGGTTCGGTGGAGTTCGCTGGTTCTGTGGCGTTCGCTGGTTCGGTGGAGTTCGCCGGTTCAGGGACGTTCGCTGGTTCGGTGGCTTCTGCTGGTTCAGTGGAGTCCGCTGATTCGGTGGCGTTCGCTGGTTCGGTGGAGTTCGCTGGTTCTGTGGCGTTCGCTGGTTCGGTGGCGTTCGCTGGTTCGGTGGAGTTCGCTGGTTCTGTGGCGTTCGCTGGTTCTGTGGAGTTCGCTGGTTCGGTGGAGTTCGCCGGTTCAGGGACGTTCGCTGGTTCGGTGGCTTCTGCTGGTTCGGTGGAGTCCGCTGGTTCGGTGGAGTTCGCTGGTTCGGTGGCGTTCGCTGGTTCGGTGGAGTTCGCTGGTTCTGTGGCGTTCGCTGGTTCTGTGGAGTTCGCTGGTTCGGTGGCGTTCGCTGGTTCAGTGGAGTTCGCTGGTTCTGTGGAGTTAGCTGGTTCGGTGGAGTTCGCTGGTTCGGTGGAGTTCGCTGATTCGGTGGAGTTCGCTGGTTCGGTGGCGTTCGCTGGTTCGGTGGCGTTCGCTGGTTCCGTGACGTTCGCTAACGGTTCACCTTTAAGTGCCCCTCAGATCGACTAGACATCCCCCATTTGCTGATGGTACAACTTAACTAAGAATTGTGGTGGCCGAGGTGTGCCGATACTACGAAATATATTGCGCTCATTAAGAGGCACCAATAATCGTTCCGTAAAGTAGCGACGCGTCGCAATCATCGTCGCTTCTTGAATTTGAAACGAAAAACAAAGAAAATCATAGAAAGTATCAAAGCATAAACTCGACAATGTTTCGATTTAAAGCTTTCGTGACTGCAGGGATTCATCTTCTTGGTTCTTTCGGTAAAGTCACGTAGAAGGGAAATAATAAAATAATTCTCACAAATATTTTATTATGTTATATTTTTATTATTTCCCTTCTACGTGACTTTACCGAAAGAACCAAGAAGATAAACTCGATAATGTTATAATTTAATTATATCTGGACAACCCAACCAAGCTTGTAATAATTCACTCCCCACCGCAATTAAATTCCCAAACTTTTTGTTATGATTTGTATGACTGCAACTATTATTTTTATTTTAGGTAAAGCCCACTGAGCTATCAACTTATTTTTCCCAGAAGCTACTTGGCTATCACAAATGATAGCCCGAACGAAGTGGTTTCTCATCATCGTGTGGATATTTAGATCAGCAGATAAATACTAAAATAAAGTCACGTTTGTATAAAATAAAATACATTTTCTACCCACGTGACTTTACCGAAAGAACCAAAGAGTATGGATCCCTGCAGTCACGAAAGCTTCAAATCAAAAGCAGACAAATACTCTAAACCCGTGGCGTCGATTCGAAATGTGTATGGAACAGGAACTACCGTCATGTACATAGAACCTCAATCTCGGAAAAAGAAAGGGTAAAATCTATTATTATTTTTTCATACTTTGATACTGCCAAAAAGGTCCCATAATAGAACCTTAAACCGACCACACTCTTACCTCCTGATTACATCGCGCTAATCTGCTCATCTTTATACTCCGCTCCCTTCCTTATGACCCACCCGCTGATCTAATCGGTCTCCACGACCACAAAGCACTTGAGATCCGACCCTATTCAGAAGCTCCATCGGTCCAGAAGTGGAACGTGAACGTGCTTAACGTGCACAGCTGAACACAAGCCTCCAGATGTCAACCACTCGCTCAGCAACCACAGCCGGGCAAAAACTAAACTGCTATTTTTTGCTGGTAGGAACCTCTTGGTTACACCAGCCCACAGGGGATTATTGTGTCCGTCCGTCGTGCATCAAAAAATGGGAGGGGTGAGGTTGGGTGGAGAGGGGAGGGTGGGGCTGGGTGGAGAGGGGATGGGGTGGAGAGGGGCTGGGTGGGGAGGGGCTGGGTGGGGTTGGTGGGGCTGGGTGGAGAGGGGCTGGTCACCCCGTGGTGCCCTTATAAAACTCAACGTTTAACCTACTCACGCCGGCTTGTGCCCGCCCTCACAGTCGGGCATATTTGCGGAAACACAACGCCGCCGATGACCCTGCAGGCCATTGACCGAGCAACTCAACGTTCCTACCAGCTCCCTCCGCAGCAGGACAATGTGTTTTATTTTATCAGGTCAGGCCTCACTGAGCGATGTAGTTCTTTCTCAGAAGCGACCTGGTTATCACAAATGCTAGCTCGACAAAGCGCCTGATATCACGTGGAAATATACAACAGCCAAATACTCTCAGCCCGTGACGTTGATTCTAAATGTGGAGGGAAACAAAACCGGAGGACCCGGAGAAAAATCCACAGGAGAGAGAGAGCACGCAAACTCCAAATATACAGCAGCAGCAGCAGGCGCCAGGGTCGGAAATCGAACCCATAGCCCTCCTGCATACCAGGCGAGGTAGTTAACAACTCGTCAACTTGGCGCCCTATGAATGAATGATATTATCGCTCAATTCTTGACCACGTCTGAGTGAGTGAGTGAATGAATGGGCGGGTCATATGCATGAAGAATGATACCCATCAGTTCGTGAACACGCGTGAAAGAGTGAGTGAATTCATCTTCTTGGTTCTTTCGGTAAAGTCACGTAGAAGGGAAATAATAAAATAATAAAAATAAAACATAATAAAATAATTCTCACGACGTTTTATTATTTCCCTTCTACGTGACTTTACCGAAAGAACCAAGAAGATGAATCCCTGCAGTCACGAAAGCTTTAAATCGAAAGTGAGTGAATGATTTTATTGATCAATTCGTGAACACGTGTGTGAGTGAGTGAATAACTTTATATGACATGAATGAATAATCTTATTGATCAATTCGTGAACATGTAAATAAGTGAATTAATGGCTGGGACGTAGAAGTGAATAATGGCATTGATTAACTTGTGTGTGAGTGAATGAGTGAGGCATGAATTGATGCCATTGATCGATTCGTGATCACGCGTGTATGAATGAATGGGTGGTGCGTATACATGCGTGACTAATGTTACTCATCAATGTGTGAACAACGCGTGAAAGAGTGAGTGGATGAATTAAGAAATAGAATAGCTTTAATATTTTCTGTCTGCATTAACCATGCACAGTTTTTTTGTGGTGGACGTGAAAATAAACACGTGGATCTGATCATATTTGATGCGTTGTCTTTGAAACTGATTGGCCTGGACCAGAGACAGCAGCCTTCTTCATTGCCTCGTCTGTGTGTCAGACCAGAGAACAACGCCAAAAGGCGAACAGCACAAAAACAATGCTACCACCTATCAGAGGGCATTTATAGCTGATGTGAGCAGCTATCATGGGCTACCTTTTTGCCAGTCGCAACGTATAAAAATAAGCATGAAAAAATAAGAATGAAAAATAATAATGGGGAAAAAATAAGAATGAACAAACAAGAACGAGAAAAAATAAGAATGAAAAATTAATAATAATGAAAAATAATGAAAAAACAATGAATTGTTTAAATGCACGAGATGGGAGGCCATGCCTCCAGATTGACGTCATCACTCACCCGGAAGTGGCGTGACGTCACCGCGAGGCCGTTTTGTCTCTGCGAATGCTGCAAGGAGTCGCCGCCGCCACCACCACCACCAACAACAACAACAACAACAATAAACAACAACAACAGCAATAAACAACAGCAGCAGGCATGGGCAACACGGACACCAAGTTGAATTTCCGCAAAGCCGTGATACAGCTGACGACTAAGACGCAGGTGCGTTGTGTTGAATGTACATGGTCGGTCTCGCGTGCGTGCACCTAGCCTGGCACAAGCGACGTGTGTTGTGGATGGTGGTGGTTGGTGGTGGTGGTTGTGGTTGTTGGTGGTGGTGGTGTGTGGCTCTGCGTGTTGTGTGCGCCTTTGATTGGCGCTCGCGAACAGCAGCACTTGCTGCCTCGGCAGTGTGTGTGTAGTATGGACTGTACCTACGTGTACGTATGTGTGTGTGTGTCAGTGTGTGTGTCTGTGTCTGTGTGTAGTATGGACTGTACCTACGTGTACGTCTGTGTGTGTGTCAGTGTGTGTCTGTGTCAGTGTGTGTGTCTGTGTGTGTGTGTCTGTGTGACTGTGTGTGTCAGTGTGTGTGTGTCAGTGTGTGAGTCTGTGTGCGTGTCTGTTGTGTGTGTGTGTAGTATGGACTGTACTACGTGTACGTCTGTGTGTGTGTGTCAGTGTGTCTGTGTGTGTCAGCGTGTGTGTCAGTGTCTGTCTGTGTCAGTGTGTGTCAGTGTATATCTGTGTGTGTCTGTGTGTGTCAGTGTGTGTGTGTTGTTTATCTTTGTGTGTGTGTGGGGAGCGGTGGTGTAGTGATTATCGCTCCGCTGCGCTACGAACCCGGCGACCCGAGTTCGATTCCCGCTCACGACCAACACCACCAGTGACGATTATCTGAACCGGTCCTGGGCCTCCCCTAGGTCGACTCGGCCTCAAATGAGTACCTGGTGCGGTGTGTAAACATCGCCACTGGGGAGACAAAGGCGGCCGGGCGTGGTGCTGGCCACCCACCCCCTCGTGTGCCGTGCTCATAGCTTCTTGTTCTGGGTCAGATCGTGTAAATCTATAAATGTTGTGTCGTTAAACCCACCACCACCCAACACGGTAAGGGGTTGTCACGAAAACAGAACGTGGACAATTCGTTACAGCACATCGCGATCTGAGTTCTCAGACTGTAAATGTTGTGGATGTTGTTGTGGATTTTCTCTCCAACACACAAGCGGCGTTGCTGCACCAATAACGATGTGGCCACGTTCTGTTGACGAGACAAACCCTTACGAGTTGGTTGTGTCGGGTGGTGGCGGGTTGAACGACACAACATTTATAGATTTACAAAGCAACCTGTATTATGGATGGGATATTGGTCGCGAAAAGCGTGAAAGCACTTGCCCCAGCAGTCTAGCAAGTCTACACGGGAGGTCTTTGTCTTTGGCATAAGACACAAACCTCTGTGGAGAAGGAGGAGGCTCGTGCCAGGCTAGGTGCACAGTGAGGCTGCAGGGCACGAAGCGAAAACGTCAACAGTGGGGAGACAAAGGCGGCCGGGCGTGTTACTGACCCACCCATCTGCACGTGTGTATGTTGAACTTCTTTCGCGCCGTACGTGCCAGCACCTTAATAGGTGCTCGCTAACAGCACTTGCCACAACAGTCTGGATGGGGAATGGGGGGTAGTTTTAAAGAGGAGGGCTTCAGCCAGCAGTGGATCGATCATGGCTGTTGATGATGATGGTGGTGATAATGATGGTGATGATGGTGATGATGGTGATGATGATAAAGGTAATGATGGTGATGATAATGATGGTGATAATGATGGTGATGATGGTGATGATGATGGTGATGATGGTGATGATGATGATGGTGGTGATGATGATGGTGATGATGATGGTGGTGATGATGGTGGTGATGATGATGGTGATGATGGTGATGATGATGATGGTGAACGCGTTGGTGGTTGAGAGCCTCCGTGGCTGCCACTCGATGTGGCAATCGGCCACGTGGATGTGTGGGGCCCGAGGGAGTGGCTCTGACGTCAGCACTAGCCAACACGTGCACGTGTGTGTGTGTACGTGTGTGTGTGTGTGTGTACGTGTGTGTGTGTGTACGTGTGTGTGTGTGTGTGTACGTGTGCACGTTTGCGCGTACGTGTGTCCGTGTGTGTGTGTGTACGTGCGTGTCTACGTGCGTGTGTGTGTCCGTGCATGTGTGTGTACGTGTGTGTACGTGTCTTTGTACGTGTGTGTCCGTGCGTGTGTGTGTCCGTGTGTGTACGTGTGTGTGTATCTGTGTGGTAGGGAGCGGTAGTGTAGCGTTTAGCGCACTGCGCTATGAATCTGGCGACCCGGGTTCGATTCCCGCTCACGGCCAACACCAGTGACGATTATCTGAACCTCTCCTAGGTCGACTCAGCCTCAAATGAGTACCTGGTGCGGTGTGTAAACATCACTAGGTGAGACAAAGGCGGCCGGAAATGGTGGTGGCCACCCACCCCCTCGTGTGCCGTGCCGGCTTTATCCGTGCTCGCTAACAGCACTTGCCCCTAAAGGCTATACGGGCGAACTTTGTCTTTACGTGCTGATGATTGTTGCTGTAATTTCCAGTTGCTGCAACTGATTAGTTTTGGGAAGCTATCATCTTCAAAGTCCCACGTTGTGGTTGTCGCTAACCTACGTACGGTGCGCAAGAAGTACACACATACAAAGGTCCGCCGTGTAGCCTTAACAGACTGTTGGGGCAAGTGCTGTTAGCGAGCAGCACCTATGAAGGCCGGCACGGCACTCAATGGGTTGTCAGAGATGTTAACTACCTCGCCTGGTATACAGGACGTCGTGGGTTCCATCCCGACCCTGACGCCTGCTGCTGTATATTTGGAGTTTGCGTGTCTCTCCGTGGTGAGATGTTAACTACCTCGCCTGGTATACAGGACGTCGTGGGTTCCATCCCGACCCTGACGCCTGCTGCTGTATATTTGGAGTTTGCGTGTGTGTGTCTCTCTCCGTGGTGAGATGTTAACTACCTCGCCTGGTATACAGGACGTCGTGGGTTCCATCCCGACCCTGACGCCTGCTGCTGTATATTTGGAGTTTACGTGTGTCTCTCTCCGTGGTGAGATGTTAACTACCTCGCCTGGTATACAGGACGTCGTGGGTTCCATCCCGACTCTGACGCCTGGTGTATATTTGGAGTTTGCGTGTTTCTCTCTCCGTGGTGAGATGTTAACTACCTCGCCTGGTATACAGGACGTCGTGGGTTCCATCCCGACCCTGACGCCTGCTGCTGTATATTTGGAGTTTGCGTGTGTCTCTCTCCGTGGTGAGATGTTAACTACCTCGCCTGGTATACAGGACGTCGTGGGTTCCATCCCGACCCTGACGCCTGCTGCTGTATATTTGGAGTTTGCGTGTGTCTCTCTCCGTGGTGAGATGTTAACTACCTCGCCTGGTATACAGGACGTCGTGGGTTCCATCCCGACCCTGACGCCTGCTGCTGTATATTTGGAGTTTGCGTGTGTCTCTCTCCGTGGTGAGATGTTAACTACCTCGCCTGGTATACAGGACGTCGTGGGTTCCATCCCGACCCTGACGCCTGCTGCTGTATATTTGGAGTTTGCGTGTGTCTCTCTCCGTGGTGAGATGTTAACTACCTCGCCTGGTATACAGGACGTCGTGGGTTCCATCCCGACTCTGACGCCTGGTGTATATTTGGAGTTTGCGTGTTTCTCTCTCCGTGGTGAGATGTTAACTACCTCGCCTGGTATACAGGACGTCGTGGGTTCCATCCCGACCCTGACGCCTGCTGCTGTATATTTGGAGTTTGCGTGTGTCTCTCTCCGTGGTGAGATGTTAACTACCTCGCCTGGTATACAGGACGTCGTGGGTTCCATCCCGACCCTGACGCCTGCTGCTGTATATTTGGAGTTTGCGTGTGTCTCTCTCCGTGGTGAGATGTTAACTACCTCGCCTGGTATACAGGACGTCGTGGGTTCCATCCCGACTCTGACGCCTGCTGTATATTTGGAGTTTGCGTGTTTCTCTCTCCGTGGTGAGATGTTAACTACCTCGCCTGGTATACAGGACGTCGTGGGTTCCATCCCGACCCTGACGCCTGCTGCTGTATATTTGGAGTTTGCGTGTGTCTCTCTCTCCCCGTGGTCGCGTAGATTTTTCTCCAGGCCCTCTGGTTTATCCCTTCCGCGTTGTAGAGTATTTAGCTGCTACAATAAATTTCCACGTGATGAGCCACTTCGTTGGGCTATCATTTGTGGCCTGGTCACAAAAGAGCTATGTAGATCAGTGGGCCTGACCTGGTGAAATAAGAACCTGGTTAATGACGTGTGAGTCTGTGGGTCTCTGTGTGAGGCTATGGCTCTCTGTGCGAGTCTATGGCTCTCTGTGCGAGTCTATGGCTCTCTGTGTGAGTCTATGGCTCTCTGTGCGAGTCTATGGCTCTCTGTGTGAGTCTATGGCTCTCTGTGCGAGTCACTGGTGACCGGGCTGAGACCATCAACTTGCTGCGCCTGGGACCCCAGGACCCCAGCGGTGCTGCCTCTGCGTCTCTGACCCATGAGCCACCTGGTCTCCTCCTGATATCTTCGAATCCTTAATAAGATCATCATTATCATCAGCAGCAGCAGCCGGACAGAGTGCAGACGGTGCGGAAACCCTGTCCCCCCCCCCTTACCGTACTAAGCGGTGAGTGTCTCCGCCGTAGCCGCCGACGCCGCCGCGCTACGTGAAGTATTTGAGTGAAACGTGACCGATCGCCCCTGGCAAGTGTTCACATTAAAGCTGCTGCCCTGCCCGACGTCGATGGAATCCTCCCGCTCCCCTGTCCGGCAGAGCCACGGCGTCACCAACGCCGCTGACGCTGATGGCTGCGGGAACTGGGCTTCGAAGGAGTGGAGGGGTGGGGAGGGGAGGGGGAGCGCGCCCCCCGCTCTGTAAAAACCCGGGGGGTGTGGGGGGGGGAGTCGGAGCTTTCCCTGTTAAAACTCCCCGATAGAGGTACCCACGCCACCATTGCGTGCTGCCCCTCTTAGCCAAGCCGGCACGGCTCCGGAGGGGTCCCGGTGGTGTGTGTCTGTGGGTCTCTGTGCGAGTCTATGGGGTCTGTGTGAGTCTATGGGGTCTGTGTGAGTCTATGGGTCTCTGTGTGAGTCTATGGGTCTCTGTGTGAGTCTATGGGGTCTGTGTGAGTCTATGGGTCTCTGTGTGAGTCTATGGGGTCTGTGTGAGTCTATGGGTCTCTGTGTGAGTCTATGGGTCTCTGTGTGAGTCTGTGGGTCTCTGTGCGAGTCTATGGGTCTCTGTGTGAGTCTATGGGGTCTGTGTGAGTCTATGGGTCTCTGTGTGAGTCTATGGGTCTCTATGCGAGTCTATGGGTCTCTGTGCAAGTCTATGGGTCTCTGTGCGAGTCTATGGGTCTCTGTGTGAGTCTTGGGTCTCTGTGTGAGTCTATGGGTCTCTGTGTGAGTCTACAGGTCTCTGTGCGAGTCTACGGGTCTCAGCGGGCCTTACCTGTTAAATAAAAATAGTTTTTAGTTTAGTTTACTCAACCGCCCCCCCCCCCCCGCTCGCCCTCCGCTCCCCCCTCGCCCCCCCCCGCGCCCCCCCCCCGCGCCCCCCCCCTCGCCCCCTCCCCCCCCACCAGCCTGTGGAGGCAACGGACGACGCGTTCTGGGACCAGTTCTGGGCAGAGACGGCGACGTCGGTGCAGGACGTCTTCACGCTGGTGCCGGGAGCCGAGATCCGCGCTGTGCGCGAGGAGTCACCCTCCAACCTCGCCACGCTCTGCTACAAGGTCTGATTCTCGTCGTCGTCGTCATCGTCATCGTTGTTATCATTTTCGTTATCGTCGTCATAATCTTCATCGTCATCGTCGTCATTGTTGTCGTCGTCATCTTCGTCATCATTGTCATCGTCGTCGTCATCATCTTCATCATCATCTTCGTCATCATCATCTTCGTCATCATTGTCATCATCGCTGTTATCATCGTCGTTGTCATCGTCGTCATAATCTTCGTCGTCGTCGTCGTCGTCGTAATCTTATTTCCTACGGCTGATGTAGATGCAGGGCAACAGCTACAATTCCACATTCGGCTGGTGAAGCCAGGTAACCACGTCGGGAGCACCGCAGTGTATCGCCGCGACTTCTCCTTTGTATTTGTGGATCGGGCGTTTACATCGTCGTAATCGCCAGCATCAGCAGCATCAGCAGCATCAGCAGGATCGACAGCAGCAGCAGCAGCGCCGGTATCGTCGTCATCGTCATCAGCAGCGGCATTATCGTCGTCACCCCCGCCATCCCCACTGTACTGTGGTTGCGTTATTGTGGTTTTGCGTCACGCGGTCGCGAGCTTCGCGTCACAGTGCGCAGGGAAGGACAACAAACTAAACACCGCGACGCCGAGCACTTCTAGAGAAATGAGTTCGTCAATCTCGGCGATGATTTAAAAGTTGCGCACCTCCCAGCGGCTTCCTAACATCGGAAGGAAGACAAGAGCGTTCCAGACGGCCGCAGAAGCGCGCCCGAAAGCGCTGCGCGATGATGCGGTGAGCGTCCTCGTTCGATGGCTGAGCCAGAAGCCGCCGCTGCTCGGATGGTCGGAGTCTGCGTCATGGTGGGGGGAAGATGTGGGGGGAAGAGGTGCGGTGGGGGGGGAGCGAGGGGGGGGAGCGAGGGGGGGCGGCTGGGGATTCCGGGCGAGGATGACGCGAGCGAGGTTTTCGTTAAGCGGCACGACGGCAAAGTGTCTCTGTCCCCACCACCTCGCCCCTCCCCCCTCCCACCCCCCGTTACCCACCGTTACCCCACGTTACCCCCCGTTACCCCCCCCCCCCCCCGCCGTGCCCAGGCGGTGGAGAAGTTGGTGCAGGGAGCTCAAAACGGCTGCCCCTCGGAGAAGGAGCGCCTGGTGGTGCTGAACTGCACGCGGCTGCTCACGCGCACGCTGCCCTACATCTTCGAAGACCCCGACTGGAGGGGTTTCTTCTGGTCCAGCGTGTCTGGGGCTGGCCGAGCCGGGGTGAGCGGGCGGGCGGGCGGGCGGGCGGGCGGGTGGGCATGTCAATTTAAGTCACGTTGGTAAAAAATTAAATTAAAATTAATAAAAATAAAATAATAAAAATCATGACGTTTCGGAGGCAACACAAGTCTCCGTCATCAGGTGGGACCGTCACAGGCAGATTTGCTGTATCAAATGTATCAAGTGAGGCCTCACTTGATACAGCAAAACTAGCTGTGATGGTCCCACCGGATGACGGAGACTTGTGTTGCCTCCGAAACGTCGTGATTTTTATTATTTTATTTTTATTAATTTTAATTTAATTTTTTACCTACGTGACTTTACCGAAAGAACTAAGAGCATGAATCCTTGCAGTCACGAAAGCTTCAAATCTAGAATGTCAATCTAAGTTCATTTCCTTTAACATGCCACGCTATTTATTACCTTGACACTATAACACCCCATTGACACTCCTTTGGCTGCCTTTGTTCTCAAGTACTTCTATAAACTCTTGCTGGTAACAGCTTCTCTTCACAAGGCAGCAGACATCGCGGCTGTCGCGATTGTCACCTGAAGACGACGGCTTGTGTAGCTATCGAAACGTCGTGATCTTTATTTTATTTCATTTCTACCTACGTGACTTTACCGAAAGAACCAACGAGTATAAAAAAAATTGCGTTTCATCGTTTGCTGCTGCGATTGCGTGCACCCTGACCCGCCGTGGTGTTGTCGTTGTGGCAGAGCGAGGGTGAGGAGGAGGACGAGGTGGACGCCTGCCCACTCGCCCGCTCGCTGCTGCTCGCCATCTCAGACCTCCTCTTCTGCCCGGACTTCACCGTGCACGCCAACCGCAAGGCCGGCCCGGTGAGGCGACACGCACCGCCCGCACCGCCGCCGCCGCCACCACCGCTACGCTACACTCGCCGCTTCATTCTTGACCTGCACTTACCACCTCTACCGTTAATCGCCGCGATCGATCATCGCCGCCGATTAACTCCACAATCATCTTCTTGGTTCTTTCGGTAAAGTCACGTAGAAGGGAAATAATAAAATAATAAAAACAAAACATTTTATTATATAATTGTATTATTAGAACCAAGAAGATGAATCCCTGCAGTCACGAAAGCTTTAAATCGAAATCCACAATCATCGCCGCTAACCACGCGACATCCGGTGGTGACGGTGGGGGTGGGGGGGGTGGGGGGGGGGGGGCGGCTGGACGTACCGTCCGCCACAACCGACAACAATCCCCGGTGCTCGGCAAAGACGCGGTGACCGCAGGACGGAGTTCATGGAACTCCGTGAACTCGTCTCTGTGGCCGTGTGGGGCTGGCTCTGCACGCGGTGGCGCTGGCACCGTGCCTCTCACTTTACATACCTCCCTCCCTCCCCTGCCTCCCTCCCTCCCTCCCCTCCCCTCTCCTCCCTCCCTTCGTCCCTCCCTCCCCTCCCTCCCCTCCCCTCCCTCCCCTCCCCTCCCCTCCCTCCCCTCCCCTCCCTCCGTCCCTCCCTCCCCTCCCTCCCTCCCTCCCTCCCTCCCTCCCTCCCCTCCCCGTCCCTCCCTTCGTCCCTCCCTCCCCTCCCTCCCCTCCCCTCCCCTCCCTCCCCTCCCCTCCCTCCGTCCCTCCCTCCCCTCCCTCCCTCCCCTCCCTCCCCTCCCTCCGTCCCTCCCTCCCCTCCCTCCCTCCCTCCCTCCCTCCCCTCCCCGTCCCTCCCTTCGTCCCTCCCTCCCCTCCCTCCCTCCCCTCCCTCCCCTCCCCTCCCTCCCCTCCCCTCCCCTCCCTCCCTCCCCTCCCTCCGTCCCTCCCTCCCCTCCCTCCCTCCCTCCCCTCCCTCCGTCCCTCCCTCCCTCCCTCCCTCCCTCCCCTCCCCTGCAGGAGTGTGCGGACGAGGGGCAGGGCATCGACAGCTGTGAGTTCATCTGGGAGGCGGGGGTGGGCTTCGCGGTGTCGCCGCCCGCCAGCGCCCAGCACGACGCTAACAGGTGACGCCGCTCGCCCCGGCACCATGCCGGCCGCGGTGGTGGTGACGTCCGTGGTGGTGGTGATGATTATAGTGGTGGTGGTGGTGATAGTGGTGACGGTGGTGACTGTGGTTGTGGTGATGGCGGTGGTGGTGGTGACGGTGGTGGTGACGATGGAGATGATGATGATGTGGTGGTGTTGTTGACTGTGGTGTTGACGGTGGTGTTGACGGTGGTGGTGACAGTGGCGGTGGTGGTGGTGGTGACGGTACTGATGGTGACGGTACTGATGGTGACGGTACTGATGGTGACGGTGGTGGTGATAGCAGTGATGATGGAGGTGACGGCGATGGTGGTGATGGCGGTGGTATTGGTGGTGATGGTGGTGGCGGTGGTGGTGGCGGTGGTGGAGATGGTGGTGGTGGCGGTGGTGGTGGTGATGGTGACGGTGATGGTGGTGGTGGTGGTGGTGGCGGTGGTAGTGATGGTGGTGGTGATGGTGGTGATGGTGACGGTGATGGTGGTGGTGGTGGTGATGGTGACGGTGATGGTGGTGGTGGTGGCGGTGGTGGTGGTGGTGGTGGTGATGGTGGTGGTGATGGCGGTGGCGGTGATGGTGGTGGTGGTGGCGGTGATGGTGGTGGTGATGGCGGTGGCGGTGGTGGTGGTGATGGTGGTGGTGGTGATGGTGACGGTGATAGTGGTGGTGGTGGCGGTGGTGGTGATGGTGGTGATGGTGGTGATGGTGGTGTTGGCGGTGCCCGCAGGACGGAGCTGCTCAAGCTGCTGCTCACCTGCTTCTCGGAGGCGATCTACCAGCCCCCCCCCAGCGAGGGCTCCCCCACCAACCCCTGGGTCTCCTTCTTCTGCTCCGCTGAAAACAGGTACTCACATATTTACCTTCCCAGGTACTTACATACCTACCCAGGTACTCGCATACCTACCCAGGAACTCACATACCTACCTGCCTACCCAGGTACTTGCATACCTACCCACCCAGGTACTCACATACCCACCCACCTACCCAGGTACTCGCATACCTACCCAGGTACTCGCATAACTACCCACCCAGGTACTCACATACCTACCCAGGTACTCACATATTTACCTACCCAGGTACTCACATACCCACCCACCTACCCAGGTACTCACATACCTACCCAGGTACTTGCCTAACCAGGTAGTTACCTATCTACCCAGGTACTCACTTTCCGACCTACCCAGATACTCGCCTACCCAGGTACTCACATACCTACCCAGGTACTTACATACCTATCCGGGTACTTGCCTAACCAGGTAGTTACCTATCTACCCAGGTACTCACCTTCCGACCTACCCAGATACTCGCCTACCCAGGTACTCACATACCTACCCAGGTGCTTGCCTACCTACCTACTCAGGTACTCACCTACGTACCTTCCCGGGTACTCGCCGACCCACCCAGGTACTCGTTTGTGGCTGAGTCATCCTAGGGGAGGCCCAGGACTGGTTTAGATAACCATCACCGGTGTTGGTGGTTGTGAGCGAGAACCGGACTCGGAGTGTGTCAACCACTGCACCACCGCTCCACGCGACCACCACCAACAACAACAACAACAGCCGCCATTCGCCACTAAGTGGCGGTGACGTCACCACGGCGCTTGTGCCAGGCCAGGTGCACTTTGAGGGCCACCACCACCACCAGCACTCGTCACAACGCTCTCTCTCTCTGTGCGTCTCCGTGTCATCTCCATGGTGACTCTTTCCGTATCGTCTCCGTTTCATCTCCATGGTGACTCTTTCTGTTTCATCTCCATGGTGACTCTTTCTGTTTCATCTCCATGTCATCTCCATGGTGACTCTTTCCATATCATCTCCATGGTGACTCTTTCCGTGTCGTCTCCGTATCATCTCCATGGTGACTCTTTTCGTGTCGTCTCCGTTTCATCCCCATGGTGACTCTTTCCGTGTCGTCTCCGTATCATCTCCATGGTGACTCTTTCCGTGTCGTCTCCGTTCCGTCTCCATGGTGACTCTTTCCGTGTCGTCGCCGTATCATCTCCATGGTGACTCTTTCCGTGTCGTCTCCGTACCATCTCCATGGTGACTCTTTCTCCGTGGCCGTGGCGGTGGTGGTGTTGGCAGGCACGCTCTCCCGCTGTTCACGTCGCTGCTCAACGTGGTGTGCGCCTACGACCCGGTGGGCTACGGCCTCCCCTACAACCACCTCCTCTTCTCGGACTCGCGCGAGCCGCTCGTGGAGGTCGCCTGCCAGGTGCTCGTCGTGACCCTCGACTGCGACGCCGCCACGGCCGGGGCCGCCGCCGCCGCCACCGGCGGAGGGGGGGCCGCCGGCGGAGGGGGCGGGGGACCGGGCGGCGCCGGTGCTGACGACCCAGAGGTTCGCCGTGATGTGGCGTGGCATTCGTGGCGTGTTGTGATGTGGTGTGTGTGGCGTGGTGGGGTGTGGTGTGGTGTGTGTGGCGTGGGGTGGTGTGTCGTGTGTGTGGCGTGCGTGGCGTGGTGGGGTGTGTGTGGTGTGGTGTGGTGTGTGTGGTGTGGTGTGGCGTGGTGTGTGTGGGGTGTGTGTGTGTGGTGTGTGTGGTGTGTGTGGCGTGTGTGGTGTAGCGTGGTGTGGTGTGGCGTGGTGTGTGTGGCGTGGTGTGGTGTGTGTGGTGTGGCGTGGTGTGGTGTGTGTGGTGTGGTGTGTGTGGTGTGGCGTGGTGTGGTGTGTGGTGTGGTGTGTGTGGTGTGGCGTGGTGTGTGTGGTGTGGCGTGGTGTGGTGTGTGTGGTGTGGTGTGGTGTGTGGTGTGTGTGGTGTGGCGTGGTGTGTGTGGTGTGGTGTGGTGTGTGTGGTGTGGCGTGGTGTGGTGTGGTGTGTGTGGTGTGGTGTGGCGTGGTGTGTGTGGTGTGGCGTGGTGTGTGTGGCGTGGTGTGGTGTGTGTGTGGTGTGGTGTGGTGTGTGTGGTGTGGCGTGGTGTGGTGTGTGTGGTGTGGTGTGGCGTGGTGTGTGTGGTGTGTGTGGCGTGGCGTGGTGTGGTGTGGCGTGGTGTGGTGTAGCGTGGGGTGGTGTGGTGTGTGTGGCTTGTTGTGGTGTTTCGTGGGCGGTGTGGCATAGTGTTGCGTGGTGTGTTGTGTGTGGCGTGGTGTGTGTGGCGTGGTGTGGTGTGTGTGGCATGGTGTGTGTGGTGTGGTGTGTGTGGCGTGGGGTGGTGTGGTGTGTGTGGCGTGGTGTGTGTGGCGTGGTGTGTGTGGCGTGGTGTGTGTGGCGTGGTGTGGTGTGTGGCGTGGTGTGTGTGGTGTGGTGTGTGTGGCGTGGTGTGTGTGGTGTGGTGTGTGTGGCGTGGTGTGTGTGGTGTGGTGTGTGTGGCGTGGGGTGGTGTGGTGTGTGTGGCTTGTTGTGGTGTTTCGTAGGCGGTGTGGCATAGTGTGGCGTGGCGTGGCGTGGTGTACGTGACTCCCCCGCGTTAAACGACCTCTTCTCCATCCCGCAGGCCGCCGGACCGGACAACCTCTTTGTGAACTACCTCTCCCGCATCCACCGCGAGGAGGTGAGCAGGGAGAGACGCTCGCTCGAACGCGGACAAAGGTCCCCCGCGTAGCCTTCAACAGGCCGACTTACGACTCGCGGTCCGAACAGGCGACTGGACGTACGGACGGGCTTGTTCGTATCTCTGAAAGTTCGTAAGTCAAATGTTCGTAGGTCGAGGAGTCCCTGTACATTACATCACGAATCGGCTCCAGGTTTCCAGACCCCCGGCCCGGACGAAGACTTAAAACAGAACCCCGAGCGTGTGCGATACCTCCGAATCCCACGTCGTCCCAACGTTCCCCTGCCTCACAACCTCCGCTCTCCCCCCCGCCCACCTCCCCCCGCCCCTCCCCTGCGCCCCTCCCCCCGCCCCTCCCCCCGCCCCTCCCCCCGCCCCTCCCCCCCGCCCCTCCCCTGCGCCCCTCGCGCCGCCCAGGATTTCCAGTTCGTGCTCAAGGGCATCAGCCTCCTGCTGAACAACCCGCTGCTGCAGACGTACCTCCCCAACTCGTGCAAGCGAATCAGCTACCACCAGGAGCTGCTCATCCTCTTCTGGAAGCTCGCGGACTTCAACAAGGTGAGGGGGGAGGGGGGAGAGAGTGGCGGGTGGAGAGGGAGGGGGGTGAGGGAGGGTGAGGGGGGAGAGCGGGGGGGGTGAGAGAGGGGGGAGAATGGAGGGGTGGTGAGAGAGGGGGGGTGAGAGAGGGGGGGGGAGAGGGCGGGGGGAGGGCAGGGGGGGAGGTTGGCAGGGGAGAATGGAGGGAGGGAAAACGGGGGGGGGGGAGAACGGGGGGGGGGGGAGAACGGGGGGGGAAGAACGGGGGGGGGGGGGGAGAACGGGGGGGGGGGGGGGCAGAATATGGGGGGGAGAGCAGGGGGGAGAGTGGAGGGGAGAGTGGAGGGGAGAACGGGGGGGGGGAAGAACGGGGGGGGGAGAACGGGGGGGGGGGGGTAGAATGGGGGGGGGAGAGAACGGGGGGGGGGGGTAGTGTAGCGGTTTAGCGCTGCGCTGTGAGCTGGGTGATCCGAGTTAGATTCCCGCTCACGGCCAACACCGGTGACGATTATCTGAACCGGTCTTGGGCCTCCCTTTGGTCGACTCAAATCAGTACCCAGTACGATGTGTAAATGTGTCATTGGGCTTGGCGCTGGCCACCCCCCCCCCTCGTGTGCCGTGCCGGCCTTCGTAGGTGCTCCTACTCGTTGACGGCACTTGCTAAGGCTACCCTGGGGGTCTTGGTCTGTGTGCGTGCGCGCTGTAGAAATTCCTCTTCTACGTGCTCAAGAGCAGCGACGTGCTGGAGATCCTGGTGCCCATCCTCTACTACCTGAACGACGCACGCGCCGATCAGTGTGAGTGTGTCCGTGAGCGTGGGGGGTGGGCTGCACACACGCACACGGACACTCGCACACACAGACACACACACGGACATGCACGCACGTGCATGTCACTTAGGTATAAAATAAAATAAATCACGACGTTTTGGGCACAACACAAGCATCCGTCATCAGGTGGGAGAGCGTGGCCTGCTGCTGAGGCAGACTGCAGACTTGTGTTGCGCCCGAGACGTCGTGATTTATTTTATTTTCTACCTACATGACTTTACCGAAAGAACCAAGGAGTATGGATTCCTGCAGTCACGAAAGCTTCAAATCAAGACTTTGTGGATTCGTTCGGCAACCGAAAGCCCATTGGAGCTCGGCAAGCACTGGACAGACACGGTCGGATCTTGCAGCGAGTCCCCTCCTGTGTGACTCGTGACCTGTAACCCGTGATGCTGAATGTGACCTGTGACCTGTGACCCGTGACCCGTGACCCGCAGCGCGTGTGGGGCTGATGCACATCGGCGTGTTCATCCTGCTGCTGCTGAGCGGCGAGCGCAACTTTGGCGTGCGCCTCAACAAGCCGTACTCTGTGCGCGTGCCCATGGACATCCCCGTGTTCACCGGCACGCACGCCGATCTGCTCGTCATCGTGCGTACCCGCACACACACACACACTCGCTCGCTCACTCACTCACTCGCTCACACGCTCGCACACGCTCGCTCACTCACACGCATGCACACGCTCGCACACACTCGCGCACGCTCGCACGCTCGCCCACTCACACACACACACTCGCTCACTCACACGCATGCACACGCTCGCACGCATGCTCGCTCACTCACGCACTCACTCGCACAACAAGAACAACAACCGCCATTCGCCACTAAGTGGCAGTGACGTCACCACGGAGCTTCTGCCTGGCTATGTGCACGTTGAGTGTGAAACGCCCGGTCGCAGCAGGTCACGGGACAGACCCAGGTGTCTTGGGTCGACTGAGATGACTGGCCGATGCACCACCTGTGCCCGCTACTGTGCCAAATTGCTGTGTTTTAGCCACCCGGCGCTCCACACATTGTTGTGAGCGTCACTCCTCTGCCCTCCGTTGTTGCTGGGGGGCGACTGCCTTCAACTGCCCAGTAGCAGCGTCCTTCACGAGCTTCCGCCACTTACACACACACACACACTCACTTGCTCACTCGCTCACACGCTCGCTCACACACTCACACGCACACACACGCTCACACACACACGCTCGCTCACTGACTCACTCGCTCTCCCATTCGTACACACACACTCACTCGCTCGCTCACATTCTCACTCGCGCACACACACACACGCTCGCTCACTGACTCACTCGCTAACTCACTCACTCGCTCGCCCATTCATACACACACACTCGCTCGCTCGCTCACATTCTCACTCGCGCACACACACACACGCTCGCTCACTGACTCACTCGCTAACTCACTCACTCGCTCACTCGCTCGCCCATTCGTACACGCACTCGCTCACTCGCTTGCCCGCCCGCCTGCTCACTCCCTGTATCTCCACGCCATCCCCTCTGGGCCTTCAGGTGTTCCACAAGATCATCACGAGTGGACACCAGCGCTTGCAGCCGCTCTTCGACTGCCTACTGACGGTCATCGTCAACGGTCTGTGTCCAGACTCCTTCTCCCTGTCTCTCTCTCTCGCTGTCTCTCCCTCTCTCCCCCTGCATCTCTTTGTTTCTCCTTGTTTCTCCCTGTCTATTCCTGTCTCTCACTCCCTCTCTCTCCTCTCTTTTTTTTACGATCAGAGGAAACAAGAAGATGCTCGGTGTAGTCGACACTTTGCTTCGTTCATCATTTCGGTTTTTAGTTTTTTTTATGCTTTGCTTTATGTAAACTCCCTCTCTCTCTACCCCTCTCGCTCTCGCTCTCTGTCTCGCTCACTCTCTCGCTCACTCTCTCGCTCACCCTCTCGCTCACTCTCTCTCTCGCTCACTCTCTCGCTCACCCTCTCGCTCACTCTCTCGGTCACTCTCTCGCTCACTCTCTCGCTCACTCTCTCGCTCTCTCGCTCTCTCTCTCGCTCACCCTCTCGCTCACTCTCTTGCTCACTCTCTCGCTCTCTCTCTCGTTCTTCTCTCTCGTTCTTCTCTCTCTTTTTTTTTTTTTACTAAGACAAGTGCTGCATCTGCACGCCGCCCTTCTAGCAGGCCAACGGCCTCCGACGGGTAGCTTATATCTGCATGCAGAGCTCTCCATTTCTCTCCCAGTCTCTCCCAGTCTCTCCCTGTCCCTCTCTTTCTTGCTGTCTTTCGCTCTCTCTCTACGGCAGGGGTGGGGAACGTCCAGGCCCGCGGGCCATACAAGGCCCGCGGAATCATTTGATGTGGCCCTGCCAAGGCAACCGCAGGCGGGACTCGAAATTCAATAAATCTAGGAGCAAACCTGGAAAAGCAGTTGCGAGTAGCAACAACATCACCAAGACCAGCTAACATCGCACGCCTCACCAAAGAGAAGCATTTCCAGCCATCGCATTAAGGTCGAGTTAATTAAATGTTTGACCGAATATAACGGGCTAATTTTTAAGTTGATAATTTTGTACGGCCCGCGAATGATATCATAAATATCCAAATGGCCCTTGGCAGAGAAAAGGTTCCCCGCTCCTGCCCTACGGGGACGGGCCCTGCGCGGAACGGGGGGCCGGGAGAGCGCTTCTGCCGGCCGGAGAGCGGACGAGAGACGGCACTCGGTGATTCCTCGCTGCTCCGCTCACCCTCGCTGCTCCGCCGTTTGCTCCACCACCCTCCCCCCCCCCATCTCCGCCACCCCCTGCAGTGTCCCCGTATCTCAAGAGCCTGTCCATGGTGGCGGCGAACAAGCTCCTGCACCTGCTGGAGGCCTTCTCCACCACCTGGTTCCTCTACTCGGCGCCGCAGAACCACCACCTGGTCTTCTTCCTGCTCGAGGCCTTCAACAACATCATCCAGTACCAGTTCGATGGTGGGTCGCGGGGGTCACATGGTCGCGGGGTCACGCAACCGCTGGATTTGAGAGGTCTTGGGGTCGTGCTGTCACATGGTTACGGGGGCGTGGGGTCGTGGGGTCATACGGTCGCTGGTTTGCGAGGTCGTGGGGTCATGGGGTCACGGGGTCCCACGGTTGCAGGAGCGTGAGGTCGTGGGGTCACACGGTTTTGGGGACGTGTGGTCATTGGGTCGTGGGGTCATACGGTCGCTGGTTTGCGAGGTCGTGGGGTCATGAGGTCACGGGGTCGCGGGGTCCCACGGTTGCAGGAGCGTGAGGTCGTGGGGTCACACGGTTGTGGGGACGTGGGGTCATGAGGTCGTGGGGTTATACGGTCGCTGGTTTGCGAGGTCGTGGGGTCATGAGGTCACGAGGTCCCACGGTTGCAGGAGCGTGAGGTCGTGGGGTCACACGGCCGCATCCCGCTGCGGTGACGCTCGGACGACGGGAGGGCCCGACGGCCGGAAGCGTCTTCGAAGCTCGGAGAATCGTTGGGGCGGCCCTCGGCCAATCGTGGTGGCTCTAAAGCCCTCGGTGGAAATTCCAAAATTGCTACGGCAGCGTCCTCGGTTGTGGATGTTAGCGGTCAACGTTAAGGGGGCGGAGGTTGGCTTTGGAACCGTCCCGTGCGTGCGAGCTGACGGATCGTCGCTTCCTGAGCCCAGCGAGGAACGGCTCCGGCCTGGAGAGGCGTCCATCCGGCGGCGGAAAGATCACACGGCTGATGATGACGCGGCTTGGGAACGGTGTGTCCTGTGAAATCTTCAAATCCGACTTCTCTCCTCCCGAGCCTGTCCCAGTGATTTTCTCAATTCGACACACACGCATGGCCACAAAAGACAAAGGTACCCCGTATAGCCTGAACAGATTGTTGGGGCAAGTGCTTTTAGCGAGTAGCACCTATGAAGGACGGCACGGTACACGAGGGGGTGGGTGGCCAGCACCACGCCCGGCCGCCTTTGTCTTCCCAGTGCCGATGTTTACACGCCGCACCAGGTACTCATTTGAGGCTCAGTCGACCTAGGGGATGTCCAGGTCCGGTTCTGATAATCGTCACCGGTGTTGGCCGTTGGCGGTAATCGTACCCGGGTCGTCAGGTTCATAGCGAGGCGCGCTAACCGCTACACTGCCGCTCCCCACACACACATGGCCACGCACACACGGACACGCATGCACACGACCACACACGCGACCCGAGTTGAGATTCTCGGCCAGGGCAAACTTCGACTTTATCGACGACGATACATCAGTCACAGCTGACGGTAGATAAATCGATCGCGGCCGACGACAACTATACCAGCTCCCCCGCTCCGCCAGGCAACTGCAACCTGGTATACAGCATCATCCGCAAGCGCGCCGTGTTCCACGCGTTGGCAAACCTCCCCACGGACCAGGCCTCGGTGCACAAGGCCCTGCAGCGGCGCCGCAAGGCCTCGGACAGCAGCGGCTCCCGGCGCGGCTCCCAGGACGGCACCTCCATGGAGGGCTCGCGGCCCGCGGCCCCCGCCGAGCCCGGCACGCTCAAGGCCACGCTCGCCGCCACGCCCGGTGAGCGAACCGACTGAGTGACTGAGCCAGCCGACTGAGTCGCTGAGCGAGCGAGCGACTGAACGAGCAAGCGAGCAACTGAGTGACTGAGCAAGCAAGCGACTGAGTGACTGAGTGAGCGAGTGGCTGAGTGACTGATCAAGTGAGTGACAGAGTGACTGAGCGAGTGAGCGGCTGAGTGACTGAGCGAGCGAGCAGCTGAGTGACTGAGCAAGCAAGCGACTGAGTGAGCGAGTGGCTGAGTGACTGAACGATTAAGTGACTGAGCGAGCGACTGAGCAAGCGACTGAGTGACTGATCAAGTGAGCGACAGAGTGACTGAGCGAGTGACTGAGCGAGCGAGCGACTGAGTGACTGAACGAGCGAGCGAGTGGCTGAGTGACTGAGCAAGCAAGCGACTGAGTGAGCGAGTGGCTGAGTGACTAAACAACTGAGTGACTGAGCGAGCGACTGAGCAAGCGACTGAGTGCCTGATCAAGTGAGCGACAGAGTGACTGAACGACTGAGTGCCTGATAAAGTGAGCAACTGAACGACTGAGCAACTGAGCGACTGAGCGAGCGGGCACCTTTGTCTGCGCGTGCGTGGCGGTGGCGGCGCAGGCCTGGACAAGCTGACGGAGCGCGCCCACGTGGCGGACGACGGCTCGGCGCAGCGGCTGGACGGCGCCGGCGAGGCAGCGGGGGGAGGGGAAGGTGGCGCCGCCGCCGCGACCCCCACCGTGAACACCACGACCTCCAGCACGGGCAGCATCACGGCCAACGCCAGCGCCAGCACCAGCGCCAGCGCCAGCGACAACGAGTCCAGCGTCGGGGTTGGTGTGGGCGGCTGGGCGGCTGGGCGGCTGGGCGGGCGCGAATACGAATGCTGCGGGTGCTTGAGAGCGAGTGACGTGCTCGCACGAGTGCACGAGCGAGTGTGAGCGAATGTGAGTGTGAGCTAGAGAGTGAGCGAGCCAGAGAGTGAGCGAGAGAGTGAGCGAGTGTGAGCTAGAGAGTGAGCGAGAGTGAGCGAGTGTGAGCGAGTGTGAGCTAGAGAGTGAGCGAGAGTGAGCGAGAGTGAGCTAGAGAGTGAGCGAGTGTGAGCTAGAGAGTGAGCGAGTGTGAGTGTGAGCTAGAGAGTGAGCGAGCTAGAGAGTGAGCGAGAGAGTGAGCGAGTGTGAGCTAGAGAGTGAGCGAGTGTGAGCGAGTGTGAGCGAGCGTCTTGATAGGAGTGATGGTGTCAGTTTGCAGAGGGAGTGGTGCGATTGAGCTGTGAAGTTTTTTGTGGGGTTCGTTAGTGCGGAGTGGTCGTGCGTGGTGGTGGTTGGTGGTGCGTGGTGTTGGTGGTGCGGTGGTGGTGGTAGTGCGGTAGTGGTGGTGGTGGTAATGCGGTGTCGGTGGTGGTGGTGCGGTGGTGGTGCGTGGTGTTGGTGGTGCGGTGGTGGTGGTGGTAGTGCGGTGGTGCGGTGGTGGTGCGGTGGTGTTGGTGGTGCGGTGGTGGTGGTAGTGCGGTGGTGGTGCGCGGTGCGAGAGTGATTCCCCGTTGGGGCCGTGTCCCACCGTCCCCGCCGCAGCCGCCACAGCAGCAGCAGCAGCAGCCGCAGCAGCAGCAGGAGTCGGTGGTGATGACGACGCGGAGAGACATGAAACGCTCGAGCAGCGTCTCCAGCTCCAGCTCTGGGCAGTGGGTACCCACCACCGAGTGGGTGAGGACAACAACCACCTACAATCGCCACAACCACCATCACCACCACAACCACAACAACCAATACCACCACAACCAACACAACCACAATCACCATCACGACCACCACCACCACAATCGCTACCACAATCTCCACGACCACAACCACCACAACCACCACAACCAACATCACCACAACCAACACAACAACCACCACAATCACCACCACAACCACAACCACCACAACCAATACCACCACAACCAACACAACCACCACCACAATCACCATCACGACCACAACCGCGACCACCACAACAACTACCACCACAACCACCACAATCACTACCACAATCACCACAGCCACAAAAATAACATCACCACTGCCACAACCACCACCACCATCATCACCATGATGGCGATAATGATGATGTCAATGTAAGTATATAGGTCTTGATGTAAATCTACGTGTGTATATCTATATATATAAGTCTATGGGTCTCTGTGTGAGTCTATGAGTCTCTAGTGTAAGTCTATGTGTTAGTCTATGGGTCTCTGTGTAAGTCTATGGGCCCTGTGTGAGTCTGTGGGTCTCTGTGTAAGTCTATGGATCTCTATGTAAGTCTATGGGTCCAGTGTGAGTCTATGGGTCCTTTGTAAGTCTATGGCTTCTTTGTAAGTCGATGGGCCCTGTGGAAGTCTATTGCTTCTGTGCACCGGTCAAAATGTTTTAGCGGATTCATCAGACATCACTGATGAGGACGATGACGACGATGACGACGATGACGACGATGACGCTGACGACGATGGTGATGTTGATGTGGTGATGTCCGCCAGGTGATGTCCTGGAAAGCCAAGCTGCCGCTGCAGACCATCATGCGCCTGCTGCAGGTGCTGGTGCCACAGGTGGAGAAGATCTGCATTGACAAGTAATCTCACACACACACACCCAGACAAACGTGTACCCCGTGCAGCCTTCAACAGACTGTTGGGGCAAGTGCAGTTAGCGAGCAGCACCCTATGAAGGCCGGCACGGCTCACGAGGGGGGTGGGTGGGCAGCGCCACGTCCGGCCGCCTTTGTCTCCCCAGTGGCGATGTTTTACACATCTCACCACGTGCTGATTTGAGGCCGAGGTGACCGTGAGCGGGAATCAAACTCGGGTGTCGCCGGGTTAGTGGCGCATCGCGGCGTTAACTCTCGCACTCTCGCACGCACACACACGCACACACACGCACACACACGCACACACACGCACGCACGCACACACACGCACACACACGCACACACACACACGCACACACACACACTCTCACACGCGCACGCACACACACACGCACACACACGCACGCACACACACGCACACACGCACACACACGCACACACACGCACACACACACTCTCACACGCGCACGCACACACGCACACACACGCACACACACATGCACATACACCTGGGCCCTGACAGAGCCACGGTGGAGCTGGTGTTGGTGGCGGAGGAGATTGTCATGGTGCTGATGGTGGCGGTGGCGTTGGGGTAGTTGTGGTAGAGGGTGGTGGTAATGATGGTCACGATGCTGTTGGTATTGGTTAAAGTGAGGTTCACGGTTGTGTCGTTGACGGTGTGTGTACGTGTGTACGTGTGTGCGTGCTTGTTTGTGTGCGCATGTGTACGTGTGTGTGCTTGTGTATCTCCATGCCAACGCGTGTGTGTACGCATGTGTGTGCTTGTGTGTGCGTGTGTGCGTGTAGGGGTCTGACGGACTGAGACGGAGATCCTCAAGTTCCTGCAGCACGGCACGCTGGTGGGCCTGCTGCCCGTGCCACACCCCATCCTCATCCGCAAGTACCAGGCCAACGCCGGCACGGCCGCCTGGTTCCGCACCTACATGTGGGGCGTCATCTACCTACGGTAGCGCTCGCACCGCTCGCACCGCTCGCACCACTCGCACCGCACAAATCACCACACCTACGATGAGCACGGTTGCCTGCGTACTGTGCGAAAAGAAGTACAACGTACATACACGTGCACACGCGCGCACACGCACAACACTCACTAAACACGCAAGCATTACACACAGCACGCACGTACCTGTGTGCGTGTGTGTGGCTTTATCTGCCAGTCATCTCGGTCAGTCGACCCATGGCACCTTGGTCTGTCCCGTGACCTCCTGACAACAAGAGCCTTTCCACCCTTCACGTGATGGCCGCAAAGTGAACCTAGCCTGGCACAAGCGCTGTGGTGATGTCACCTCCACTAAGTGACGAATGGTGGCTGCTGCTGCTGTTGTTGTGGATGTGTGCGCGCGCACGGCCGTGTGAGCGTGTCCGTGTGTGTGAGCGTGTGCGTGAGCGCGTGTGAGTGCATGTGTGTGCGTGCTTGCCTGTATGAGTGTGCGCGTGAGTGTGAGCGTGTGTGTGTGTGAGCACGTGTGTGTGTGAGCGTGTGCCTGAGTATGTGTGTGTGCGTGAGCGCGTGTGAGTGCATGTGTGTGTGCGCGTGTGTGTGTGTGAGCATGTGCCTGAGTATGTGTGTGTGCATGAGCGCGTGTGAGTGCATGTGTGTGTGCGCGTGTGTGTGTGAGTATGAGCGTGTGTGTGAGTATGAGCGCGTGCGTGCGCGTGTCCTCACGGTGCCACCGTGCCACCCGCAGGAACGTGGACCCGCCCGTGTGGTACGACACGGACGTGAAGCTCTTTGAGATCCAGCGCGTGTGAGCTCCTCGCTCCCACGCCGAATCCACCGCCGCCACCACCGCCAGCACCACTCCGTCCGGCCGTGCGCCCACGTGCGCGTCCGTCCATCCGTCCTCCGATTCGCCGCCTCTGCCGTCGCTCGCCGCGATCGCCCGTTTGCAGCGCGCGGGGTGCCGAGCCACACGCCGGGCCCACACGGCCACCCACACCGCGGCTACGGTGGTCGCGGCGGTGGTGGCGCGCGGGGGGTTGGGAGGGCAAGCGGTGTTGGTTGTGGTGCGTTCATCCGGCTGGCGTTGTGCGATGGCGTGGAGTGCGTTTCACCGCGTGCGAGCGAGAGTGTGAGTGAGCCACTATGAGTGAGTGCGAGCGTGTGTGCGAGCGTGTGAGCGAGCGTGTGTGCGAGCCACTATGAGTGAGTACGAGCGTGTGAGCGAGCGTGTGAGCGAGCCACTATGAGTGAGTGCGAACGTGTGTGCGAGCGTGTGTGCGAGCGTGTGACCGAATCGCTGCGTTGGCGTGCGAGCGTATGAGCTGGCGTGTGTGCGAGCGTGTGAGCTGGCGTGTGTGTGAGCGTGTGAGCGAGTCGCTGCGTTGGCGTGCGAGCGAGCGTATGAGCTGGCGTGTGGGCGAGCGTGTGAGCGAGTCGCTGCGTTGGCGTGCGAGCGAGTGAGCGCGATCGAGTGGCAGCGCGTGACGTACCCGCCGACACCAGGGGGCCACTGTTGACCAGGGTGGTGGAGGGGGGGCGTGAGTGCGGCCTCCTCCTCCACGCACGGCTCGTGTCGGCCACGCTCGCCGCTCGCTGACCGCGGGGTCACGTGACAGTCGTGGGGGGGGGTGGTGGGTGTTGGGTCTGGGTTGTGGTGGGATCCGTGTTATGGTGGGGGGGGGGGGGGGTCGTCTCGTGTGCTCACAGGGAACTTTGTGGCGCCGTTAGACGGCACTCAGGGCGGCTGTCGTGGGGGAGGGGGGGGTAACCGTGTGTGACGCGTGTCCGAGGGCCCTGTCTCAGGGTGGGACGTTTATTTAGTTTCGTCCGTTGTCTTTGTGCGGATTCATTTCTTTAAGCTCGTACACGCGCACTCACACACGGGTCCACGTGTAGCCCACACACACACACGGCTCCACGTGTAGCCCACACACACACGGGTCGACATGTAGCCCACACGCGCACTCACACACGGGTCCACGTGTAGGCCAAAGACAAAGATTCCCCGTATATAGTCTTTAACACACTGTGGGGGCAAGTGCTGTTTGCGAGCACCTATGAAGGCCGGAACGGTACACGAGGGGGTGGGTGGCCAGCACCACACCCGGCCACCTTTGTCTCCCCAGTAGCGATGTTTTTACACACCGCACCATAGTCTGAATGCTTGCGTTTATGTTTTTTGTTATCACGCCATTATACTGTGTGTAGGCTTACACCGACATGCATTTGTAGCACTTTAGATTCTACATATTCACTCCACTACAGTCACATCGCCGCTTATTCAGTTCCGTATTCACACCACCGTGGAGTCTACATCTCTCTCGAAAGTGGAAACCGGCTGTGACGCCATTCACAGCGGTAGGATCCACGTCAGAGGTCGCAACCGGGTACCCGATACCCGTACCCTACCCGATACCCGGCTACCCGTACTCGGCCGGGTACGGGTAGCCGTTTGCGACCCTGGTGTGGCCGGGTACGTGTACGGGTAGGCCGTGAGTCACTGGTGAGTCACCGTTTGTCACTCATTTCGGGTAGGGTACGGGTATGGAACGGGTACCCGTACCCGGCCGGGTACAGGGTACCCATTTGCGACCCTGGTGCGGCCGGGTACGGGTAAGGAATCGAATCCCGTTTGCGACCTCTGATCCACGTGGAGAGCCTGGCACGCCGTGGGGTGCAGAAGCTGTTGCTCGCTGCGGAAAGGCAAACCGAAAACGAGAATCGGCTTTGTGGCTGGAATCGTTCTGGATCTCCGAGGGGCCGTGGGACTGCCGCAGAGAGTGTGGTCCCTGGCTCCCACTTCCAGGGCCCAGGAAGGCAGGCACGGGTGTGTACGGGTGTGTACGGGTGTTCGCGGGAGCGCGCCTTCTTTGCGCTCTCGGCGTACGCGGGGCGAGCAGAGCGGAGTGACGGGCGAGCGTGCGGGGAGCGGTCCTCCCAACGGTTGACACTAAAAATATCGTCGCCCCTTGCTTGCTCTGACCTCACCGCGTGACCTTTACCACGGGCCGTGACCTTCCCCCTCCACTCCAGTATTGTGAAATCTCAACACTCCACATATCTATGTACAGTATATAGAACTTATTTCGCACCGTACGTAGTCAACCGTGCTCATTGGAGGTGCGGGGGTGGGTGGGAGGGAGGAACGACAACAAACTAAGTTCTAAAGAAATGAGTTTGTCAATTGAGATGATGATTTAAAAGTGTCCGCAGCTCCAGCGGCTTCCTAATATCGGAAGGGAAGAGCGTTCCAGACGGCCGCGGAAGCGCATTTGAAAGCACCGCCGCCTTTGGTTCGACGGTTCTGTGCTCCTTGAGATGGGCAAGGTGTTGCTGTGGTTAATTTGTGGTTAAGCATTTGGGGGGCCCCCTTACAGCCGCGACTGAGCTGTGGGGGGGGTGCTGGAGGACGACGCGACTGTCCAACCGATGGAGCAGCCTCGCCGCTGCGTTCCGCCGGGAGATTCCGTCAACTCCCAAAAATCACGTGGAACCAAAAATTTCTTCCGCCCCACTCTCTTGCATTTTACAGCATGGGGGGCGGGGGGGCGGGGGGGCGGGGGGGGGTTAAACAAATTCCGTAAACGACGGGACGGGGTTTGATTCTGTGAGATCACTACTGTAACTCGGGTTTCGACCTGTGAGATCACTACTGTAACTCGGGTTTCGCCCACCCAGCTCCTGTGTGTGCGCGTGGGTGCATTTAGTTTTTAGTGTCACAACACTGGATTGTGCGACGCTGTTAACACGCGGAAGCCGTCGGGTGAGCGGGTATCCTGTATTTTTTTGTTCTTGTTGCTGTTGTATCGTTTCAGTTGAGCCAAATCGTCTCCACTCCACAGCCGAGCGATCGGTCGCCTGCAACTTCCCCCCCCCGCCTCTCTCCACCCCACGGTTGCCTGCAACTGCTTTGTCCACGTCTGGGCGAGTTGTAGCGCAATCACGTGGGGACGTGGGTGCATATCGTGCCCTCACCAGAGGTCGCAACCGGGTACCCGATACCCGTACCCTACCCGATACCCGGCTACCCGTACCCGGTCGGGTACCCGTTTGCGACCCTGGTGCGGCCGGGTACGGGTACGGGTAGGCCGTGAGTCACCGGTGAGTAACCGTTTGTCACTCATTTCGGGTAGGGAATGGGTACCCGTACCCAGCCGGTACGGGTACCCAATTGCGACCCTGGTGCGGCCGGGTACGGGTAAGGAATCAAAACCCGTTTGCGACCTCTGGCCCTCACCCCCCACCCCCAGCCACTTGCCCCCACAGGCTGTTGGAGGCAAGTACTGTTTGCGAGTAGCAGCACCGATGAAGGGCCCGGTACTGCGGCACTGTGGCGCTGTGCCGGGTGGCCAGCACCACGCCCGGCCGCCTTTGTCTCTCGGGGTGGTGATGTTTACACACACCACGCCAGGTACTCATTTGAGGCTGAGTCGACCTAGGGGGAGGGTGGAGGCCCAGGACCGGTGCACCACCGCTCCCCACCTGGGTATCTCCCGGTGGGGGGGACGTCCGCACGAATTCGCTGATTTTTTGTTACAAGGAAATGATTCCATGGGTATTTCGCGAGGCATCAATCGCCTCTCCTGGCAGATAATTGAATGCCCGCTCGGTCGGCCAGGCGCTGTCCAGCCACCTCGTGGTGCACGGGGAGGCAGCTGGCACTGGGGGGGCCCCCATCACCACCCACACCGAGATGCCCAGCGTCCAGGCGAGGGCGCGGTGACAAAAACAAGGGAATTGTAAAGAATGATTATTGTTAAGAATTATTTTTATCATTGGTCAGAATGATTCTTATTAAGAATGATTCTTATTGCTAAGAATGATTATTCATCTTATTGATAAGAATGATGATTCTTCTTGATAAGAAGAATGATGATTCTTATTGTTAAGAATGATTTTTCATCTTATTGATAAGAATGATGATTCTTCTTGATAAGAATAATTAATCTTATTGTTAATAATGATTATTCTTAAAAATTCTTCTTGTTAAGAATGATTCTTATTGATAAGAATTCTTCTTGTTGTTAAGAATGATGATTCTTATTGTTAAGAATTCTTCTTGTTGTTAAGAATTCTTATTATTGATAAGAAAGATTCTTATTGTTAATAATTATTCTTATTGATAATGATTCTTCTTATTGTGATGCTGCAGGCGACCGTCAAGAGTTGCGTGATTGATCGCTCGGGTGTGTGGCCCTCACTGCGGATGCGTCGGTGCACTGGGCTCTGAACTGCTGGTTATTAGTATTGGTATTAACTTTATTATTAGTAGTAGTACTGTTATTTTTCGATTTAAAGCTTTCGTGACTACAGGGATTCATCTTCTTGGTTCTTTCGGTAAAGTCACGTAGAATGGAAATAATAAAATAATAAAAATAAAACGTAATAAAATAATATATTATTTTATTATTAGATAATAAAATATTAAAAATAAACCATATAAAAATATTACATTCTTTGATTTCATTATTATTTTATTATTAAATAATAAACTAATAAAACATATTTTTTTATTTTATAATGTTTTATTTTTTTATTTTTTTTATTTACATTCTACGTGACTTTACCAAAATAACCAAGAAGAGTACTGTTATTGTTAGTAGTATTGTGTTATTAGTAGTATTGTGTTGTTATTGTTATTATTAGAGGTGTCATGATTAGTCGTAGTGCTGTGTTATTGTTGGCGTGCGGGTTGACTCTGGTGGTTGGGAGATTCCTCTGTTCGCGATTCCACGACGTGCCGAGGGCAACGCGGAGAGACCCGAGTCGTCGTTTATTTCGTGTTGCACTGCGCTCCGTGGTGGAGGTGGCTCACGGAGTGGCATCTTGGGGGCGGGTGGCCACGTAGACCCCCTCCCCCCCCCCCCCCAGCAGCATCCGTGCCGTGTCATCTCGCCGATGATTTTAACCCCCACGCCACCACCACCACCACGCCACCACCACCACACCACCACCACGCCACCACCACCACGCCACCACGCCGCCACCACCACGCCACCACCGCCACCACCACGCAACCACCACCACGCCACCACCACCACCACGCCACCACCACGCAACCACCACCACCACGACACCGCCACCACGCCACCACCACCACGCCGCCACCACCACCACGCCGCCACCACCACGCCACCACCACCACGCCACCACCACCACGCCGCCACCACCACGCCGCCACCACCACCACGCCACCACCACCACCACGCCACCACCACCACCACGCCACCACCACCACCACGCCACCACCACTACTTTGACCTCGCCGGGTCGACCTTCAATAGTCGGGCCGGCGTTTAGCCATGGGCGCGTTGGTCTTCAGCTTCGTGTGAGTGTGAGAGAGGAGGGGGGGGAGAGGGAGAGAGATAAAAAATATGTGCAAAGGAAGACGCGCTACGAGTGAGTGAGCGAGCGTGAATTGTTGTTCCAACTGCAGAGACGATGTTTTCCCAGGCACCAAAACTCGATTTGAGGCCGAGTCTGCCTAGGGGGAGGCCCCAGCACCGGTTCGGAGAATCGTCAACTGGTGTTGGGTGGCCGTGAGCGGAAATCGAACTCGGGTGGCCGGGGCTCAGCGTGCTAACCGCTGTGCCACCGCTCCCCACACACACACAGATCCCCCGTGTAGCCTTAACGGGCTGTTAGGGCAAGTGCTGTTAGCGAGTAGCACCTACAAAGGCCGGAACGGCACAGAAGGGGGTGGGTGGCCAGCACCACGCCCGGCCGCCTTTGTCTCCCCAGTGGCGATGTTTACAAATCGCACCAGGTACTCATTTAAGGCTGAGTCGACCTAGGGGAGGCCCAGGACAGGTTCAGATAATCGTCAACTGGTGTTGGCCGTGAGCGGGAATCAGATTCGGGACACCGGGTTCGTAGCGCAGCGCGCTGACCGCGACACTACCGCTCCCCATCTCACACACACACGTACACACACACCCACACACATCAACACTCGTGCACACACACGTGCACACACCAACACACGTGCACACACACGTGCACACACCAACACTCGTGCACACACACGTGCACACACACACGTACACACACACCCACACACATCAACACTCGTGCACACACACCAACACACACACACGTGCACACACACACGTACACACACACCCACACACATCAACACTCGTGCACACACACCAACACACACACGTGCACACACACCAACACAAACAAACACGTGCACACACACCAACACACACACACGTGCACACACATGCGCGCACACCCACACACATCAACACTCGTGCACACACACGTGCACACACCAACACACGTGCACACACACGTGCACACACCAACACTCGTGCACACACACGTGCACACACACACGTACACACACACCCACACACATCAACACTCGTGCACACACACCAACACACACACGTGCACACACACACGTACACACACACCCACACACATCAACACTCGTGCACACACACCAACACACACACGTGCACACACACCAACACAAACAAACACGTGCACACACCAACACACACACACACGTGCACACACATGCGCGCACACCCACACACATCAACACTCGTGCACACACACACACACGTGCACACACACCAACACTCACACGTGCACACACACCAACACTCACACGTGCACACACACCAACACACGTGCACACACACCAACACACCAACACTCACACGTGCGCACACACACCACCACACACACGTGCACACACCAACACACACACACACGTGTGCACACAAACCAACACACCAACACTCACACACCACCACACACACGTGCACACACCAACACACGTGCCCCGGACAGTCCCGAGTCTCCGTGGCCCCAGGCTACCTGCCAATCCCCACGCGTTACGCGCTTCGGCTGCGAGTCGGCCGTGGATTCCTTGAATCTATCCGTGCGGGGCCTGCAAGCGTCGCATGTGCCCCCCTCTTGGTCGCTTCTCCTGCCCCCCCCCCCCAGGAAGCCCATGTTCGAGATTAACAACGACTTGGTGCTGCTGCTGCTGCTGCGATGACTGCCGCTCCAGGCACATTAACAACCCGGCACCTCACGCGTTCCCCTGAGGTGACCTCTGGTCCACGTGGCAGAGGACAGCCACCCGCACCCGATATGCACACGGCATAGTCGTGTTTCGTCCACGATGGGTGGCGCTGAATGTATTACGATGTGGGGTAGGGGGGGGGGTATATTTGTGTGTGTGTGTGTGCAGTCACCGGTGGCGGGCTGAGACCATCAAATTTAGAGACCCACAGACTTAGAGACCCAGACTCACAGAGACCCACAGACATTAGAGACCCGCAGATCCACAGACTTAAATATTCATAGACTCACAGAGAACCACACTTAGACACTCACATCGAGACCCATATACTGGCATAGAAACCCATACTTCATACCCATAGACTCACGTAGACACAGACTTAGAGAGAGACCCACAGACTCGCATAGAAACCCAGACTTGAGACCCAGACTCACGTAGACCCACAGACTTAAGATATCCCATAGACTTACACGTACTCAACGATTAAACGCCTCCAGAGCACAGCGAGTTGCAGGCCTCTCTCTACCCAATCAACCTACGACTCGCAAGGGAGACTTCCACCCCGATTGGAGAGAACCCCGCTGCTTTTAATCGCAGGCCGTCAAAGCCCCTGGGAGGGGTCCAACCCCCCCCCCCACCTCACTTCTCTACAAACAAAAGGCTCCTCTTAACCGGGGGGGGGGGGGGGGGCTGGCGCCAACCGGCACCAAGGTCACCGGGTGCCAAGGTCACCGGGTGCCAAGGTCACCGGGCATCAAGGTCAACGGACATCAAGGTCACCGGGCAAGGGGAGCTGACCGTGCCCCATTCTCCCCGTGCCCACTTCCCACACGCGTGCTGCTGCAGTGCTGGATGTGGGTCAGCATGTTTTATTTTGGTCGGGTCTGAAGTTGACGACAACCTGTGCGCGTGCGTGGGGTGGAGTGGGTTCGAGAGGATATTGATCGAGTCTCAAAGGCTGCCGATTTTGCGGTCGTTACTCTTCGTCCGGCCACAACCGAAGTCGACGGACGATTTGTTCAACGGCCGGTGTGGACCAGGGCTGCGTGCGCCACCGTTCCCGGCGGCCGCAGCATCAGCCGTGCAAAGAACAGCAATGTTGAAACTTAATAAAAAAAAACACAGAATTTATTTTACTATGTAAGGCCCACTGAGCTGTATAGCTCTTTTTTTGAGAAGCGACCTGCCACTAATGATAAGCCTGGCCCCACAAGCGAGCTATTATTTGTGTCCAAGCTTATCACGTGGAAAGTTATAGCATCCAAATAAGCTCGAAATGGATGTCGATTCTAAATGTGGAGGGAAAATACCGGAGGACCCGGAGAAAAATACACGAGACCACGGGGAGAGACAAACGCAAACTCCAAATATACAGGTGTCAAGGTCGGGATTGAACCCACGACCTCCTGCATACCAGGTGAGGTAGTTAACGTCTCGCCACCGTGACCTCTCGATACTACTATAGCCAGCGCTGTGGCACACGCCTGTGACCCAGCGCTGTAGAAGCAGCAGCAACAGTGGAAAGAACTGCAGCATCAGCAGACAACAACAGCAGCGTAAAGAACAAACCTGTCTCGGCAACAGAAGGTAGCGGCAATCGCAGCAACGGCGGACACGAGACGGCGCACAGCGTGACGCTTTTAAAAAAAAGTGTTTAATTTTTTTTAGCAACTTTTTTTTTGCAAGTTAAAAATAAAACGATTTTTTTCAAAAAACAAAAAAAATCAACAAGTAACACATTTTACGGGCAGTAGCCTGGTGGTGCTGGTGCTGGTTGGTGGCAGTTGCTACTGCTGTCGAGCTGACGAAGACATTTTACGATCGGGGGCGAACGCCGTCGCCCGGGAGAGCTTCGCTGGGTCTCGACACTCTCCTTCCAGGGGCGTCCTGTCGGGAGGGACGGTGTTCGCCGTCCGTATATCCATCCCAAGCAATTCGCCCTTGCGGAGATTTTTTTTTCTTCACGTTTTGGCAAAAATTTGAACCGCGACACCGCCCCGCGAGCGGGCTTGCACTCTTCCGAACGACATCACGGCGGGATCTTGAACATTCACTGTGCGGCAGGCGGTGGCGGCGGCGCGGTGTTCTCGGCGGTTAATTCGCGCGCGGCGTTAACGCCACGCGGCATCGGGCTCCGGTCCAGGTGGCTGGGCAGGGGCAGGGGGCAGGGGCAGCTTCGTGCTTCGTCTCGCGCATCGCGAACGGCGCGGAGAGGAACTCTTACCACGCCGCCCCCAGCTCGGCGCACGGGACCTCGAGTGAAATTCCGCTGGACACCACAACGCACGATCGGACCGGGCGCGACGGGACGCCGTCGAAAAAATTAAACGGGCGGTCAGAAGACACGTGTGTAGAGCCTCCCCCCCCCCCCCCCCTCTGCGTGGCCGTCAAGACATGGTGGGAGGGCGAGGCTGAAATGTTTTTGCGTGATTTGGTGGGAAACCCGAGCGATGGGTGGGATGAGCCGTTAACCCATCCACCGCAGGTGATCGGGAAGGGGTGGGGGGGGGGCGGGCAAGTCTCTCGCTACGTTTACGACTCTTTGAGCGTCTCGTAAGCCGAACGTCGGCGGTCAAGTACGTACGTTGAACCTCTTTCGCGCCGTACGTAGTCGACCGTGCTAGTCGGCCACTCGCATCAAACGCGAGCAGCCGCGCGCCGAAGCGGGGGAAATCGCTCCGCCGCTTCAAGGGATGCCAACACCGACGTCGAAGCTTAAGAAAATAATAATCGGATCACAACCCTGAATCGTGGCTATTCGGCGAATCGCTACCCTAGGGGGTTGGTGGACAGGTTCAACGCCATCTTGTGCACCGCGAGGCTGTGCCGCGAAAAAACCTACGCGGCAGCATCCTCCCAACGGTAGCAACGACACGAACGCCCTCTCCTTCCCGAGCCAAGGAACGCGTGCGTCACAAGCGCCGCAGACGAGACGTTACCCCCAGGGGAGGGCTGCCCAACCCAAACCACACAGGTGGATGGGGGAGGGGGGGAGGGGGGGCCCTCATCCACGCCCCAACCCCCATTTTTGAGCGTCACCTCGCGAGCGCGTAACTGGGCAGGGCGGGGGGGGGGGGGGGCAGGACCACGTGCATGATCCAATGGCGCGCGGCCGCAACGGATGCGGGGATCCGTCTGGCCCCCAGGCAGGCCACGAGGTGGGCGGGCGGCGCCACCGTCGGCGCTATTTGCGCGACGCTCAAGAGCTCTTGCCCCCCCCCACCGCCGCCCCCGGGGCAGAGGTGACGACGAAGCAGCTACACAGGAACACGACCGACTGCCGATCTACATAATCATCGTCATCATCATTCGGAGCAAACAAATAAATAACATCTCGCATGGTTACTGCAATTTATTGTTTTGTTTCCCTCCTACACATTCAGGGTGCGGCTTTGCTTGCGATTATTATAATACACTATTATAATCACCAGGGCTCCCTCTACACTCACCCCTGCCCGCCGGGCCAAGGCTGCTGCAGCAGCAGCCGAGGAGGAGGAGGAGGCGGACTTCCACTCTCGTAGCGACGACGACGACGCAAATCCTGGGCTCTGCGGCTCAACCGACGCGCACAACGTCAGGACCTTGTCCGACTGTTCCCAGTTGCGTTGGGGGGGGGGGGTCACGGCCCACGTGCCGCTTGTGACCCGGCGAACGTACACACACACACACACGCACGCGCACACATACATACGCGCACACACGCACACACTCACACGTCTGCCCTTCCTGCACCCCGAGGCCGGTGGCCACGGTCTTAACAAGTCTGTGCTGCGCCGGGCGGGTGGGCGGGCAGGCGACCAGGTGGGCGGGTGACCAGGAAAGTGGGCGGGCGGTGAGTGGGCGGGTGGTGAGCGAGTGGGCGGGAAATTGGCGAGGATCTTCCCTTGCCCACTCCCTCCCCCCCTTTCCCACCCCCAGCCAGGTGGCACCACCGCCCCCCCTCCACCCAAACCCGGAGCCCCCCCCCCTCACTGCAGGTAGAGCTCCCACACCTTGTGCACGCAGTAGAGGAGGGAGGCGAGCGCCAGCGTGTTGTGCAGCCGCTTGCGGTACGTGTCGTCCTTGCGCACGAGCACGACGGGCGAGGCGGAGCGCAGCGTGTGCAGCGGCAGGCGCGCCAGCTCGCGCGCCTCGTACTGCACCTGGTACTTGCAGCACGGGTCGAATTGCCACGAGACGCCGTAGAGCGCCGCGCAGCTCGCCGACAGAAGCCCCGCCGGCAGGCTGAGCAGGTGGGCGTGCGGCGCCGGCAGCAGGAAGGGGCTGAGCAGGCAGGAGGCGCCCGCCAGCACGGCCGTCTTGTGCAGGCAGTTGCCGACGGCGATCCAGCGGGCCGTCTCGTCGCCGAGCCGTGCCGGCTCCACTACGATGTACTTGAACTGCGACTCGAGCGCGCGCTCAAGCTCCAGCTCGAACTGCTCCTGCGCGTACTCGCTGTCGTACACCTCGTGGATGATGTGGCACTCCAGCGGCGACAGAGGCGCGCTGCCGGGGATGGGCGGGTGGGGACGGCGATGGGGTTGGGGCGAGGGGGGGGTAGACAGGGGACGTGCCGGGAGGAGGTGGAGCAAGGAGAGCATTGGCTTTCGGCGGCCTTGGTGGACGCCCGTGGTGCCGTCACTCTCCGCCGCTCCGGTGACAGGCTAGAAGCGTGGCAATTGGGCAAGTTACAATGAATGCAACCTTGCGCTAAAACTAAACGATTTTTTTACTTTACCAGGTAAGGCCCCACTGAGCTATAGAGCTATTTTTTCAGTGACGACCTGGCGATCACAAACGACAGCTCAAACAAGTGGCTTATAATGACGTGGAAATTTATAGCGGAGTGGAAAAAATTGGAGGACCCAGAGAAAAATTCACGCGACCATGGGGAGGAAGACTTCCGCAAACTCCAAATATACAGCAGCAGCAGCAGGCGTCAGGGTCGGGATCAAACCCACGACCTCCTGCACACCAGGCGAGGTAGTTAACATCTCCTAGCCACCGTGACGCACTAACCACCGCCAACCAACAGCGATCACATGAACCGTCACGACTGGAGGGTCTCGATGCGAATACCAGAACGAATTATTATTCGGTCTTGATTTGTTTTACCGTCTTGTTTGCACAGCTTCGTCCACTCCATTAGCCACCAAACGAATGAAATCGGGCCCAACGTGCAAATGCAGGACCCTCCTAAACAATGGTGCCTGGAGACTCGGCGACGATTATACCCTCCGAAGACAACCTTCCATAGTTATCAACGCAAACAGGGGCATATCCTCCACGTGTTAATTTGCACAAATTGCGAATAACACTTTGACTCAACACGCGTGACAAGCGAGTGTGGGGATTCAACGTCAACGCATTCATCAACGCGTCGTTTGTACGTGCGCTGTGACAACGGCAGTACCGGTCGCGTGCCGCTCACGGATCGCTCGGCACCCACAGGCCCCCCCCCTCTCTCTCTGCAAGCGACGCCGCGTGGCCTCCTCTGCGAAATGAAGGCGCGGAGGACAAACGGCGAGGACACCCACGTCCACGTCACGAAACCCCCAACTTGGCTGCGAAAGTTTAAACGCTCAAATTCGCTTTCCCTGCCCAGTGAAACGAAACTATCAATCATGTTTTATTTCACCGCATAAGGCCCCATCTTATTTTTCAGAAGCGCATGGCTGTCGCAAATGACAGCTCAACGAAGCGGGCTAATCACCGCGTGGAAATAAGCACGGTGAGCCAGACCCTGTGGTGGAAATTCCACACTGCCATGGCGAGAGCCAGCCGATACTTTAAAGGAGTCAATTCTACCAACACTGGTGGTTAAAACTTCCATTCATTTCGCTGACAGCACGGTGGCATTATAGCCTGAGCGAGAGAAATCAATCACTTGGGGTGCCTGGGTGTGGTTCTGGCCACAACACACCACCACCGCCCTTCGTGCCCAGTGCCGGGCCTTAATGCCCTGCTCGCTAACAGCACTTGCCCCAACAGTCTGCATGGCTACACGGGGGGGGGGGTTCTTTATCTTTGTATACGCTGTGTATATAAATGGGAGGGGCATGTAAAATGGGGCACAAAAGCATGGAAAAGATAATGCTCAGACTTGATCTAGTGAAGCCACGTGCCCTTGTCATGTACAATTGTGCAACGTGCTTGCTGCCTTGTTGGTAGGTTACTGCAAAGTACAGTATAGTCCCCGAGTTACGATGGTCCGACTTAGGATATTTCGATCTTACGATGGTGACAAAATGCATGTTAAAAGTTTTCATAGCAGATAGGATTGTTTCCTGAAAATACTTTTTTTAATTGAATTGCAGTTCATATAGGTAGCCTAAGAATTTACCTTGTTTTAACTTTACATTTTACTGTGCAATACAGTATTGTACTTAATACATACAGTATATAGTTTATACAGCGCGGTACAGTAAATTGCTCTGTTTTGCTAAATTATCACCGTTCTTTAAGACTCCTGGGTAGGCTAGACCATCTTCGACTTACGATATTTTTGACTTACGATGGGGTCGTCGTAACGCATCTCCATCGTAAGCAGAGGACTGCCTGTATTGGGAAATGTCTAAGCCGACACTTACATCCAATGATAGTCCGTCCAGCATAGAAGAGACTTACGTAAATTCTAACGATGTGCTGGAAGGTTGAAAGAGCCGATGTAGGTTACAAATGTAGTTATTGCCTGAGCTTCTTCGAACTGGATTTGAGGCAATATTACTCGCAGGGCAGGGTCAGCCTTAAGTTACGGGCGGCTTAAAAGTCTCGTGCTAAACACTTACCAAACATATGACCCTCATCATCGGCGATCCGAGTCCGATGCAAAAGCCTTCGAACGGCGGGGCAAAGCCCACGGTGGTTTACGAGTATTAATCGGGCAGTTAGTACGCCGTACGCGCTTTGGTTAACCTTTAAGTGTCGTATAATGACATGGGTGTGCCCTTGCCTTGAGGAGTGGGGACACGTGTGCAGGGCAGGTGGATGACAAGAGTTGGCAACTTGGGAGGTTGGCATGAAAGTGTTAAGTCAAGTAAAAAAAATGTGGTTTTAACCAGGTGAGAATCACAATGGGACCAGGATAACCTCATTTGAGTGACCCTAGTGACCCCTTGGGGAGGCTGCGGTGGATGGGACAAGTATGCAGGATGGAGGAGGGTGGATTCAACTAAAGTATTTTATTTTTATTTTACCAGGTAAGCCCCCACTGAGCTATTAGCCTGATTTTTCAGCAGCGACCTGGCCAAGAATGATAGCTCAACGAAGTGGCTTATCACGGGGAAATTGATAACAGCCAAGGCGTTACGATGATTCTAAATGTGGAGGGAAAAACCAGAGGACCCGGAGAAAAATCCACACGACCACGGGGAGAGAGACACGCAAACTCCAAATATACAGCAGGCGTTAGGTACGGGATCGAACCCACGACCTCCTGTATACCAGGCGAGGTAGTTAACATCTCGCCACGGAAAGACACGCAAACTCCAAATATACAGCAGGCGTCAGGGTCAGGATCGAACCCACGACCTCCTGTATACACGGCGAGGTAGTTAACATCTCACCACGGAGAGAGAGACACACAAACTCCAAATATACAGCAGCAGGCGTGAGGGTCGGTATCGAACCCACGACCTCCTGTATACCAGGCGAGGTAGTTAACATCTCACCACGGAGAGAGACACGCAAACTCCAAATATACAGCAGGCGTCAGGGTCGGTATCGAACCCACGACCTCCTGTACACCAGGCGAGGTAGTTAACATCTCCTCGCCACTGCAGCGCCCAGGCATTGGAGTGTCACCCAGAGTTTGGCAACCAAGGCAAAGCCGAAATGTGTCAGATGGCGGTGGTGACGAGACCGAGTGGACCATGGGGCGTGGATACGCGTTGACCGTGCAACAGTTGGGTGATATGTAGCAGACGAAAGAGATGAGGGGTGGGTGAATGGGGGGGGGGAGAAGCAGCAGCTGTGATCGGACCACTGGACTTGACAATGACGACCCTTTGACCCCTTTGACCTTCGCAACTTTGTGCACAGACGCCGTTCCTTGCAATTACATTCTACAACAAAACAGCTTTTCGTGGACTACGAGACCAACTCACTCGGGAGGGTGGGGGGTCCCAGACCTCGCCAGATCTCAAAAGCTGAGCAGAGCGAGCCCCTGGGATGGAGGATAGTTGCGTCCCTGGGTGGACGGGCTTGCGAGGCCGTGCGGGCGATTGCAGCCCCCGACGGTCAGTGGCAGCAGGGGGGTGAAATCCACGTGTCGCAAAGCACTGGGCCAATGCCAGATTATCGTAGTAGCAAAAGTAGCTACATATGCTACGGGCCACGGCACTTTCAAGGGCCCCGCGCTAAATGCTTTCAAGCTATCAATTCCGGTTCAGTGATTCTGCACTTGCTCTATTACTATAGTACTATACCGCCTTCAACTGTTGTGAACGACCGGGTGCTTAAAGTTAGCGATTTGTCGTATTTTCTGGATCTATAGCAAATGAAAACATACAATTACTTTACTGTGCAAGTAAAAAAATTGGTCGTTTAATATTTACGTGTTTTATTTCGGGCCCCTTTATAACACCATGCTACAGGCCCCGCACTGCACTTCCACCAAAACCCCACGGGCAAGAACGAGCGACACGGGCGGCAATGTAAGAAGAAGTGTGGACGACGAATTAAATCTCCCGAGAAAATCGCATTAATTTGGCAGCGGTGCGCTTTTTAAAACTTAGAGCGCGAGAGAGAGTGAGAGAGTGTGAGAGAGAGTGATGGAAAGTGAGAGAGAGTGAGTGAAAGTGAGTGAGACAGAGTGAGTGATAGTGAGTGAGACAGAGTGAGTGAGAGTGTGAGTGAGAGTGTGAGTGAGTGAAAGTAAGAGAGTGAGTGAGAGAGTGAGTGAAAGTAAGAGAGAGTGAGTGAGAGAAAGTAAGAGAGAGTGAGAGAAAGTAACAGAGAGTGAGTGAGAGAGTGAGTGAGAGAGTGAGACAGAGAGAGTGAGTGAGAGAGTGAGTGAGAGAGTGAGTGAGAGAAAGTAAGAGAGTGAGTGAGTGAGTGAGACAGAGTGAGTGAGACACAGGGAGTGAGTGAGACAGAGTGAGTGAGACACAGGGAGTGAGTGAGACAGAGTGAGTGAGAAAGTAAGAGAGAGTGAGAGAGTGAGTGAGAGAGTGAGACAGAGAGAGTGAGTGAGAGAGTGAGTGAGAGAGTGAGTGAGAGAAAGTAAGAGAGTGAGTGAGTGAGTGAGACGGAGTGAGTGAGACAGAGTGAGTGAGACAGAGTGAGTGAGACAGAGTGAGTGAGAGTGTGAGTGAGAGAGTGAGTGAGTGAAAGTAAGAGAGTGAGTGAGAGAGTGAGTGAAAGTAAGAGAGAGTGAGTGAGAGAAAGTAAGAGAGAGTGAGAGAAAGTAACAGAGAGTGAGTGAGAGAGTGAGACACAGGGAGTGAGTGAGAGAGTGAGTGAGAGAAAGTAAGAGAGTGAGTGAGTGAGTGAGACGGAGTGAGTGAGACAGAGTGAGTGACACAGAGTGAGTGAGACAGAGTGAGTGAGAAAGTAAGAGAGAGTGAGAGAGTGAGTGAGAGAAAGTAAGAGAGAGTGAGTGAGAGAGTGAGTGAGACGGAGTGAGTGAGACAGAGTGAGTGACACAGAGTGAGTGAGACAGAGTGAGTGAGAAAGTAAGAGAGAGTGAGTGAGAGAGTTAGAGAAAGTGAGAGAAAGTAAGAGCGATAAAGTGAAAGGCTGAGAGAGTCAAATTGCTCGCATGCGAAAGGCGGTCGCGGATAAGCGTGGACCGGCTTGGCTGTAGGGGACAGCCGTAGATAGTTTTACGCGTTGTGTAATCGCGGCCGATATTTAAACGTTGTATAATCACCGTTCGCAACACTGAATTCAAGTCAACGGGAGCTTGACTCAATGAAGGGGGTGGGGGGGAGCACGCAATGGGCTTAGAAAGGATGATGGTGATGGGCAATGGGGCAATGGGACAGGGTACAACAGCCCCCGAAGGACAGAACGCGTTCAGAGGGGGTGACGGATTCAGTGAATGACCATTCGTGGGGGGGTGGGGGGGGGGCAGACGACGTTTCGTGGAGTTCGGGGGGTGCTGGCGGAGGGAGGTCTCATCCAGCAGTGGATCGATTGAGCGTGACCGACGGACGGGAGCGATTTACAAAGTTGTGCAACCACTTGTTTACATCGTGACGACTGGTAAGCAGCAGCAGAAGAAGAAGAAGGGGGTGGGGAAGAGGGGCGACTTTGTGCAGGGCGCGCGTGTAGCGGCGTGGGTTAAGGAGCTTTGTCGGGTGGTGGTGGTTGGTGGTGGCAGTGACGGTTGGTGGTGAAGGTTGGTGGTGGCGGCTTGTGGTGGCTGTGGCTGCGGTGGTGGTGGCGGTGGCTGCGGTGGTGGTTGGTGGCGTTGGTGGTTGTGGCTGTGGTGGTGGCTGTGGTGGTGGTTGTGGTGGTTGTGGTGGTGGTGGCGGCTGTGGTGGTGGCTGCGGTGTTGGTGGTTGGTGGTGGTGGCGGTGGTGGCTGTGGTGGTGGCTGCGGTGTTAGTGGTGGTGGTGGCGGTAGTGGTGGTTGGTGGCGGCGGCGGCTGTGGCTGCGGTGGTGATTGCGGTGTTGGTGGTGGCTGTGGTTGGTGGCTGTGGTTGGTGGCTGTGGTGTTGGTGGTGGTGTCTGTGGTGGTGTTTGGTGTTGGGGGACGTGCCCATCAAGGTGAACATGGAACGTGGTGTGAGCGAGCGGCTCAGAGTTCGTGCGAGGGCCATCGCGCTCGGGAACGTTCCCCGTAGAGACGGAGCGACGAACACAAACAATGTTTCGTCTCCACTGTCGTGGTGACGACGCGCTCGAGATGTGGTGGCTAAAGCGGTGGTGGTGATGGTGGTGATGATGGTGGGGGGCCTTCATCCAGCGGTGGATAGACCACGGCCGACAACGAACCCCGCAAAGTTCACAAGAACGGCCGGAGGGGTAGGGGGGGGTGGGGGAAGGCCGCTTCAAAATCCATAGCGCGGATAAGCAACGCGCGCCCGGTTCTCGCTTCCGATTGGCCGAGGCGCTCCGCCGCGACCAATGGGAGGCGAGGACGAGGCGGCCGCTGCCTGTGCGCTGTATGGAATTCGGCAGGCAGTCGAGGCCGATCTGAGAGCTCTTTTTGCTCGTCCCGCAAACTCGAAGCGACTTCGCCCGCCGCCGTCTCCCTCGTTGAACCCCCTCGGGGGACGCGGTTAGAGCGGGGAAACCAAGCGGCTCCATGCTGCTACCCTCCCCCCCCCCATCTCTCTCTCCTCCACGGTAGCAGCGTCAACAACTCCACCACCAACCTCCACCACCACCAACCTCCACCACCACTAACTACCACTACTCCCCCCCCTACTCCTCCTCTCTCTCCTCCATGGTAGCAGCGTCAACAACTCCACCACCAACCTCCACCACCACTAACCTCCACCACCACCAACCTCCACCACTAACTACCACTACCCCCCTCCTCCTCCTCTCTCTCCTCCACGGTAGCAGCGTCAACAACTCCACCACCAACCTCCACCACCACTAACTACCACTACTACCCCCCCATCTCTCTCTCCTCCACGGTAGCAGCGTCAACAACTCCACCACTAACCTCCACCACCACCAACCTCCACCACTAACTACCACTACCCCCCTCCTCCTCCTCTCTCTCCTCCACGGTAGCAGCGTCAACAACTCCACCACTAACCTCCACCACCACCAACCTCCACCACTAACTACCACTACCCCCCTCCTCCTCCTCTCTCTCCTCCACGGTAGCAGCGTCAACAACTCCACCACTAACCTCCACCACCACCAACCTCCACCACCAACCTCCACCACCACCAACCTCCAACACCACCAACCACCACTACTACCCCCCCCCCATCTCTCTCTCCTCCACGGTAGCAGCGTCAACAACTCCACCACCACCAACCTCCACCACCACCAACCACCACTACCCCCCCTCCTCCTCTCTCTCCTCCACGGTAGCAGGGTCAACAACTCCACCACCAACCTCCACCACCACCACTACCACCCCCACCACCCCTTGTAATGGCGTTCACCGCAAGGGACGCGTCTCTCCCCGCCACCACCACCACCACCACCACCCTCGAATGGCGAAGCGGGCGGCTGCGGCACTGAACCCACACGCGGTCGCCGTGTGAGCGAGCAGGAGGAGGTGGTGGTGAGGGGAGGACGATGAGGTGGACGATGAGGTGGAGAAGTAACGTCTGGCAACTCACCTCGCTGCCTCCAGGGCCGCCATCTCGTCGGCGCGGACTCACACGGGCGGGAGCGCCTGAGGCGTTCGGGGGGAGGGGGCGGTGCTTCGGTTGTGACGTCACGCGCGGGAAGTGGGGGGGGGCCATCTTTGTAAGGGACAGCCGCCCCCCTGTGTGGAGTGCTCGCGTGACGTCACACACACTCTACCCGCCACTCACATCCCGTAGCAACATGGCCGCCGCGTGTTTACCTTGGCGCAAGGGCACGGGCGAGTGGTCGCCCCCCCCACCTTCTAAGCCACGCCCCCCGCCCCACTCCCCCCCCACCCTCCACCCCTATTACGGGACGCCGCGAGGTCAAACGGCGCACGCGTTCGCGCGTGACGCGTTTGTAAAACCGTCATCCGCATGACCATTCTCGTGTGCGTTTACAAAATCTGTGCGTTTGTCTGTCCCGTCGTGGTGCTCGATACGTTCTTGTTCGTGGTACGAGCAAGTGAGCGAAATACGCGGCAATTTCAATGGTCAAAAACACACACTGACGCACCCATTGCATGTTGATACGCCATGGTGGCTAGGAGATGTTAACTACCTCGCCTGGTGTACAGGAGGTCGTGGGTTCCATCCCGACCCTGACGCCTGTTGCTGTATATTTGGAGTTTGCGTGTCTCTCATTATCATCACGGTGGCTAGGAGATGTGAACTACCTCGCCTGGTACACAGGATGTCGTGGGTTCCATCCCGACCCTGATGCCTGCTGCTGTATATTTGGAATTTGCGTGTCTCATCATCATCACGGTGGCTAGGAGATGTTAACTACCTCGCCTGGTATACAGGAGGTCGTGGGTTCCATCCCGACCCTGATGCCTGCTGCTGTATATTTGGAATTTGCGTGTCTCTCTCATCATCATCATCACCCCTCCACCACATTTAGACTCAACGTGCGTTTAGAATATTTATTTTGCCGTTCTAAATGTCCACACGACGATCATGAGCCATCTTCTTGGTTCTTTCGGTAAAGTCACGTAGAAGGGAAATAATAAAATAATTAAAATAAACAAAAAAATATATTTTATTATTTCCTTCTACTTGACTTTACCGAAAGAACCAAGAAGATGAATCCCTGCAGTCACGAAAGCTTTAAATCGAGATCATGAGCCACTTAGATGAGCGATTAATTGTGGTCAGGTCGCTTCTGAAACGAGAGCATATTATACAGCTCAGTAGGCCTTCACTGCTAAAATAAAAATAGTTAATTTGATATGAAATCTAGCAATGTGAATCTCCGTCGACCGTTTTATGGGGCCGTCCCTAAATGACGTCACGCAAATTTGGACGATTTTTGACCCCCCCCCCCCGTTCGTCACACGACGTCACAAAAAGTCAGACCCCCCCCCTCAAATATGACGTCACAAAGCTCTGCCCCACCCCCCCAAAATAAACATGCTTCAAATCGCTTTAAACTATTGTCATTGTAGTGCGTATTTAATGTGGCGCTGCACTCTGATGTTGTAGGATAAAACATTTATTAAAAAGTCTATTTAATTAAGTAGAACGTGTTGTCTATATTTAAAGTTGCGCCTTTTGATGTGACGTCACATTTCTCACCCCCCCCCCCCTCGTCACACATCGTCACAAATGTCTGACCCTCTCCCTAGGTGCGTGACGTCATTTATGGACGGCCCCTAAAACGCTATAAATATACCATTGTTGTCACGCGTTGCGCGCCAGCAATAGCACGCAGCCCATCTGCTGCACCGTGCCGCGAATTAAAGCTATTAATAGAACGAAGGAGTGAATGAATGAGCTACATTGTCGTTCTCTGCCAAGCATTGGCACGACCACTGCGAGCGAAACACCCCCATTCACTGACGCAATTGGTCGCGTCCCATTAACACCCACACCCACCCCACCATTTGGATGAAGGCGACACGGTACTTATTTTTAAACACTACATTAATTCAACATCTACCCTCAACCATTCAAATAAACCTGGTCGATTCCCCTGATTTAGCTCATCAATAAATTAGTTAATCCCATTCAATCAAAACTCTTTTAACCATTGCCCCCCCTCCCCTCATTCACTTTGCTTGTATGATGGTCTCGTCCAAAGCATAATAGTACAGCCCCAACCACAGATCTTAATACTGGTAGGAACCTCCTGGTTACACCAGCCCACATGGGATTATTGTGTCCGTCGTGTAGGGAGGGGCTGGGTGGGGAGGGGAGGGGCTGGGTGGGGAGGGTGGGGAGGGGCTGGGTGGGGAGGGTGGGGAGGGGCTGGGTGGCGGGGGGGGCTGGGTGGGGGGTGGGAGGGGTGGGGCTGAGTGGGGGGTGGGAGGGGTGGGGCTGGGTGGGGAGGGGCTGGTCACACCGTGGTGCCCTTATAAAACTCAACGTTTAACCTACTCACGCCGGCTTGTGCCCGCCCTCCCAATTGGCCATATTTGCGGAATACACCACGCCGCCGTTGACCCTGGCCATTGACCGAGCAACCCAACGTTCCTACCAGCTCCCTCCGCAGGAATGTGTTATTTAAACTCAAACCCCCCCCCTCCTATTGTATAGTAGAAACGTGTATTTAGATTACATTAATTTGCTTCTGGTAATTTTCACGTGATAAACCACTTTGTTGAGCTATTATTTGTGGCCAGGTCACTTCTGAAAAAAGTTAATAGCTCAGTAAGTTAAAAAATATTAGTTTACATTTATTTGTATATATTTTTAAAGTGATTTCTTTACTTTTCCCAAACTTTGCACTCTTATCGTGTGTTTATATTTTTGTTGGAACGTTCTGACCCGCCCTTACTGGACACCTTTGAAAAATAACTTTATAGCTAATCGTATTCATTCAATAATAATAAACATTATGATTTGATTCTGATCTGTATCTGCATCAAAGATCCCCGTCCCGGGAACAATAAATCTTAACATTTAAGCTTCAACGCCCTAAACCAGGCCTGCACAAATGGTCTCGTCCCAAAACTAAAATGTAAACAAACTTAATCAATACTCTTTGGCTCTTTCGGTAAAGTCACCTAAGTATAACATTTAAAAAATAATATTAAAAAATTTATACCCACGTGACTTTACCGAAAGAACCAAAGCGTACGGATTCCTGCAGTCACGAAAACTTCAAATCAAAACTTAATAAAACCCCCCTTTCGCTACAGCCACAATGGTCTCGCCCAGGGTTCAATTCCAGCTGGTCTGGTCTGGCTCGGTGAGCTGGAAGTAAATCCGGCACACAACGTCAAGTGTCCTCACTCGCTGCGGGTGTCACTTACCCCCCCCCCCCCACGCCTGCACAAATGGTCTCGTCCAAAAAATTAAATGTAAACACAACCCCCCCCCCCCCTGTCGCTACTGCCACAATGGTCTCCCCCAGGGTTCAATTCCAGCTGGTCTGGTCCGGCCAGGCGAGCTGGAATTGAACCCGGCACACAACGCCAAGAGCACTCACTCGCTGTGGATGACTCCACTTGCCCCCCCCCCCCTCACGCCTGCACAAATGGTCTCGTCCAAAAAAAATATATAAACACAAACACAATCGCCCCCTGCCCCGACTGCCACAATGGTCTCGCCCAGGGTTCAATTCCAGCTGGTCTGGTCCGGCCAGGCGAGCTGGTATTGAACTCGGCACACCACGTCAAGAGTCCTCACTCGCTGTGGATAACTCCACTTGGGCTACCCCCCCCCCCCTCTCCTCGGCCCGACCTTCCCCAGCAATATATCGTACGATATTAGACCCACGATAATCGTACCGTTCGTTTTGTGTGCAATATCGTGATATCAATTGGCTCATATCGATATTTTGTTCTACCCCTGTTCTTCATTTCCTGAGGAAATGTACAATGAAACGAATGCACACTATTGGTATTAAATATGTAAAGAATTAAATTGCTGTTACCAGTTTACATATATGTTACGTGACGTCATCGTGTTTATTGTAATTAAAGATCTAAATAATTAAACTGCTGTTACCAATTTAAATAATATGTTACGTGACGTCATCGTGGTTACAGTCAATCATAAGTTAAATCAATTAATAAGGGGCCGTCCATAAATAACGTCACGCACCCTAGGGGGGGGGGTCAGACATTTGTGACGATGTGTGACGAGTGGGGGGGGGGGGGAGTGAGAAATGTGACGTCACATCAAAATGCGCAACTTTAAATAAATATAGGCAACACGTTCTACTTAAATAGACTTTTTGATATTTTTTTCTCCTAGAACATCAGAGTGCAGCGCCACATTAAATACGCACCACAATGACAATAGTTTTAAGCGATTTGAAGCATTTTTATTTTGGGGGGGGGGGCAGAGCTTTGTGACGTCATATTTGAGGGGGGTCTGACTTTTTGTGACGAGGGGGGCGAGTCAAAAATCGTCCAAAATCGCTTGACGTCATTTATGGACGGCCCCTAATGTTGTGTAACTGATCGTAATGTGCATTCTTTATAAATATATTTTTTTAACATTCTTAATTAACGTTGCCTCCGACTCGACTAAACTTTTTAATTTACCTATTAAGGCCCCACTGAGCTATACAGCTCTTTTTCAGAAGCGATCTGGCTATCAGAAATTCAATCAGAACGGAGTGGATCATCATCTTCTTGGTTCTTTCGGTAAAGTCACGTAGAAGGGAAATAATAAAATAATAAAAATAAAACATAATACAATTATTCTCACGACGTTTCGGCCACAACGCAAGCAGCCGTCCTCAGGTGAAGAACAGGTCTGTCGGAAAGACAGCGTCTGAATGAGCACCAGCATGCTTGGCAGCGTATATTTAAGCTGGGTTGGAGGGGGAAGGGCGCCTTGACAAAGGAATTTGCATATCAAGAGGAATTTAGCATATTTATTCTAGATTCCTCTTGATATGCAAATTTATTTGCCAAGGCGCCCTTCCCCCTTCAACCCAGCTTAAATATACGCTTCCAAGCCTGGTGGTGCTCATTCAGACGCTGTCTTTCCGAAAGACCTGTTCTTCACCTGAGGACGGCTGCTTGTGTTGTGGCCGAAACGTCGTGATAATTTTATTTTATTACGTTTTATTTTTATTATTTTGTTATTTCCCTTCTGCGTCACACACAGGTATCTATGATAGAGGGTTTTTTTGGGTTAGATCGCGACTTTACCGAAAGAACCAAGAAGATGAATCCCTGCAGTTACGAAAGCTTTAAATCGAAATTTGGATCATCATCATCACGTGTAAATGTAGAGCAATGAAATACAATACAAATTGTACGTTGATTCTAAATGTGGACGGAAAAACCTGACGAGCTCGAGAAAAATCCACGTGACCACGGGAAGAGAGACACGCATACTCCAAATATACAGCAGCAGCAGGCGTCAGGGTCGGGATTGAACTCCACGTTATTGGAGGTTGGTGGTGGTAGTGCTTAGTGGGTGCTGATTGTAAGTTGTTGGAGGTTGTTGTGGTTAGCGATTTGTTTTAGGTGGTGGTTACTGATAATTAGTGATTGCTGGTGGTGGTTGTTGATAATGGTAGCGGTTCGTGAATGGTGGCGTTTGGGAATTGTTGTTGGAGGTGGTGGTTAGCGATGGTTAATAGGTGTCAGGGTCGGGATGGAACCCACGACCTCCTGCACACCAGGCGAGGTAGTTAACATCTCATAGCCACCGTGGTGATGATGATGAGAGAGAGACACGCAAACTCTAAATACGCAGCAGGCATCAGAGTCGGGATGGAACCCACGACCTCCTGTATACCAGGCGAGGTAGTTAACATCTCATAGCCACCGTGATGATGATGATGAGAGAGAGAGACACGCAAACTCCAAATACGCAGCAGGCATCAGAGTCGGGATCGAACCCACGACCACCTGTATACCAGGCGAGGCAGTTAACATCTCATAGCCACCGTAGGCAATGTGGACGTCCAGAATAAGCATTACATTTGAGACCCAAACATCCTCGCTCCACATCATCAACATCGTCCATGATCTATCCACTACTGGATGAACCCCCCCCCCCCCCAAGCCACATTACCTCTTTCAGTAATGATTATTTTGTGTCGTTTTGTGTTGAACTTTGACCCATGTCCAGCAGGGGCACGGGGTCAGCAAGTTACAACAACAAACACAGTAGAAAAAACCCCGATAGTAGTGCACAATAGAGAAAGAGGCAATGAAATGACGAAACATTTATAAAAACAACAAATGTATACAATTCCGAACTGCAGGAGTTAATACATTCCTGCCGATGTTTCAACACTAAATGCAAGCTTGGGCAAGGCGGAAAAACAACAACAACAACAAAATAGTCCCAGACCACACCAAGACAACACAAAATAATCCCTCGATACAATTGCACGTGATAATTTGAACTGTCCATACGCGGGTAAGGATCTCAGATACAAATCATCACATTTTGCAAATGTGATGATTTGTATCCAAGCACCAATCTTTGCGCTACGGTGATATTTTTTTGAAAATAAAAAAAATGAATATTTACGATAAGGGAGGAAACAAAATGTTATTTTCAAAACGTCGGTGCTTTGGTTCAAGGCTGCCGATGAGACACTTAATGTCAAAGCCGGCTCGGAGTTCCGCTTGATTGATGTGCTGAGACAATGTGAGGTTTGTGCTCGTGCTGAACCAATCGGCGCTGAAGAACTTCAACATTATATTGTTGGTTCTTTCGGTAAAGTCACGTAGAAGGGAAATGAAAAAAAATAATACAAATATAAAACAATAAAATATAAAACAATAAAAATTCTCACGACGTTTCGACTGCAACACAAGCAATCATCATCAGGTGTGAAATCCACAGCAAGAAAATTTGCTGTGGATTTCACACCTTGATGATGATTGCTTGTGTTGCAGTCGAAAGGTCGTGAGAATTTGTATTGTTTAATATTTTTATTATTTTATTATTTCCCTTCTACGTGATGACTTTACCGAAAGAACCAAGAATATGAATCCCTGCAAGTCACGAAAGCTTTCAATTAAAACTTCAGCTCTGCAACGAGGGAGCCAGTGTGGCTGATGGTTTACGTGAAAAAAAATGTTTTTTTACGTGAAGGGACATTTATGGATATATATAAACTTACTTGTATTTAATATGTAAATATGTAACACATTTATATTAATTAGCTTAATTACGGGGCGTTTAAACTCAATCACCACGCCTCCCCCCCCTCCGTAATGGTTTCGCCCGGGCCCGGTCACGTGGTCCTCCAGCTGATCACCGCCGCTGTCCCCGCTGAGTCGCCCAGCCCGGGACGACGAAGAGGACGACTAGAGGAGAGAGAGGAGGAGGACGACGCGAGACGGGAGGAAGAGAAGGGAGGAGGAGGAGGCGGAGAGGACGAGATACGCGGGACGGGAGGAGGAGGAGAAAGGAAGAGAGAAGGAGGAGAGAAAAGAAGGATCATCATCATCACGGCTTTGTTTGTCCCAGCCGCGAACTAAGACAGCTGAACGCGACGCACACAACCCACACCGGCCCTGCGTCTTCATCATCATCGTCGTCAACAACAACAACCACTGCCCCGTGCTGCTGAGGCTGCCTGCACGGAGCGGGCCGGGCCGGACCCCCCCCGGGGTTTGGGTGGACCGAGATCGGGTGGGTGGTGGGGGTTGGTGCCGAGTCGACCCCGGGATCTCCGCTGTGCGGGACGGAACGAGTCGGGGCCGGGTCACGTTTGTTCGGCTCGTCGGATTGAATCTGGTGGGTGCTCGGCACGGGTCTGGTGGGATAGGGTCTGGTGGGCTCGGCACGGGTCTGGTGGGATAGGGTCTGGTGGGTACTCGGCACGGGTCTGGTGGGCTCGGCACGGGTCTGGTGAGCCCGGTTCGGGTCTGGTGGGATAGGGTCTGGTGTCTGGTTGGTGCTCGGCACGGGTCTGGTGAGTTCGGCACGGGTCTGGTGGCCTAGGCACGGGTCTGGTGAGCTCGGCTCGGGTCTGGTGGGATAGGGTCTGGTGGGCTCGGCACGGGTCTGGTGGGCTCGGCTCGGGTCTGGTGGGTTCGGCACGGGTCTGGTGGCCTAGGCACGGGCCTGGTGAGCTCGGCACGGGTCTGGTGGGATAGGGTCTGGTGGGCTCGGCTCGGGTCTGGTGGGTTCGGCACGGGTCTGGTGGCCTAGGCACGGGCCTGGTGAGCTCTGCACGGGTCTGGTGAGCTCGGCACGGGTCTGGTGGGTTCGGCACGGGTCTGGTGGCCTAGGCACGGGCCTGGTGAGCTCGGCACGGGTCTGGTGGGATAGGGTCTGGTGGGCTCGGCACGGGTCTGGTGGCCTAGGCACGGGTCTGGTGGGTTTGGCACGGGTCTAGTGGGCTCGGCACGGGTCTGGTGGGTTTGGCACGGGTCTGGTGGCCTCTCCGTGTGGACCAAACGGATCGGGTGACCTCATCCACTCGGCATCGTGAGGTGCTGACGGAGTGGCCCGGGTTCGGGTGGAGGTGGTGGTCATGGTGGCAGTGGTGGTGGTGCTGGTGTTGTTGGATTAGACAGAGTTCGTCCTCCCGGCCTTCATCGGTACCACTCGCTAACAGCACTTGCCCCAAACAGTCTGTTAAGGCTGTACGGGTGTCTTTGTCTTTGGTGGTGGTGGTGGTGGGGCTTTGGCTGTGGTGGCAGGCCTAGTGGTTGTTGTTGTTGATGTTGGTGGTGGTGACTGCTGAGATGTGCTGTGTGTGTGTTTGCAGGCTGTGCACTCAGTGGTTGTGACGGTGGTTGCCAGGGAAGTTTAGTTTTAGTTGTGCTCGTGAAGGTGGTTGTGGTGCTGGTTGTGGTGATGGTTGTGGTGATGGTTGTGGTGATGGCCACCGACCCCCTTCGTGTGCTGTGCCGGCCTTCATAGGTGCCACTCGCTAACAGCACTTGCCCCAGCAGTCTGTTACAGGCTATACTGTGGGGGGGATCTTTGTCTGTTGTGGTAGATGTGGCGGTGAATGAAGATGGTTGTGTGGGATATGTGGTTGAGGGTGAATATGGTTGTGGTAGATGTGGTTGTGTGGTAGATGTGGTTGAGGTTGGGGGTGAAGATGGTTGTGTGGTAAATGTTGTTGAGGGTGAAGATGGTTGTGTGGTAGATGTTGTTGAGGGTGAAGGTGGTTGTGTGGTAGATGTTGTTGAGGGTGAAGATGGTTGTGTGGTAGATGTTGTTGAGGGTGAAGATGGTTGTGTGGTAGATGTTGTTGAGGGTGAAGGTGGTTGTGTGGTAGATGTAGTTGAGGGTGAAGATGGTTGTGTGGTAGATGTAGTTGAGGGTGAAGATGGTTGTGTGGTAGATGTGGGTGAGGGTGAAGATGGTTGTGTGGTAGATGTGGGTGAGGGTGAAGATGGTTGTGTGGTAGTTGTGGTTGACGGTGAAGATGGTTGTGTGGTAGATGTAGTTGGGGGTGAAGATGGTTGTGTGGTAGTTGTTGTTGAGGGTGAAGATGGTTGTGTGGTAGATGTGGGTGAGGGTGAAGATGGTTGTGTGGGTGAAGATGGTTGTGTGGTAGTTGTGGTTGACGGTGAAGATGGTTGTGTGGTAGATGTAGTTGGGGGTGAAGATGGTTGTGTGGTAGTTGTTGTTGAGGGTGAAGATGGTTGTGTGGTAGTTGTGGTTGAGGGTGAAGATGGTTGTGTGGTAGATGTTGTTGAGGGTGAAGATGGTTGTGTGGTAGATGTCGTTGAGGGTGAAGATGGTTGTGTGGTAGATGTGGTTGAGGTTGAGGGTGAAGATGGTTGTGTGGTAGATGTAGTTGAGGGTGAAGATGATTGTGGTGGTGTGATGACGGTTGTTTAATGCGGTGGTGGTTGTTGATGATGGTAGCGGTTAGTGAATGGTGGCGTTTGGGAATTGTTGTTGGAGGTAGTGGTTAGCGATGGTTAATAGTTGTGGTTTTTAGTGGTTGATAGCGGTGGTGATTATTGGCGGGTGGCGGTTTGTGGTGTTTATTTGGTTGTGGTTAGAGGTTGATGGTGTTGGTTGTGGTAGTTGTTGTAGGTGGTGATAGTTAATGGAGGTGTTGATGGTGAGTGGTCGATGGTAATTCTGGTGAGTGGTTGGTTGTGGTTGTTGTGCTGTGTGGTTGTGATGGTTGTGGAGGCCATGGCGGGCAATAGTGGTTGTAGTGTTTGCGCTCCAGGATGGAGGAGGAGGAGGAGGGGGGATGGTGGATACTGGATCGTGTGTGCTGGCGGTTAGTGGTGGTTGTTGATGGTCGTGCTGTAGGAGTGTGGATGTGGAGGGCGGAGTGTGGAGGAGGAGTGTGGGTGTGGAGGAGGAGTGTGGAGTTGTGTGGAGGAGGAGTGTGGGTGTGGAGGAGGAGTGTGGGTGTGGAGGAGGAGTGTGGGTGTGGAGGAGGAGTGTGGAGGAGGAGTGTGGGTGTGGAGGAGTGTGAGTGAGGAGTGTGAGTGTGGATGTGGAGGGGGAGTGTGGAGGAGGAGTGTGGGTGTGGAGGAGTGTGAGTGAGGAGTGTGAGTGTGGATGTGGAGGGGGAGTGTGGAGGAGGAGTGTGGATGTGGAGGAGTGTGAGTGAGGAGTGTGAGTGTGGATGTGGAGGGGGAGTGTGGAGGAGGAGTGTGGATGTGGAGGAGTGTGAGTGAGGAGTGTGAGTGTGGATGTGGAGGGGGAGTGTGGAGGAGGAGTGTGGATGTGGAGGAGTGTGAGTGAGGAGTGTGAGTGTGGATGTGGAGGGGGAGTGTGGAGGAGGAGTGTGGGTGTGGAGGAGTGTGAGTGAGGAGTGTGAGTGTGGATGTGGAGGGGGAGTGTGGAGGAGGAGTGTGGATGTGGAGGAGTGTGAGTGAGGAGTGTGAGTGTGGATGTGGAGGGGGAGTGTGGAGGAGGAGTGTGGATGTGGAGGAGTGTGAGTGAGGAGTGTGAGTGTGGATGTGGAGGGGGAGTGTGGAGGAGGAGTGTGGATGTGGAGGAGTGTGAGTGAGGAGTGTGAGTGTGGAGGAGGTGGAGTGTGGAGGAGTGAGTGAGGAGTGTGAGTGTGGAGGAGGTGGAGTGTGGAGGAGTGAGTGAGGAGTGTGAGTGTGGAGGAGGTGGAGTGTGGAGGAGTGTGAGTGAGGAGTGTGAGTGTGGAGGAGTGTGAGTGAGGAGTGTGAGTGTGGAGGAGGTGGAGTGTGGAGGAGTGTGAGTGAGGAGTGTGAGTGTGGATGTGGAGGAGTGTGCAGGAGGAGTGTGGAGTTGTATCAGCTGATGATGGTTATTGGAGGAGGCTCGTGAATGACTCAATGGAGGGCAGAGGAGTGACGCTCACGGAGTGCCGGGTGGCTCAAGCGCAGGGAGTTGGCACAGTGGGAAGCACAGGTGGTGGCATCTGCCAGCCATCTCATTCAGTCAATTCATGGCACCTGCTGGGTCTGTTCCGTGACCTCCTACCAGTGGGCCTTCGATACTTCACGCGGCCTCAGTGCACCTGCCCTGGCACCGACACTTAGTGGTGAACGGCGGTTATGTTATGCTGTGTGGCGGTGGCGGTGATTGCCGATGCTGCGTCGCACGTGCTGGTGATGGTCAGTCATGGTTCGGTGGTTGACATTTGCGGTTGTGGCGGTTGTGCTGCAGGGACTACGAGGAGGAGGAGGGCGACGAGGAGATGGCGGACGCGGCGTCGTACGTGCTGATGCAGGCCGAGAACGGGAGCCTCGTCAGGGTTGAGCACGACCGCAAGAAGAGGCAGTTCTTCATTCGCCTCAATGGTGAGGCCTGCGCGCTCATTCCCTGTCATTCAGTCATTCATTGACTTTCAGTCATGCCGGGTCATTCGGTCACTTATTCCGTCAAACTCGGTCAACGGGTCACCCGTTCGCACAGCCATTCACTCGTTCATTGGCACATTTATTCACTCATCCTTTCGGTAATTAATTCAGTAATTTGTCTCATTGAGCCTATTCATTGATTCAGTCACTCGGTTGTTTTAGTCCGACTTCCGTACCTCCGATTAGCGCGGTTGTTTACGTACGATGCGAAAGAAGTTCAACACACGTACACACCACTATACACTACACTACTATACACTACACTATACACTACACTATTCTATACTATACCACTATACACTACACTACTATACACTGCACTATACACTACACTACTCTATACTATACTACTATACACTACACTACTATACACTACACTATACACTACACTACTATACACTCCACTACTCTATACTACACTACTATACACTACACTACTATACACTACACTATACACTACACTACTATACACTACTATACACTCCACTACTCTATACGACACTACTCTATACACTACACTACTATACACTACACTATACACTACACTACTATACACTACACTACTCTATACTACACTACTATACACTACACTACTATACACTACACTACGATACACTACTATATACTACACTACTATACACTACTATGCACTACACTACAATACACTACTATATACTACACTACTATACACCAGAGGTGGGACAAAGTCATTGTTATGCAAGTCCAAGTCGAGTCTAAAGTCATCAAATTCATGACTCGAGTCTGACTCGAGTCTAAGTCACATGACTCGAGTCCACACCTCTGCTATACACTACACTACTATACACTACTATGCACTACACTACTATACACTACTATGCACTACACTACTATACACTACTATGCACTACACTACTATACACTACTATGCACTACACTACTATACACTACTATGCACTACACTACTATACACTACTATACTACACTACTATACACTACTATACACTACTATATACTATACTACTATACACTACTATACACTACTATATACTATACTACTATACACTACTATGCACTACACTACTATACACTACTATATACTACACTACTATACACTACTATGCACTACACTACTATACACTACTATGCACTACACTACTATACACTACTATGCACTACACTACTATACACTACTATGCACTACACTACTATACACTACTATATACTACACTACTATACACTACTATGCACTACACTACTATACGCTACTATGCACTACACTACTATACACTACTATGCACTACACTACGATACACTACTATATACTACACTACTATACACTACTATGCACTACACTACTATACACTACTATGCACTACACTACTATACACTACTATGCACTACACTACTATACACTACTATATACTACACTACTATACACTACTATGCACTACACTACTATACACTACTATGCACTACACTACTATACACTACTATGCACTACACTACTATACACTACTATGCACTACACTACTATACACTACTATGCACTACACTACTATACACTACTATATACTACACTACTATACACTACTATGCACTACACTACTATACACTACTATGCACTACACTACTATGCACTACTATGCACTACACTACTATACACTACTATGCACTACACTACTATACACTACTATGCACTACACTACTATACGCTACTATGCACTACACTACTATGCACTACACTACTATACACTACTATGCACTACACTACTATACACTACTATGCACTACACTACGATACACTACTATATACTACACTACTATACACTACTATGCACTACACTACTATACGCTACTATGCACTACACTACTATACACTACTATGCACTACACTACGATACACTACTATATACTACACTACTATACACTACTATGCACTACACTACTATACACTACTATGCACTACACTACTATACACTACTATGCACTACACTACGATACACTACTATATACTACACTACTATACACTACTATGCACTACACTACTATACGCTACTATGCACTACACTACTATACACTACTATGCACTACACTACTATATACTTTGATTAGCACGCTTAGCTACGTACGGTGCAAAGAAGTTCATCATACGTACACACCACTATGTGTTTGACGTTGATTGTACCTACCCACAGCAGTCGAACAACGGCTTCTGCTGGGGTGCGGCAACACAACTTGGACAAACCACACACAGAACTGCAGTACACCGTAATACAGGCAGTCCTCTACTTAGCATGGAGATGCGTTACGACGACCCCATCGTAAGTCGAAAATATCGTAAGTCGAAAATATCGTCAGTCGAAGATGGCCTAGCCTACCCAGGAGTCTTAAAGAACGGTGATAATTTAGCAAAACAGAGCAATTTACAGTACCGTACTGTATAAACTTTATATACTGTATTTATTAAGTACAATACTGTATTGCACAGTAAAATGTAAAGTTAAAAAAACAAGGTAAATTCTTAGGCTACCTATATGAACTGCAATTTAATAGAAAGTTTTTTCAGGAAACAATCCTATCTGCCATGAAAACTTTTAACTTGCATTGAACGTATCGTATCGTGGTAACCTTAAAATGAAATCGCTAAAGCTACGTATCGTAAACATGCATTGAACGTATCGTAACGTATCACATTGTACTGTACTCGCCAAGATTCTGTTCGTCGTCTGCATACTTGAACGATGCACGCGAACACGAGGAGAACACGCAAACTACAAATATACAGCAGCAGGCGTCGGGCTTGGGATCGAACCCGCGACCTCCTGTATACCAGACAAGGTACCATTGGAACCTCATTTGCCAGTAAAAATATGATAATTGGTTTTTTACCCTTCTATCTGGCATCAAAACTGACACCTTTTTTTACAAAAAATGTGTCAGTTTTGTTGCCAGATAAAAGGGTAAAAAAACAATTACCCTATTTTGGTACTGGCAAAGGAGGTTCCAATGGTGTAAATGCTTTCCCCGAGCTTTCATACTGTGATGATACATTGTCTTTGAGTTGTGCGCCTTTTGGCGTCATCTGGTCCAACCCATGTGAGACTAGGCTCTAAGGAAAGCTGTCTCGGGTGTGGACCAATCAACTTCAAGGACAATGCACATTATCAGAGTTATGGTTTTTTTTTGCATTATGACTGCAGGTATTGTGGTCTATGCAAACATGACTCCTTGTAAAAAATGTGTCAGTTTTGATGCCAGATAGAAGGGTATAAAACCAATTATCACCAGACAACTAAGGTTCGTGCTGCCAAACTGCATCTTTGTCCGAATCCTTGGGCTTCCGCCCGCAAAGACAAAGGCTCACGGAGCCAAACGTAGGTTCCCCCCCCCACCGCCCCCATCGTCAGGTCGTTCAGTGGCCGCCGTGGCTTGAATCCCTCCTCGCCGTGAAGGTGGCGAGGCACAACGTGGATTCTCAGGATGGATTGCAAAGGCTAAAGGCCGTGCCTGGTGCCCAGAGGTCGCAACCGGGTACCCGATACCCGTACCCTACCCGATACCCGGCTACCCGTACCTGGCCGGGTACGGGTAGCCGTTTGCGACCCTGGTGCAGCCGGGTACGGGTACGGGTAGGCCGTGAGTCACTGGTGAGTAACTGTTTGTCACTCATTTCGGGTAGGGTACGGGTACGGGTAGGGAACGGCTACCCGTACCCGGCCGGGTACGGGTAGCCGTTTGCGACCCTGGTGCGGCCGGGTATGGGTAAGGAATCAAAACCCGTTTGCGACCTCTGCTGGTACCTCTGCTGTGCTCTCCAGCTGGCGGGCACTGGAGAACGAGAGGGGATAGGCCTGGGATCTGCGCTCTTCTGTCGCTACTGCCGTGGACGCTTGCTCTGACATTCACCCCTTGATTCCTCCACCCCCTTGATTGCCTCTTCTTGGTTCTTTCGGTAAAGTCACGTAGAAGGGAAATAATAAAATAAAAATTCTTTTTTTTCTTATTTTATTATTTCCCTTCTACGTGACTTTACCGAAAGAACCAAGAAGAAGAATCCCTGCAGTCACGAAAGCTTTAAATCGAAATGCGCCACGCCTGTTGAGGACTCGGTCTGCCAGAGTGACCGTCTTACCCAGGGGGTGCCACGGTGGCGAGATGCTGACTCCCTGGCCTGGTATGCAGGAGGTCGTGGGTTCGATCCCGACTTTTTGTGTGTGTGCATGTTGAACTTTTTTTCGCACCGCAACCCTGACGCCGTATATTTGGAGTTTTCGTGTCTCTCTCTCTCTCCTTGTGGCCGCGTGGATTTTTCTCTCGGGTCCTCCGGTTTTTCCGTCCGCATTAAGAATCGGCGCGCTTTGAGAGTATTTCCCTGCTACGCATTTTCACGCGATGATGATCAACTTCGTTGAGCTGTCATTTGTGACCACGTCGCTTCGGGTGGGGCCTTACCTGGTAAAATAAAATAAAAAATTGGTCCTGTTCCGTCCCATCCACACTGCGTTCGGAGTTGTTCGCTATCAGCACTCACCCCAACAGCCTGTGGAGGCTACGCGGGGGGAGCGTGGGGGTGGGAGGATTTTCACCTTTGTGCCGCGCAGGTTACAGTGACCGGGCCGTGCTGCTCTACGAGTACATCGGCAAGAAGACGGTGGACTTGCAGCACACCGAGGTGCCGGACGGCTACCGCGGGCGCGGCATCGCACGCCTGCTCGCCAAGGTGCCCCGGCACACGGCGCTTAACTCTCTCTCTGTCTCCATCTCCCGGTGAACCCACACGGCTGTCCCGGTGAAACCAGCACGTCTCTCACATTTTACTCACCCAGCAGCAAGCTGACCCAAAACTTAATCGTGAACCATGCGTGGGTCATGGTTTCGACTATGAAAGCCATCCGCCGTGGTGGTGAGATGTTAACTACCTCGCCGGGTATGCAGGAGGTCGTGGGTTCGATCCCGACCTTGACGCCTGCTGCTGTATATTTGGAGTTTGCATTTCTCTCCGTGGCGAGATGTTAACTACCTCGCCTGGTGTACAGGAGGTCGTGGGTTCGATCCCGACCTTGACGCCTGCTGCTGCTGTATATTTGCAATTTGCGTGCTCTCATTCCACGTGGTCACATGGATTTTTATCCTGGTGCCTCCGTTTTTTTTCCCTCCACATTTTAGAATCGCCATGCTCTAAATTTCCAAGCGATGATGATAATACATTCTAGATTTGAAGCTTTCGTGACTGCAAGGATTCATGATCTTAGGTTTTTTCGGTAAAGTCACGTAGGTAAAAAATGAAATTAAAATTAATAAAAGTAATAATAGAAATAAAATAAGAAGCAATAAAAAATCACGACGTTTTTGCTTGATACAGTAAATCTGGCTGTGACGGTCCCACCTGATGACGGAGACTTGTGTTGCCTCTGAAACTTTTATTATTTTTAATTTCATTTTGTACCTACGTGACTTTACCAAAAAAACCTAAGAAGATGATAATCCACTTCGTTGAGCTGTCATTGGTGGCCAGGTCGCTTCTGACAAAAGAGCTACGTGGCTCCGCGGGGCCTCACCTGGTCAAATAAAATAAAAAAAGTTTCGTTTTAAGTTGAAATGTGTAAATTTATAGAGCATTTGCCCGTTATCGGGTTACACGGGGGATCTGTGTGGATCTTTCCTCTTGTCACCCCACCCCTCCCACCCGTCCGTGCCGCCACCCCCACCGCCTCGCCCTCCGGCCCAAGGCCTCCATGGACTTCGTGGTGGAGGAGGACCTGAAGGCGCACATCACGTGCTGGTACATCCAGAAGTTCATCAAGGACAACCCCTTACCTCAGTACCTGCAGCGGGTGCAGAACTGACGCCGCCGTCGCCTCTTCCTCCCGCCGCCTCGTCGCCCACGGCAACCCCCCCTCCCCCTTCCCTCGCCTCCACCGGGGCAACGGTAACCCGGCAACGGTAACCGGGCAACGCCGACGGTGCTCGGCTGCGTCGCCCTGGTTAGTACGTCCGGTCCTCCGGTGGGCGGCGGTGAAGGGCGGCGGGGGTCGGGTGGTGGTGGTGGAGGGGAGCTGCCATCTCCTCGCCGGCGCTGGCGATGGTGCCCGAGCGTTTGCCGGGAGACGCGTGGGACTCGTGCCGCGCGTGCGATGGACGGCCCCTGCCGCCGCCACCGCCGCTGCGGAGGCGGAAGAGGCGGTGAGGACGCAGGGGTGGGGTGGTTCCAGAACTGTTCGGCGGCGGCGGCGGCGCTCGAGAGAGAACTTTGGGAAGCGTGCGATGGCACGGCCGTTGAGGAGGGCGGCCCACCGTAGCCACACGCCGGGCGGAAGGCACGGGGGCGGATTAACTCGACACACAACGACGACGACGACGCTGCCGCCGTTTTTACTCCCGCCGCTTCGGAATCCCGGTTTCACCGCGGTGGGGGACGTCGCGGTCGCGGGCGCTGGAGCCCGCGGTGCGATTGCCCGGCTGCCCGCGTTGTCGCGGAGAGCGGTGATCCGTTGAGGGTTGTGCGTAGGCCCTCCCGGGGTGGGGCGGGGGACACACCATGCTGTCCCTTCGGTTTCGGGCAGCGTGCGCTTGGGCTGGACGAGGGAGTCGCCGCGCTGGGTTAGAGTGTTTGGGCGAAGCGACGCATAACGAGACCGGGTGTAGAGGGTCATTGGGTCGGGCAGAGTGATTTGGGAGTGGACAGAAATTAATTGGCCTGTCAAAGAAAAGTTTTTTCGGGGTTGTGCAGAGGGACATCGAGGTAAGGATGCGTCACGGCATTGGATCAGAGAGTCATTTGTCTGCGCAGAGCCATATAGCTGGACTGGAGAGGCAGTTATTGGGGTGGGCAGTTATTGTACTGGGTGGAAAGTGTTTTGGATGGGTAAGAGAGTCGTTGGTTTTAGGAACGCATCATGGGGCTGTGCAGAGAGTCATTTGGCTGTGCGGTCATTGGGCTAAGTAGACATTGATTGGGGAAAAGTACAGTGGAGGTTAGCCACTGGGTAGAGAGTCACTGGGGTAGAGAAGTCACTGAGCCGTGTAAACATGTCGTGGTGTCTGGTGAGAAAGTCGGTGGGTGAGGTAACGGCATCGTGGTGTCGTGCAACTGGGCGAAGTGATTCGTCAAGGGACTGGGTAGAGAATCGTTGGGCTGCACAAAGACAAAGATCCCCCCGTGTATCCTGTAAACAGACTGTTGGGGCAAGTGCGGTTAGCGAGTAGCGGCACCTACGAAGGCCGGCACGGCGCACGAAGGGGATGGGTGGCCAACGCCATGCCCGGCCGCTTTTGTCTCCCTGGTGGCGATGTTTACGGAACGCACCAGGTACTCATTTGAGGCCGAGTCCACCTAGAGGGAGACCCCGGACCGGTTCAGATAATCGTCACCAGTGTTGTCCGTGAGCGGTAATCGAACCCGGGCCGCAGGTGGTTCGTAGTGCGGCTGCGCTACCGCTCCCCGTTGCAAATGGCCGGCCACACCCGTGAGTTCTGCTGGAGGCAGGAGGAGTTTGAATTTGGAGGGCAAGGCCATAAAATCACTGGAGCTTCTGTAGGTTCTTGATCTCTCCACACTCTCGCGCTCTCTCTCCCTCTGTATCTCACGCTCCTCACCAGAGGTCGCAACCGGGTACCCGATACCCGTACCCTACCCGATACCCGGCTACCCGTTCGCGACCCTGGTGCGGCCGGGTACGGGTAGACCGTGAGTCACTGGTGAGTAACTGTTTGTCACTTATTTCCCAACGTCTTGTCTCTTCTCACAATTCAAGTTCCTAGAATCAACCCACCCGCGCCTGCAACATGGCTTCATCCCAGAGATCGCAACCGGGTACCCGATACCTGTACCCTACCCTTACCCGGCCGGGTAGGGTAGGGTACGGGTACGGACGGGTACGGATACCCTTTTGTGACCCTGGTGCGGCCGGGTACGGGTAAGGAATCAAAACCCGTTTGCGACCTCTGCTCCTCACTCCCTCCGTCACGATCTCCCCGGGTTTATTTGAATCGTCGTGCACACAACCCCCGTTTGACGTCGTTATTACTGTCGCGAGCATGGTCCAAGCTTCGCATCCGCCCCCCCCCACCACTCTCCCCCTGCCATCCTCGACTTAGTGCCTTAGTTTTTATTTATTGTCTTAGGTAGCTAGTACGTGTCCGTGTGTGTCTGCGAGTCCGTGTGTGTCCGTTTGCGTGCGCACGTAAGTCCGTGCGTGCGTGTGTCCGCGCATCTGTAAGTCCGCGTGTCCGTGCGTGCGCGTGTTTTCCGTGTTGGATTTGTTGTGGTGCTATTTTTTGTTATTTTTTTATTTTACCGCATTGTAGTCTTTCTGGCCTGTAACCGTATTCGATGGCTCGTCGTCGTCGTTGTAGTACCCGAGCTTTTATTATTTGAACGTCCGCCCTGTTCGTCACACCCGGCGTCCACGTTCACGTTCGTCCGCAGATCCGGCGGGTGCGAGAGGTAGGGGAGGGGGGGGGAGCGGCGGCGACGCTGCAAACTCCACGGCGAGGAAACGCGATTTGGGAGAGACGCAAATTCTCCCGGGCGGAGACGACTTCCCGGAGAGACGTTGCGTCGAGTTGGGCCGCGCGCCACGGTTTGGCGGCGCCTTCAACCACGGAGCACTTTGGCGTAGGCCGCGTGCCGCAAGGCCGTCCCCGGCGGCAGTCGCGCCGCGGTTAATCGTCGCCGCGGCCGATGGGAGAAAACCGATTCCAAAAATGGCTTTTGACGCCGCGGCGAATGGCAGCGGCCTCCGCGGTTTATGCGGCGCGTACGATTGGATTGCGTACGTATGTACGTTGAACTTCTTTCGCACCGTACGTAGCCGATCGTGCTAACCGTAGGTGCAATGGAAGGACAACGAACTAAACACAAAAAAGCACTTCGAAAGAAATTACTTTTCAATCTCGACGATTTTCAAGTTTCATAGCTCCAGCAGCTTCTGAATATTGGAAGGAAGAGCGTTTCCAGACGGCCAAAGAAGCGCATCTGAAAGCGCCGCGCGATGTGGTGACCACCACCGTCTTTGCTCGATGGCTTAGCCAAAAGCCGCTGCCGCTGCGATGATGACCGGAGTTTGAAAGGTATTGTGGTTCATTTGTGGCGAGCAGTGCAATGGACCAAAGCATCACTACACCCCTATCGTATTGGTATTAATTAAAATGATTTTATTTGGGCTACACTGGAGACTTCTACTATCAATCATGCGCAGGGCAATGGGCAAGTTGGTACATCGCAGGACCGTGCGGGGACGGTCATCGTCCAGCAGTGGATTGATCATGGCTGATGATATTGATGATGATGATGATGGCGATGATTGTTTGTCAGTGGAAGATGGGTCTCGCCGAGTTCAGCGGAGGGGATGGAGGCGGGCATGTTTCCAGAATCGGAATCTTTGTTTAGACCGGAGGAATCCGATGAGCTACAAAGCTTCAATGTTTTTTTATTACCTATCACAGATGCCCATCGACGGGGTGAGAGCGGTCCAGTCGCTGCGCCAGCGGCTGGGGAAACATTTTGTCCGTGACGTGAGCAACAATGGGGGCCCTTGAGCTTTTGTTGCAGAACGCGCGTAAGCATCCCGCACCCACCCATTGGCACGGTTTGGCTACGTGCGGTGCGAAAGCAGTTCAACGTGCAGGAGCGGGCGTGGGTTCGATCCCCGACCCCGACGCCTGTATGTGTGAAGTTTGCATATTTCTCTCTCCCCCTCTCTCCCCGTGGTCCACACGCAACGAGTCGTTTCGTTTTTGGACATCAACACCCCCCCTCCAGTCCACAAACCATTTTGGAGACTTCAGCGCACTGCGGCTTCCGTCTTACACCCGTGTGCAGGTCGAGCACACGTGCAGCCCTCGGGACGCTCCACCGCCGGACGGGCGGCTCGCAACGCCACTCGCGCGCGTGCCAGTCGGCGCCGCGTCAGCGCGTGGTGTCGGTGAAGTGGCGGCGGTGGTGGGGGGGCGGTAGACGCGGGAGCGTAGAAGTTGCAGTACGCCGACGGCAATGGACAGCGGGATCCTCTGCGAGGGCGCCCTTCTGGGGCGTCGCGCAGGCTCGGGGAAGGACCGGGCCTCGGCTTCGGAGAGCCGACGTGACGGGGTTGGTGGGTTCGGAGTTGCGGGGCGAATGGGCGGCCAGCGGCGTAGCAGGGCGGTTCGTCTTTGTTGTGCTCGTGATCGTGCTGTGCGCCGTGCGTGTAAGCGGGGTTGGTTGGGGGGCGGTGGGGGGGGGGGGGGCGGTGGTGGGGGGGCGCGGTGGTGGGGGGGCAAATGGGAGGTGGAATTGAGGGGGGGCGGTGAGTTTTAAAAAGGTGGAGGATTGATGGAGGGGAAGCGGTCGCTCTGGGGTCGTGTTTGTGGCGTCTTAGAGCGGAGTGCGTTGGTGCTAAGGGAGGATCGTTGTCCAGGAGGTAAATTACGCGTTTGACGATTGCGTGCGACCTCGCCCATTTTAACCCTTTTTCCCGTTCCGCTGACGTACGTGGACATAGTCACGTTTTCTTCCAAATGCCGTTATGGTGACGTACGTGTGCGTGCGTGCGTGCACGTCATCGGAACGGAAACGGATGACAAAATAAAATAACTTGGTTGGTACCGAGGCTCCCACAAGGCCACGCGGGGAGGGGCGTGTGGGCACAGCGTTGGCGCCAAGCTGTCGTAGAGAGTGCGGCGGTCGTGTCGCTACGGCTCTCTGCGGCAACGTCTTTTAACAAACAACGGCGCTGCTGCCGCTGCTGCTGCTGTGCCTCTCTAAGTAAAAGTCACGGCGAGTCGCTCGCGAGTTCCCGAGATACGGCGGTGAACGTGACGCCCCACATCCCCCCCCCCCGCCCCAACCGTGCGACTTGCAGACAGTCCCAGAATGGCCAAGGGGTTTAATAAATCGGGATCACGACTATTTGACCGCCTGTCGTAACACGCGCAGCCCATCGTCCCGCCTGGTTTGCTAGAATAAGGAACACTGCTGTGGGGTAAGGTCGACTGTCTTGTCGATTTTTTTTAATACTCGTTCTCCCGCCATAGGAATGTGGAATTTCCAACACCGCTTCACGGCTTTAATACTACAATTAGCACGGTTGGCTACGTACGGTGCGAAAGAAGTTGAACCTACACACACACAGACTCACAGTCACTCAGCCACACACTCGCCCACCCTCCGATTATCACGGTTGGCTACGTGCGGTGCATCTTGGGTCATTTTGGCCTCCGCCAATGCCAGGTCTTAAAACGTTTTCAGAGACATTGCACGTTTTCCGCCGTGCGATCGCTCCACGCGTCTTAGCGCATCGCACGCTGCCTCCTGCCCGAGAACGGATGTGAGGGCGAGCGTGGCCAGTCGCGTATCCGTGCATTTGATGTTGAGAGTTCACTTGGAGTTGCCGTCGTGAAGTTGCGTCGACGACGACCCCGAGAGCAGAGCAGACGCGCGGGTTGACTACGTACGGTGCGAAAGAAGTTCTACGCACGCACAAGTGGCGACGTCGCACGGTGGCGATGGCGTCGTGGTTTCGGGTTCAGCTGCTCAGAAAATCAAACCGTCGTATGCAATGGCAAAGTGTTCTTCGGTCAATCTTAATTTTGGAGCTTTCGTGACTGCAGGAATTATTCTTTGGTTCTTTCGGTTAAGTCACGTCTAAAGATAAAATAATAAATTAAATAATAGCATATTACGACGTTTCGATTGCAACACAAGCAATCATCATCAGGCATAAAAGAAATGGCAACAAAAATCTAACTAGAAAACTATAGACAGACATACAAGCAGACAGACATCACAAAGACACACAGAGAGAGAACACGTATCTAACCAAAGAATAATTCCTGCAGTCACGAAAGCTCCAAAATTAAGATCAGCCGATATGTGTTCTCTCTCTGTGTGCCGTTGTGATGTCTGTCTGCTTGTATGTCTGTCTATAGTTTTCTAGTTAGATTTTTGTTGCCATTTCTTTTATGCCTGATGATGATTGCTTGTGTTGCAATCGAAACGTCATAATATGCTATTATTTAATTTATTATTTTATCTTTAGACGTGACTTAACCGAAAGAACCAAAGAAATGTTCTTCGGTCATTATCACTCGGCCAATCGCAAGCACCTATCCCGGTGCTCTAGGCGGATATGTGAACATCGGATATGTGAACGTAACCCAGTATTTCGGGCACAGTGTTAATGCCGCATCTCATTTCTAGCCATCTCGGCCTCCAATGTCAACATTTTTTTTTTGCCCTTTCCCATTGCAGTTATGTCAAGCGTACGTCATCGAAACATAATCGGAAAGAAAAGTCAAGTAACTCTATCGATACCGAGGCTCCCACAAGGCCACACGGGAGGGCGTGCGGGCGCAGTCTGGCGCCAGCTAGCGTAGAGTGGCGGCGGTCGTGTCGCTGCCGATTCTCTGCGGCGAGTAACAACGTCTTTAGCTGCTGCTGCTGCTGCTGCGCTTTTCCAAATAAAATTAACGCCGAATCGCTCGCACGTTCCGAGATTCGTCAGTCAACGGGACACCCACCCACCCTGCAACCTCCAGGCAGTCTCGGAACGGGAAAGGGGTTAATATTTTTAATACTAAGCGTGCCGTCTGGCAGCGGCCGTCGTTTTGAGGGCTTTGTGATGACGTACGATTAAAAACGGAACAAAATCTCCATAATATTCGTTTTTTTGGTTACGTCGCGTAAATATAAATGTCGTTAAACCCGCCACCAACCGACACAGATAGTTATTAAGGCTTGTCATGTAAACAGAACGTGGCCAATTCGTTACTAGTACAGCACACCGGTTGTGTGTTGGAGAGCAAATCCACAACATTTACAATGAGTACGACGTTTCGACAGTAATTACAACCAGCATCATCAGGCGACAGCCAGATTTGTGGAGACATCCTTCTGTTTCGTTCCAACCGGCAATGGATACCCATTGTAATTTATACGCATTAATTAATCCCTCCCCCCCCCCCCCTTTGCACGTGAAAGGTTTCACAAGTGACGTCATCACATCTACCCCTCTATTTAAGGAACGAAACAGGAGGATTGTGCTGTACTAGTGTACTACACTATACACCACACACTACACTATACACTAGTGCTGTATTAGTAGCGAATTGGCACGTTCTGTTTACGTGACAAACCTCACTAATTTGGCTGTGTCGGGTGGTGGTGGGTTTAACCACATTTATATTTACACAATCTACCCCCAAAAAAACCTACATTATGGATGATTTTGGTCGCGAAAGCCTACAACATGTTAAACGGAACAAAAGCTGACAAGTTTTGTGCACCCGCGCGCGATCAGGTTGTGCGTCGCCTGCGACACGGTATATAACCACGGTCCGTGGGGGAATGTCCATGTTTGTCGTTTGCCCGTAGACCAATGTGTAATTTTTTTGCTATTTCGTGTGTCCAAAACAAAAAAAAACGATTAAAAGTTTCTGTGTACAATGCCGGGCCGTTTAAAAATTTTCTCCGTTTATTCGCGAATGTCAGTGTCGCCCCCCCCCCACCACCCCCTTTTTAAAAATTCTTTATATTAAGTTCACTTGCTTGCGTGCTTGCTTGCTTACGACCGTGCAAATCTTTCGGTCGTTTTTTAACCCACTTCCCGTGATCCAATCGAGCTGACATTTTGCACACAGACTCGTTGTGCGTGACAATTAATTTTCGTGAAATTTTTTTCCAACAATTTTACACTGTTTAGGGAAATTTTTAAAAATATTTAATTACCAATTGCTTAATGGTGGCAGCCATCTCAAGCCAGAGGACAAGAGGAATCTAGCCGCCCCGATGCCACGCATATAAAGGATTTATAGTGAAAAACTTTGTTTTTACGGGTAAATTTTTTTGATCCGAGAAACTCGGCATGACCGCCAATAACACTGGTCAACACACTTTTTCTGGCATAAGGTATTCCAACGGTTGTAAGGTAATTTTGGGGTGCTGATTCCAAATCTGGCATCAGTTTTTGCCTATCACATCAGGTTTTTGAGATATCAAATATTGCATTTTCAATAAAAACTGCAGAAGAAAAATATTAAATAAATGTGGATATCTACATGAAATTATATTATAAACACACTATCCTAAAAATACAGCACCATATTTTAACACTAAAGCAGTCACTGACTGGCAACAACTTGCAATCATAAGTGACAGAGTTAATTTTGGGTAAAATCAATGAACATGGGGTATGCCGATAGCATAAAAATGTGATAGAGCAAATCTGAGATCAGATTTGGAATCAGCACCCTGAAATTAGTCTAGAACAGCTGCTAAAGTCCAGGCCAGAAAAAAAAAGTTTTTTATTTTTGTTGACCAGTGTAATAATGTTTGGCCTTTAAAAACAAAAAAACATTCTTGCGACGGGCAACGTTTTGGGCAACGGGCCTTCTTCAGAGAGCACCGGCTGACCAAAGTTGTGTTTGCGAGTTTGTTCTTCGTGCACCGCGGCCGAAGAAGTACAGTGGTACCTCGGTAATACGTCGTTAATTCGTTCCAGAAGGTAGGACTTCTACCGAAAATGACATACACCAAACGAAATTTCCCCATAAGAAATAAAGCGAAAGGAAATAATCTGTTCCAGAGTATAAGAAATTATATTTTATATGGCATATTATACATTAATGGGGTTGTATAAAATAATTTAGACACTACTTATTACTAAAATGCATACATAAATTAAAAGAAATGCATAAATATTTTTTTTAAGATTGCCTTTTTTTTTAAATATCACTTTTCCTTGCTGGAGGATGGTGGAGAGGAGAGGGAGGAGATGTTATTTTTTGGAAGGAGTCCCCTTCCATTAAAACTTCAGGAAGCTGAAATTCTGGGGTCTTTTCTCTTTTCTGTCTTTCTTTTGACTTGGAACTGGGTTGAGGCTCACCAGGTTTGAGTTTTACTAAAAACCTCTCCGTTGAAGTTTGTTTTTGCCTTCTGCTAAGAATGAACGAGATCTACAGGCAGACTGAGGAGCAGCGCTTTGTTTCGGTCGTGAACAGGGTTCCGCGGGTACGCGGTGACTCATCCCGGCCCATACAAGTTCTAGCAAGCGCCTCGTATCCCAAGCAAGACATCGTATCCCAAGACATGTTTGTCTCGTCAAAACACGACGTGTACCAAATTCGACGTATGCCAAAGCGGTCGTATACCAAGGTACCACTGTACGACCGAATAATTTCCGAGTCCAGGATTGCTTTTGTTGCTTCTGCTCTCTCTAGGAAGCTGGAGCACTGAAACCAGTGGGAAGTTTTGGCTGAACTGCCAGATGGTGGTAATCCAGGGTATGGCATCTCCTTGATGGGCTGCAATCCACCAACCCTTGCTACTTGCTGCCTCCAGTGCTGGATTTGCACGTGCCTTAAACCCTGGTGCACCAATCATGTTTAATACGTAGTAGGCTTTCACGACCAATATTCATAAAAGGGATTTTTTTCAGGTTAGATATATGGGTCTACCCACCTCAGCCAATTAGAATGTTTCGACACTTGAACAAAAAACGTGCCAATTGGTTACTACGGCACTAACCGGTGTTAAGAGTAAATTCACTGTTACAATCCAAGTACAGGCAGTCCTCTACTTATGATGGGAGATGCATTACGACCCCATCGTAAGTCGAAGATGGGCTAGCATACCCAGGAGTCAAAGAACGATGATAATTTAGCAAAACAGCAATTTACAGTACCGTACTGTATAAACTATATACTGTATTTATTAAGTACAATACTGTATTGCACAGTAAAATTTAAAGTAAAAAAACAAGGTAAATTCTTAGCCTACCTATATGAACTGCAATTTAATAGAAAGTTTTCAGGAAACAATCCTATCTGCTATAAAAACTTTTCACATACCTTGAACGTATCGTATCATTGTACTCTACTCACCAAGATTCTGTCAGTCGTCTGCATACTTGAACGATGTTAGGTTGTTGATGGCAATTTTGTCGCTATCGCCATCGTAAGATCGTAACTCGGGGACTACCTGTACTGTGACGTTTTGCTGAGGATTACAACCAGCTTCATCAGGCAATTTGCTAGAATTGTGAAGAAGTTTCCCTGCTTACTGCTGGATGGAGATGCAGGGGAGGTTTAGGAAACTATCTCCCTTACCTTTCAACTGCGGCTTAAGGAGATAAAATCAAAGCGGCGAGGTGTGGGGAGCAGGTCCATTGTGCAAACAGTGTCACTCGGGACCAAAATGAAAATAAAATGACAGCTCTTTCTCCGCGCGTATTTCCAGTAGTTTTATTACAAAAGCTTACAATGAATAAAACGCATCGTTACAAAGGCTTACGATGAAATCATTGATCAAAACCAAATAAGTAGAAATTTGAAGGAAAAGCAATATAACCCTCTACTCTTGTTACACACACCCATTCACCTGCTGGCTTCCAAGGCGAAGCCAAATTAAGGCGGCCCAGTGCGTCACACTCCACCGTCGCAAAAGTCTCCCACAGAACGAACGAGAGACATTACATCAACGGAAATATAACAAGCGACGGCCGATTGGCTTTGCGCCGTCCCAGCGTGAACCGGTCGCAGACCCTCTGCCAAAAAAAACAAAGACGGGGCCAGCAACACAAGAGCGTGGAACCCACACAGGTGACGCATGCAGCAACTTTCAGCAATTTGACAAAATCACGAGGTTTCTTTAAATAGTGAAATTTTTATTGGGTGGTGGGGCCTGTCCAATTACCCCCCCACCACCTGGGCACCACTGACCCCAGCCGTTAGGGGCGCCACGGTGGCTAAGAGATGTTAACTACCTCGCCTTGTATACAGGACGGAGTCGGTTCGATTTTAACACTGACATCTGTATATTTGGAGTTTGCATGTTCTCTCTCCTCCCGTGGCCGCGTGGAATTTTTCTCCGGGTCCCCCGGTTTTCCTCCCTCCACATTCAGAAAATTAACATCACGCATTTTAGACTTTTCAGCTGCTGCTATAAATTTTCCCCACGGCGATAGGCTTGAGCTATCTACCGCTGCGGGGAGGGGGGGGGGGGCCAGAGATCGCAAACGGGTTTTGATTCCTTACCCGTACCCGGCCGCACCAGGGTCGCAAACGGGTACCCGTACCCAGCCGGGTACCCAGCCGGGTACGGGTAGGGTACGGGTATCGGGTACCTGATTGCGACCTCTGGGATGAAGCCATGTTGCAGGCGCGGGTGGGTTGATTCTAGGAACTTGAATTGTGAGAAGAGACAAGACGTTGGGAAATGAGTGACAAACAGTTACTCATCAGTGACTCACGGCCTACCCGTACCCATACCCGGCCGCACCAGGGTCGCAAACGGGTACCCGTACCCGGCTGGGTACAGGTAGCCGGCTATCGGGTAGGGTACGGGTATCAGGTACCCGGTTGCGACCTCTGGGGGGGGGGCCCTCTCCTGCCGCGGCGACCGCCTCACACGAGCAGCCTCTCGATGCTCTGCTGCGCCGCCTGGATCTGCGGCTTGAGCTGCGACCCCTCCTTGATGGTGACGGAGCAGGCGACGACGGGCCGCGAGACGCCGCAGGCGCGTCCCAGCGCCTGCTTGGAGCGCACGAACACGTACGGCACGTTCTTGTCCTCGCACAGCAGCGGCAGGTGCAGGATGATCTCCAGTGGCTCCGCGTCGGCCGCCATCACGATGAACTCGGACGTGCCGCGGTTCAGAGTCTTGGTGGCTGCGCGGGAGGAGGGAGCGACAGAGCGAGGAGGAAAGTGAGAGAGAGAGGGTGATACGCGAGGTAGGAGGGCAGAGGGGTAGAAGAGGGTGGAGGAACGGCAGTAGGGGAAGGTGAGGGTGCAAGGGAGGGAGGAATCAGTTTTGTGGAATCGAATTGGGAGTCCAATTTGTGACAATTTCTCGAGGTGTGCGAATCGGATTATTAATTGCCATATTATAATGTACTATATGACCTAGCGAGTGGCACACCCTGCAAGCTCTCATTATTTCTAGAATGACGGTTCACAAGCCCTGCACCCATCGGCTTTTGGGTTCAAGGTGGTTTTGCCACATCGCATAAAAAATAAAAAAAATACTTTCTTGCTACGGGTCCGTCAATCCATCCTCGGATCAAAGGCCACGCCAGTCGCGGGGGGGGGGGGGCCCGTTTGACCATACTTCACCCTGCTGGTCAAGCGTGGCTTGGTAAAGATTGAGGGAGCATGTGACCCCAGGAGGAGTTCAGATTTCACCTGTGACCGACATTGGCCGTAGCGAGCGATCGAACTCCCATCACACAAGCCCCACCGCACTGCTGTTCAACATGCTGACCGAGAACACGCGTGTTCTAACATGACACGCTCCGCAGGTACGTTTATCTATTGATACCCGTCAACCCGTTATCAGTGCCCACTGCCTTATTACAGACCAATTCAGACCTTACTGGTCACCCCACGCCCCTTGTGAATCTCGACGTTTATTCTACAAAGTCCCATCACAAGGGAGAAACACAAACAAATAAATGTTTTTGCCCGTATTGAAACGGCTGTATGGTGTATGGACCTGAAAATAAAATTTCCCTGTACAAGAATACGGGTAGACCGTATGAGTTGACAGGTATGGATATTGTGTATGCATTTGTGTATATAGTGGATACATAAACACAGTATCCCTTTGTTACTCGCGAGGGATACGTTCCGGAGATTCTCGTGCATATCAAATTTTGCGGATAAATACAAAAGCTATTAAATAATTGAAAATGTTAACAATACATTTTTTAATAAACAAAATAAATAATTTATGGATAAACTTATCTTAAACTACGAGAATGCTGCGCATCACTTTGCTGCGCAATCATCTCCTTACCTCCCACCCCCTTACCTCTCATCCCTCTCCCTCCCATCCCTCCGCCTATCATCCCTCTGCCTATCATCCCTCTGCCTCCCATACCTCTGCCTATCATCCCCTTACATCTCATCGCTTCACCTCTCATCCCTCTCCCTCCCATCCCTCTGCCTCCCATCCCTCCGCCTCCCATCCCTCTGCCTCCCATCCCTCTCCCTCCCATCCCTCTGTCTATCATCCCTCTCCCTCCCATCCCTCTGCCTCCCATCCCTCTGCCTCCCATCCCTCTGCCTATCATCCCCTTACATCTCATTCGCTTCACCTCTCATCCCTCTCCCTCCCATCCTCTCCCTCCCATCCCTCTGCCTCCCATCCCCCTGCCTCCCATCCCTCTGCCTCCCATCCCTCTGCCTCCCATCCCTCTGCCTCCACCCTCTGCCTCCCATCTCTGCCTCCCACCCTCTGCCCATCCCTCTGCCTCCCATCCCTCTGCCTCCCATCCCTCTGCCTCCCATCCCTCTGCCTCCATCCTCTGCCTCCCATCCCTCTGCCTCCCATCCCTCTGCCTCCCATCCCTCTGCCTCCCATCCCTCTGCCTCCCATCCCTCTGCCTCCCATCCCTCTGCCTCCCATCCCTCTGCCCTCCCCATCCCTCTGCCTCCATCCCTCTGCCTCCCATCCCTCTGCCTCCCATCCCTCTTGCCTCCCATCCCTCTGCCTCCCATCCCTCTGCCTCCCATCCCTCTGCCTCCCATCCCTCTGCCTCCCATCCCTCTGCCTCCCATCCCTCTGCCTCCCATCCCTCTGCCTCCCATCCCTCTGCCTCCCATCCCTCTGCCTCCCATCCCTCTGCCTCCCATCCCTCTGCCTCCCATCCCTCTGCCTCCCATCCCTCTGCCTCCCATCCCTCTGCCTCCCATCCCTCTGCCTCCCATCCCTCTGCCTCCCATCCCTCTGCCTCCCATCCCTCTGCCTCCCATCCCCTCTGCCTCCCATCCCTCTGCCTCCCATCCCTCTGCCTCCCATCCCTCTGCCTCCCATCCCTCTGCCTCCCATCCCTCTGCCTCCCATCCCTCTGCCTCCCATCCCTCTGCCTCCCATCCTCTGCCCTCCCATCCCTCTGCATCCCATCCCTCTGCCCTCCCATCCCTCTGCCTCCCATCCCTCTGCCTCCCATCCCTCTGCCTCCCATCCCTCTGCCTCCCATCCCTCTGCCTCCCATCCCTCTGCCTCCATCCCTCTGCCTCCCATCCTCGTGCCTCCCATCCCTCTGCCATCCCATCCCTCTGCCTCCCATCCCTCTGCCTCCCATCCCTCTGCCTCCCATCCCTCTGCCTCCCATACCCTCTGCCTCCCATCCCTCTGCCTCCCATCCCTCTGCCTCCATCCTGCCTCCCATCCCTCTGCCTCCCATCCCTCTGCCTCCCATCCCTCTGCCTCCCATCCCTCTGCTCCCATCCCTCTGCCTTCCATCCGCCTCTGCTCCCATCCTCTGCCTCCATCCCTCTGCCTCCCATCACTCTGCCTCCCATCCCTCTGCCTCCATCCCTCTGCCTCCCATCCCTCTGCCTCCCATCCCTCTGCCTCCATCCCTCTGCCTCCCATCCCTCTGCCTCCTATCCCTCTGCCTCCCATCCCTCTGCCTCCCATCCCTCTGCCTCCCATCCCTCTGCCTCCCATCCCTCTGCCCCCATCCCTCTGCCTCCCATCCCTCTGCCTCCCTCCCTCTGCCTCCCATCCTCTGCCTCCCATCCCTCTGCCTCCATCCCTCTGCCTCCCATCCCTCTGCCTCCCATCCCTCTGCCTCCCCATCCCTCTGCCTCCCATCCCTCTGCCTCCCATCCCTCTGCCTCCCATCCCTCTGCCTCCCATCCCTCTGCCTCCCATCCCTCTGCCTCCCATCCCTCTCCCTCCCATCCCTCTGCCTCCCATCCCTCTGCCTCCCATCCCTCTGCCTCCCATCCCTCTGCCTATCATCCCTCTGCCTCACATCCCTCCGCCTCACATCCCTCCGCCTCCCATCCCTCCGCCTCCCATCCCTCCGCCTCCCATCCCTCCGCCTCCCATCCCTCTGCCTCCCATCCCTCCGCCTCCCATCCCTCCGCCTCCCATCCCTCCGCCTCCCATCCCTCCGCCTCCCATCCCTCCGCCTCCCATCCCTCCGCCTCCCATCCCTCCGCCTCACATCCCTCCGCCTCACATCCCTCCGCCTCCCATCCCTCCGCCTCCCATCCCTCCGCCTCCCATCCCTCCGCCTCCCATCCCTCTCCCTCCCATCTCTCTGCCTCCCATCCCTCTGCCTCCCATCCCTCCGCCTCACATCCCTCCGCCTCCCATCCCTCCGCCTCCCATCCCTCTCCCTCCCATCCCTCTGCCTCCCATCCCTCTGCCTCCCATCCCTCTGCCTCCCATCCCTCTCCCTCCCATCCCTCTGCCTCCCATCCCTCTGCCTCCCATCCCTCTGCCTCCCATCCCTCTGCCTCCCATCCCTCTGCCTCCCATCCCTCCGCCTCCCATCCCTCTGCCTCCCATCCCTCTCCCTCCCATCCCTCTCCCTCCCATCCCTCTGCCTCCCATCCCTCTGCCTCCCATCCCTCTGCCTCCCATCCCTCTGCCTCCCATCCCTCCGCCTCCCATCCCTCTGCCTCCCATCCCTCTGCCTCCCATCCCTCTCCCTCCCATCCCTCTGCCTCCCATCCCTCTCCCTCCCATCCCTCTGTCTATCATCCCTCTCCCTCACATCCCTCTGCCTATCATCCCCTTACATCTCATCGCTTCACCTCCCATCCCTCCGCCTCCCATCCCTCTCCCATCCCTCTGCCTCCCATCCCTCTGCCTCCCATCCCTCTCCCATCCCTCTGCCTCCCATCCCTCTCCCTCCCATCCCTCTGCCTCCCATCCCTCTGCCTCCCATCCCTCTGCCTCCCATCCCTCTGCCTCCCATCCCTCTCCCTCCCATCCCTCTGCCTCCCATCCCTCTGCCTCCCATCCCTCTGCCTCCCATCCCTCTCCCTCCCATCCCTCTGCCTCCCATCCCTCTGCCTCCCATCCCTCTGCCTCCCATCCCTCTGCCTCCCATCCCTCTGTCTATCATCCCTCTGTCTATCATCCCTCTGCCTCCCATCCCTCTCCCTCCCATCCCTCTGTCTATCATCCCTCTGCCTCCCATCCCTCTCCCTCCCATCCCTCTGCCTCCCATCCCTCTGCCTCCCATCCCTCTGCCTCCCATCCCTCTGCCTCCCATCCCTCTGCCTCCCATCCCTCTGCCTCCCATCCCTCCGCCTCACATCCCTCTGCCTCACATCCCTCTGCCTCCCATCCCTCTGCCTCCCATCCCTCTGCCTCCCATCCCTCTGCCTCCCATCCCTCTGCCTCCCATCCCTCTGCCTCCCATCCCTCTGCCTATCATCCCTCTGCCTCCCATCCCTCTGCCTATCATCCCCTTACATCTCATCGCTTCACCTCCCATCCCTCTGCCTCTCATCGCTCTACCGCTCTCTCAATGCAGCCGTGTAGAAGTTCCAGGTTTGCGACTTCGCGGACAGCGACGATCGCAAACAACCGAGGGAGCACATTCCGTTCATGTAAGCCCCCCCCACACTCTCTCACCCTCGTTGGCTCCCTTGCGCAGCTGCTTGTAGTTGGACGCCTGCTGCACCAAGTCCAGCATCGTCTTGGTGAGGGTGGCGTCCGCCAACGGGTACGCCTTGGGGTTCACCTCCGCTTCACTCTGCAAAATAATAGACAAATAAATTCATTCCCACCACTTCTAGATTTGAAGCTTTCGTGACTGCAATGATTCATATTCTTAGGTTTTTTCGGTAAAGTCACGTAGGTAAAACATTAAAATTAATACAAATAAAATAAAGATCACGACGTTTCGGAGGCAACACAAGTCTCCGTCATCAGGTGGGACCGTCACAGCCAGATTAGCTGCATCAAGTGAGGCAATGATTCATTGCCTCACTTGATGACGGAGACTTGTGTTGCCTCCGAAACGTCGTGATCTTTATTTTATTTTTATTAATTTTGATGTTTTACCTACGTGACTTTAGCGAAAAAACCTAAGAATATCATTCCCACCACCTCCCACATGGCGAGAAAGCCACTCCACCTTTGGTGGTCGCGCACGCCGGCGCCCTAAGTGGGTGGGGGAACAGGTACACGAGGGGGTGGGTGGCCAGCGCCACGCCCGACCGCCTTTGTCTCCCCGGTGGCGATGTTTACACACCGCACCAGGTACTCATTTGAGGCCGAGTCGACCTAGGACCGGTTCAGTTAATCGTCACCGGTGTTGGCCGCTAACCGCTACACTACCGCTCCCCTTCAATCAACTACCACCACGAGTCTCCCACAAGCAGTGCTCACCATCAGCACCGCCGCTAAAATGCAGCACCACTATCACCACCAAACAAACTAAATGGTTGTGCAGCAATAGCACAAAAATATCTCGCAACACATTAACCACCAACGCGTTTGGTCCCTTAACATTTAAATATAACAGGCTACAATCAGGGCCAAGGGCCCCTTTCTTCGTAGATTATCCCTCCCCTCTCGCTAACGCGATATTAAAATCCACTACCCTAAAAACGTCGCCTCTTCCACAGTTAGTTGTTTAAAGTTTGTGTCGCCGACTAAAAGTGTTCATCGCTTACAACCCCAAACTCTCCTCGCACACGTGCGCCGTGAAGCCTGCGCGACTAGGCCGCACCACGCCGCCGCAGCTGCTCCCTCCCCGACTGTTCCTCACCATCGCGAAAGTTCCAGGCGGCCGGGGTGGGCTGATGCTGTGCTCGTGTCTCTCTCTGAGCGCGGGAAGAACGAAACGAGCCGCTCGGTTCCTCTCGGCGGCGATTCGCTTCACGGAGGAACCTCGCGGGCGCGGGAAGTCGGAGGAGGAGAAGCGACCACGTGGAGTGAAGTTCTCTGCCGATGCGACGCCCCGCCCACTTCCGATTAGCCCCGCCCACTTCCGATTAGCCCCGTCCACTTCCGGTTAGCCCCGCCCACTTCCGATTAGCCCCGCCCACTTCCGATTAGCACCGCCCACTTCCGATTAGCCCCGCCCACTTCCGATTAGCCCCGCCCACTTTCGAGTAGCCCCGCCCACTTTCGAGTAGTCCCGCCCACTTTTGATTAGCCCCGCCCACTTCCGATTAGCCCCGCCCACTTTCGAGCAGTCTCGCCCACTTTTGATTAGCCCCGCCCATTTCCGAGTAGCCCCGCCCACTTCCGATTAGCCCCGCCCACTTCCGATTAGCCCCGCCCACTTCCGATTAGCCCCGCCCACTTTCGAGTAGTCTCACCCACTTTTGATTAGCCCCGCCCATTTCCGATTAGCCCCGCCCACTTCAGATTAGCCCCGCCCACTTTCGAGTAGTCTCACCCACTTTTGATTAGCCCCGCCCATTTCCGATTAGCCCCGCCCACTTCCGATTAGCCCCGCCCACTTCCGAGTAGTCCCGCCCACTTTTGATTAGCCCGCCCATTTCCGATTAGCCCCGCCCACTTCCGATTAACCCCGCCCACTTCCGATTAGCCCCGCCCACTTCCGATTAGCCCCGCCCACTTCCGAGTAGTCCCGCCCACTTTTGATTAGCCCGCCCATTTCCGATTAGCCCCGCCCACTTTCGAGTAGTCTCACTCACTTCCGATTTGCCCCGCCCACTTCCGAGCATCCATACTTCCGATTAGCTCGCCCCGCCCACTTCCGATAAGCTCGCCCCGCCCACTTCCGATTAGCTGTGACAGATGGAGCGTATGAGCAGGATGGACGTTTTTTTTCTCTTTCTTTTAAGGGCGCAGTTTTATTGACGAACGTGTTTGAGTTTTTGTTTGTTTTCTAGAAGGTTAAAGGTTAGTGGGGGTGTGAGCGGCCATCTTTAGTGGGCGTATGTGAGTAGCCATCTTTAGTGGGTGTATGTGAGCGGCCATCTTTAGTGGGGGTGTGTGAGAGTGGCCATCTTTAGTGGGTGTGTGTGAGCGGCCATCTTTAGTAGGTGTGTGTGAGCGGCCATCTTTAGTGGGGGTGTGAGCGGCCATCCTTAGTGGGTGTATGTGAGCGGCCATCTTTAGTAGGTGTATGTGAGCGGCCATATTTAGTGGGTGTATGTGAGCGGCCATCTTTAGTAGGTGTGTGTGAGCGGCCATCTTTAGTGGGCGTATGTGAGCGGCCATCCTTAGTGGGTGTATGTGAGCGGCCATCTTTAGTAGGTGTGTGTGAGCGGCCATCTTTAGTGGGGGTGTGAGCGGCCATCCTTAGTGGGTGTATGTGAGCGGCCATCTTTAGTAGGTGTGTGTGAGCGGCCATCTTTAGTGGGGGTGTGAGCGGCCATCTTTAGTGGGGGTGTGTAAGCGGTCATCTTTAGTAGGTGTGTATGAGTGGCCATCTTTAGTGGGTGTATGTGAGTGGCCATCTTTAGTGGGTGTATGTGAGCGGCCATCTTTAGTGGGTGTATGTGAGCGGCCATCTTTAGTGGGTGTATGTGAGCGGCCATCTTTAGTGGGTGTATGTGAGCGGCCATCTTTAGTGGGCGTATGTGAGCGGCCATCTTTAGTAGGTGTGTGTGAGCGGCCATCTTTAGTAGGTGTGTGTGAGCGGCCATCTTTAGTAGGTGTGTGTGAGCGGCCATCTTTAGTAGGTGTGTGTGAGCGGCCATCTTTAGTAGGTGTGTGTGAGCGGCCATCTTTAGTGGGGGTGTGTCAGCGGCTATCTTTAGTGGTGTGTGAGTGGTCACCTTTCGTGGGTGTTAGTGGCCATCTTGGTTAGGGAAGTGTTGCAGCACAGGACGTAACGTCATCAACGGACGACTGCCCATGGCTCTTCCAATCCCAACACAGATTCAGAATGTTTATTTATCCTGGAGAAATACGATGAGCTATGAAGATGTCCAGTAAGGGACGAGTAGGAAAGTTACAACAACAAACAATACAAAAAATAATATGGAGTAAAAAGTATAGGAAAGGTAAGGGGCCGTCCATAAATGACGTCACGCACCTGGGGGGGGGGGGGTTAGACATTGTGACGATGTGTGACGAGGGGGGGGGGGGTTTGAGAAACGTGACGTCACATCAAAATGCGCAACTTTAAATAAATATAGACAACACGTTCCACTTAATTAAATAGACTTTTTAATAAATGTGTTCTCCTACAACATCAGAGTGCAGCGCCACATTAAATACGCACTACAATGACAATAGTTTAACGCGATTTGAAGCATGTTTTATATTTTTTTTGGGGGGGGGGCAGAGCTTTGTGACGTCATTTTTGAGGGGGGGGGGGTCTGACTTTTTGTGACGCCGCGTGACGAGGGGGGGGGGGGTCAAAACTCGTCCAAAATCGCGTGACGTCATTTATGGACGCCCCTAAGCAAATCACTAAAAATGAGCTATTAGCTATTTGTCAGAAGCGAACGAAGTGGCTTATCACCTGCACATTTATCGCAGCAAAATACAAAAACACCACGTTGATTATAAATGTGAAGGGAAAATCTGGAGTCGTTAATCGATACATTTTCCCTCACGATTCGATTAAGACATCGTCGGCCTGGTATAACAATCGACATACAGCGTGAAATAGCAGCAGCTTAGAAATTCTGTTTTCCATCACAGTTTAACGCATAATCGATCTCAATCCGTACAGTCTACAGATGCAACTTTTTCAATCTCGACACGAAAACTCACTAACTGCTCTTTGTTGTTTTAGTTTATTGTTATTTTGATGCCACGTACGGCGCGAAAGAAGTTCAACCGCACGCACAAATCAATAAATAATCATCCCCGACTCGGAATCGACAGCGTGATTATGAATCGATGCATAAAATCGGAATCGTCGTAAATCGAGTTTTCGCGGGGGGGGGGGGTGTGGGGAACGGAAGTGACGCAGCGCGAGAGAGAGCGGGCAACGTACGGCGCGAAAGAAGTTCAACCGCACACACACACAAATCAATAATCATCATCGACTCCGAATCGACAGCGCGAAAATGAATCGATCCAATAAATCGGAATCGTCGTAAATCGAATTCTCGCGGGGGGGGGGGGGGCAACGGAAGTGACGTAGCGGAAGTGCGGCTGCGCTGTCACCTTGGAGGCTGCTGCGGGCAAGAGACGAGGCGATGGCGGCACTCAGGAGATCGGCGTTGGCGCTCGGACCTCAACTCGGCGTGAGCCTCTCTCTCTTTCTCTCTCCCCTTGTCTCCTACTCTCTCGTTACAGTCTTCGGCCGCGGTTTCACACCACCCACTCCCCTGTACCACACCTCTTTTGCCGCCGCTGCAAGAGCTCGTCCACGCAGAGGTCGCGGCTGCGGCCCAGCGGGACAGGCTTCGTTCGGCTGTTGGCCACCGACTACCCCCCTCACCACCAGCCCCCTCACCACCCTCACCACCACCACCCTCACCACCACCACCCTCACCACCACCCTCACCACCACCAGCCCTCACCACCACCCTCACCACCACCCCCCTCACCTACACCCCCCTCACCACCCTCCCACTCACCACCAGCCCACACCACCCTCACCACCACCAGCCCCTCACCACCACCCTCACCACCACCACCCTCACCACTACCCCCCTCACCACCAGCCCACACCACCCTCACCACCACCCTCACCACCACCCCACTCACCACCAGCCCACACCACCACCCTCACCACCACCACCCTCACCACCATCACCCCCACCACCCCCCTCACCACCAGCCCATACCACCACCCCCCTCACCACCCCCCTCACCACCCCCCTCACCACCATCGCTCCACACCACCCCACTCACCACCCCCTCACCACCACCCCCCCTCACCACCATCCCTCACCACCACCACCACCCCCCCTCACCACCATCCCTCACCACCATCCCTCACCACCACCACCACCCCCCCTCACCATCCCCCCTCACCACCATCCCTCACCACCACCACCACCCCCCCTCACCACCATCCCTCACCACCATCCCTCACCACCACCACCACCCCCCCTCACCACCCCCCCTCACCACCATCCCTCACCACCACCCCCCCTCACCACCATCCCTCACCACCACCACCCCACTCACCACCACCCCTCACCGTCTCTTTCAACCCTCGACTCTCCCTCTCGTTCTCTCTTTCTCGTTGAACTTGAAAACTTCAAGTTTGCGATGACGGGCTTGCGTGCAAGCCGGGGATGTGTGTGTGTGTGTGACCGGTGCTTTGAAGCGTCTTACACGAGGCAATTCAGAGGCTAAAGTTAGGTCTGTGTGTGCAAGGTCGGAGTGGTGAAGTATGGTCATTAGTAAGGTTTGTCGCGTAAATAAAACGTGTCAATTAGTTACGACTTGAGCACACCGGTGTGTTGGAGAGTTAAACCACAACATTTACAATTCGTGAACGACGTTTCGCGCTGGAGATTACAACCAGCCTCATCAGAATTGTCGCCTGATGAAAACCCTTCATTATCGATAATATTGGTCGCGACAGCCTACGCGTTATGGTCAAATATATTGGCTGTGTGTTCAGCAGAGCTGTTGTTAATCACTGAAGCAGCAATCGTGTAATTCGAGAGTGAACAGACATGGAAGTCATTGTCCAGGTGCGCAAGGTCGAAGTGGTTTAAAGTTCAAGTTCATTTATTAGGTATAGCCCTGTGAGCCATTCGGCTCTTGAATCGGGTGCAACCGCAACAAACAAAAAACAAAAACATGAACAAGTAAACATCTTAAAGTTAATATGTGCAAACAGAAAATCCAAGAAAAGACAGCAAAATATTGCAGAAAAAATCACCGTACACCAACCCTGTGCAAATATCCCAGTGGGATGCAAGTCAAACAACAACAACCACAAGACAACTTAGTGGTAAAGTGTGGTCGTGTAGACCCAGTCGCACGGCGTGGTGGTAGGCCCTCATCCATCCAGCAGTGGATTGACGATAGCAAAATAAATTTCCTCGATAAAAAGCACCCGTGACCTGAGCGCAGGTGACGTTAACAGCATATACACGTGGCAAAGGAACTGCACATAGTCACATAGTCACTTTAAGATGTTTTCTTGTTCATGTTTTTGTTTGTTGGGGTTGCACCCGATTCAAGAGCCGAATGGCTCACAGGGCTATACCTAATAAATGAACTTGAAATAAATAAACTTGCATGCATATCCACTACAGGATTTGAACAATCTCTTGAGATGTGGTCACATTTGGGCGCTTTGTGAACTATGATTATGTTATGGTCAGTGAGTCTAAATGTACCGGTGTGCGGCAAATGCCGTACAGACACTGCTTAAAGCACCAACACGTGTATACTAGCACTTTTCAGAACGTTGTTTATTGCTAGATTATTGTTTCCATTGAGGGGAAACATCATGGTCACTGGGCAATGTAGCTATTTTACACGATTTTATTTAACTCACTCTGTCTTATATTTTGATTTAAAGCTTTCGTGACTGCAGGGATTCATATTCTTGGTTCTTTCGGTAAAGTCACGTAGAAGGGAAACAATAAAATAATAAAAATAATAAACAATTACATTCTCACGACGTTTCGACTGCAACACAAGCAATCATCATCAGGTGTGAAATGCACAGCAAGAAAATTTGAAAAAAGTTCTTGTCGTTGTTGTATCCTCAAATCTTGTAACACAATTTTTACCCACTTCCCAATGTGGTATCGACTGCAAACTTGGTATACTTATGTCATACCGATGACAATACTATATTCTACCATAAATAAGGAAAACATGTGTTTTAAATGTGGAGGGAAAATCCACGCGACCACGGGGAGAACACGCAAACTCCAAATATACAGGCGTCAGGGTTGGGATCAAACAAAAAATCTGAATGTATTTATACTGGAGGAATACGATGAGCTATAAAGTTATTTTTCACAGGTGTCCAGTGGGGGCAGGTACGAACGTTACAGCAACACACAATATAAAAACACAATTAGAGTGCAAAGTAGTGTAAATGTAAATCACTTTATGAAACATACAAATAAAGCTAAACTATTTTTAAATCCTTTATATTAAGTTCGCATGCTTGCGTGCTTGCTTGCTTGCTTACGACCGTGCAAATCTTTCGGTCGTTTTTTAACCCACTTCCGGTGATCCAATCGAGCTGACATTTTCCACACAGACTCGTTGTGCCAGACAATTAATGTTCGTGAAAAAAAATTCCCAAAATTTTACACTTTTTAGACAAAAAAAAATTATTTTACATATATTTAAATATAACTCATTCATCGCTTTGGCTGAACGTCACAGTATAAGAGCCCAGAGCGTAGCTTCTCCACAGGCCGTGGCGGAGTAGCGCAGTTGGTAGCGCCCTCGCTTCCCATGCCAAAGGTTGCGGGATCGATCCCCGCGTCCTCCACAGGCGAATATATTTTAAATCCTTTATATTAAGTTCGCTGCCACGCATATAAAGGATTTATAGTGAAAAACTTTGTTTTTACGGGTTATACTTATTATCTGACCACGTAAAGCCCACTGAGCGACCAGCTTCTTTTTGAGTCGTGACCTGGCCACAAATGATAGCTCAACGAGGCTACTCACCATGTGGACATGTATAGCAGCTACTTAATCGAAACGCATGTTTCTAAATATTAACCTACGACCTCTTCCATAACAGGCGTGGGAGATAACATCTCACCACCGGTGGGAAATGAACATGAGCTGGACGAATAGGTTTCATTACGGACACTTGTACACTCATATTTCTACCGACTAGTTAGAAATGCGTAGGAAACTAGGACACACGATCACATTGGAGCACACTTTTTAAATGGTGCCTTCCGACACAAATAAGACGAAACGTAGTTTTATGCATGGAAAGTTAATTGATTGTATCTTTTTATGTCGGGTAAATGTGGAACAACTGGTATATGAGAAGATTGTAGACAAGTTATATCAGGTGTCCGACATTGAACTGCATACCTGCACACAATACATGAGGTTTTTTTTTTCGTGTAGAACGAAATACGCAAAGTCACGTAGAAAGAGAAAATAATAAATGAAATAATAGCACACGACGTTTCGATTGCAACACAAGCAATCATCATCAGGTACAAATGAAAGAGAAAAAAAACCTAGTAAACTGAGAAATATAATGCAATACAACACAGATAGTCGGCTAACATAACAGGCAACACCCTGTCTGGTTGATTACGTTCTCACGTAGGTAAAATATAAATGAAAAACGAAATTAAATCAGTGATTTCATTTAGTTTTTCATTAATTTAAATTTTTACTAAATGAAATCAGTGATTTTATTTAGTTTTTCATTTATTTTTATTTTTTAACTACGTGACTTTACCGAAAAAACCAAAGAGTATGAATCCTTGCAGTCACGAAAACTTCAAATCTAGAATTTAAGTCAATAAATTTTGTTGATTTACAGACCGTTCCACGTCTAGGTGATGCAGTGCTGAGAGACGCACCTTAACAGTTTCATCTCGCTGTTTGTGCCTTGGCTGTCATCCCCCCCATATCCCTCCGCTCCCCCTCCTCCCTCATTAGAGACGGCAGTACTCTGCGCTCGCATCGCCGCTGAGTCAGCCGCTCAAGTCCACGAAGGAGTCTCATGCTCCGCTAGCACCCCAAGATGTGCAGGTGGGTGTCGGTGTCTCTTATAGGTGGTGGGCGGCCGGGGGGGGCGGGTGAGGTGGAGACACTGAGAGGGTTATGGTAGTTCATGGCGCAGAGAGAACGTGTACTGTGTGTAGCCAACCCTGTTAATTGGAGGTGCGGGGGAAGGACACATTAAACGCAAAAAGCAGTTCTAAACAAATTAGTTTTCAATCAAGAAATTCATGTCCACAGCTAGGAGGCTGATCAAGTACGTTGCATATCACAGATCCTCCATGATCAATTACACCCCACCCCCAAATCCAGTGCAGTGTTGTAAAAAAAAAGTGATTTCCTACTCGAATAAGCATTGAGCCATTTTTGGCCATCACCTGTTTACAACCCTCAGTCAGTGGTAGAAAACGGGCAAGTCTCTTCACAGCGCACAGCCACTATGAAAATAAAACATGTCTGGTGCTAGGCTGCTGTGTTTCATCTCAGTTGGGCAGGGCCGGGACGTCAGGTTGGGGTCAAATGAGCTACCGACCGCCACCCCCTCCCCGACCCTCAGGTGTCGAAGCTGAGCAGCGGCCTGGTGGTGGCCTCCCTTGAGGACTACTCGCCCGTGTCCAAGGTGGCTCTGCTCGTGAGGGCCGGCAGCCGCTACGAAACCGGAGACAACCTGGGCATCACGCACTGCCTGCGCACCTACGCCAACCTGGTAGGTGTGCGCGTGCCCGATGTTTGTGTTTATATCGTAGCTTAGTGGTAATTAATTGAGGGTGGAGGGGTTACCAGCCCCTCGCACCCGTCCAGAGCCCCCGTTTAGCCACTGTGGTGGTCACAGACGCCATGAGGGGAGAGGCCAATGGGCATTGGACCTCCCCACACAGCATTGTCCACGACAGTGTTGCCCGTCCGGCACCGCGCACTTGGCCTGGCACAAGCATCGTGGTGACGTCACCGCCACTTAGTGGCGAATGGCGGTTGTTATTGTTGATGTTTGTGTGTGCCCAGGAATGGGAAGCCCAATCCTCACCTTAATCTAAGTTGTCTTGTGGTTGTTGTTGTTTGACTTGCATCCCACTGGGATTTTTGCACACAGCGTTGGTGTACGGTGTTTTTTTCTGCAATATTTTGCTGTCTTTTCTTGGATTTTCTGTTTGCACTTAGTCACATATTCACTTTAAGATGTTTTTTGTTCGTGTTTTAGTTTTTTGTTTGTTGCGGTTGCACCCGATTCAAGAGCCGAACGGCTCACAGGGCTATACCTAATAAATGGACTTGAACTTGAAATGAACTTGAACTTAAACTCACCGAGGGCCAAATATGATTTTCAGATGTGCGTACGTTGGAATTCTTTCGCACCGTACATAGGTAGCCCTGCTAATCAGAGGTGCGATGACAGGGCCACGCAGTAGTTGATATTCAACTTTGATCATGCTTGGATTGTATGAATAACAAAAAGACAACACATTACATCGGTCAATATCGATTTATAATGTTGGAGCTTGTGCTATGCACCATATACCTCATGGGGCCTAGGTACAAATTATATTTAAAGAATATTTCTAAATGAAAAGTCTTAAATAACGTATACAAACAGTTACTCATTAATTAGTAGCTATTAAAAAACAGATATTACCCTAAAAATTCTAAAGTGTATGCATGAAATAATTTGTATCACAACTATGCTTCTGTGCTCAGAACCACTTTTAATCAACAGCATGCTCAAATTCGAAACCTGGGTGTTGCCAGGTCGAAAATATCCCCCTTTGGAATTTCATCAGTTCACTCTGGCACTCGCAGAGTTTGCATATTAGATGTGTGTGTGTGTGTTTGGTAGCATGTCTTGATAAATGTGTGCGTATGTTCATGGTCGTGCGTGAGCTCCTTGAGGCATTCCTCACACGGTTGTCTGGCTTGACCCACTTGATTGTGAAATTGTAGTTCTGCAATCTACATCATCCCCCGTACAAAAAATATGAAGTGGAAGAAACAGCAGCTCCTTGAGGTGACGTGCCTCCTGTCCCTTGTCCCCATAGACTACCAAGGGCGCTTCAATGTTCAGGATCACTCGTGCCATCGAAGAGCTCGGCGCTAACTTCAAGTTAGTCATTGTACTCACCCACCACACCCCCATTGCCACCACCTTAACCTCTTAATCGCTGCCGTGTAGGTTTTCGTGGTTGGGCCTTCTCGCTCTCCCAACGTGCTCTCTGGTTGAACCCGCGTCTTTCACACGATGTCCCCTCCGACGCTTCGCTGACGTTCCTTCAGTTTTTGAGGAAGCTCTCGGCTCGCGGAACGAAATCCAGCGCATCGCGGCGAAAACATCGGAGAGCTAAAACAGCACGAACATGAAAACCTCCACAGTAGTATTAACGATGTCCTCACCGCACACCCGCTATCACCCTTACCATCACCGCAAGCTCACGAATCGAACTCGGTTGACCTGGTTCAAGAGTGCCGTGCGCCAACCAATGTGCCACTGTTATTGCATTTGTCGGTACTGCTGTGGTTTTAATAGCACGCTAGATTTGCAAACAGAGGTTTCTGGTTCGATCTCTCGGCGTGGCAGATTAAAAGGCGGGCACGTTTCTTAAATCTCTCTGCCTCTGTCCACCTGGCAGTATAAATGAGTTCAACCGCAGTTAAGACGATTGGCAAGTCACATGCGGTGGGGTAAAGCGTGGGTACTCCCCATCTCTTCCGATGTCTAGCTAGTGTGCAATAGTAGATCAAAAATACGCCCCTTTGGAGCTCCCGTGAGTGGAGACCTTTCCTCCAGTTTTGGCGTGAGCAATTTCCTTCATAAACCTCCCGCCCAGCCTTCACCATCATTGCCTTGACTGCGATGCTCACTGCTGGCATCGGTGCCGGCAGTGCTGTGTGTGTTGAGTGCGCCGGCGATGCTGAGCGTGCCGCGTGTGTCTCTGCCCATTGTTCACAGTGTTCTGACGACGCGGGAGCACATAATGTACTTGTTGGACTGCCAGCGAGACCACGTGTGAGTCCCCCTCCCACGCCAGCACGCTACTCTTCATCATCATCATCGTCGTCGTCGGCGTCATTTATTACTTATTGTACCGCACCTCTCGTACGTCTCGAATCCCTGGAACAAAGGGCCACCGTGGTGGCGAGATGTTAACTCTCTTGCCGGCTATGCAGGAGGTCGTGGGTTCCATCCCGACCCTGACGCCTGCTGCTGTATATTTGGAGTTCTCTCTCTGTCCAAGGTCGTATTTTTTCCGGGTCTTCTGGTTGTCCCCTCCGCGTTTAGAATCGACGTGCGATTAAAATATTTGGCTGCTATAAATTTTCCACACGATAAGCCACTTCGTTGAGCTATCATTTGTGATGGACAGGTCGCTTCTGAAAAAGAGCTTTATAGCTCAGTGGGGCCTTACCTGGTAAAATACCGTCTTGTCTGGACGATGAAATGCTCCGGAAAATAAAATGCACTCTAAACGTTGGGGTGATTGCACCAACTCGACATTTGACCAACTGATTGTCATTTCCTACCTCGGGTGAGTATAAATTCCACGTTTGTGATTGTGGAGGCGAGTCTTTGCATAGGACAACCACTGCCGATTTTCCCACAAGGTGGTACCTGTTTCGTTTGTCTTTGGAGAGGGGGATGATTGGCTTGACTAACAACCCTCAACCAGGATTTTCGTCTCTACACCTTGCGATTGCGAGCCGCTCGCTTGACCGCCGAGCCACTGGGCCGGTGTTAAGTCGACTAGACCAGGGCTGGGCAACCTTTCAAAAAAGAAGAGCCATGTTTTTGTCTTTGACCTTTCTAATGAGCCGCATCACACGCAGAGAGAGCTACTTGTGCGCATGCACAAACACAGCAGCGGCTATACAGCGGATGGCAAAAAATCCTGACTTTTCTTAACAAAATTCGGTGATGGAATAAACTGCGTTTGTTTAAGTTTATTTCCTCCCTTATTCTTGAACAACACAGTTTTTTTACGTATTATCGTCACCAAGACATTCCAGAGCGACACATTCATTCCCTGCCTTATTTAATCAGTTATCTTTACGTTAAATCACGTTTAAGATTTAAGCTTTTACAACAACAACAAAGAACGGCTGCCCCTAAGGGGGGAAGCCAAAGAGCCACCGCATGCGGCACGGGAGCCGCAGGTTTGCCGAATCCTGGTCTAGACTGCCAGCGAATGACTAAAACTCCGCAGGATGTCGTAAACTGCACGGAGGCTGCGACGGCGAACGTCAAAACGAGTGACTGAACTGACCTTTGTGTGCGTCCGATGCCCTCCCGTCGTGGCAGGGACAACCTGATGGAAGTGCTGGTGAACGTGACGCTGGCGCAGGAGTTCCGCCCGTGGGAGCTGCAGGATGCGGCTCCGCGTCTCCAGCTGGAGAAGTCGCTCGCTCTGTTGAACCCCGCCGTCGGTGAGCCTACCGGCGGCACGCGCACCGGCGCGGCGAGATACGGCCACAGCGAGAGCCGCTCTTGGGCCTTGAGTGGATTCGGCCTCAATCGGCGGTACCTGGCGCAGCGCGAATAGAAATCGCCACCAATTCGACAAATGCGGCGAGGCGCGGTGCTGGCTACCCACCACCTCCCCTTGTATGCCGTGCCGACCTTCGTAGGTTGTTGCTCTGGAGACCGGGAGATCGATGAACGATGTTCGGTCACCGCGGTTGATGGAATTCGTCATGATTTCTCGCTTAACAGAGTGGGCCGCGCGAAGGTGGCCATCTTCCATTCCAGGTGCTCGCTAACAGAACTTGTGGGGGGGGGTGTGTGTGTGTCCGTCTTTGTGTGCGCAGGTGTAATGGAGAACCTGCACGCAGCCGCCTTCAAAAACACTCTGGCCAACTCGCTGTACTGCCCTGACTTCATGATTGGGGCCTTCTCACACGACATGGTTAGTTTGGGGCCTGGCACATGGCACCCGCATGAGCATACCGGGCTCTGTGGCCCAGACACAGAGCCCGGTATCACCCGATGAGAAAAGCAGTGTCAGGCGAACATCGTGGTTGTAGAGAAACTCGGGTTGATCGAGTCACTGGCACGGAGGGGGGAGGTGTTTTGGCATTTACTGCTGTAATGGGCCAAGAATGTCTGTGTGTCCCGCTGGTTTCTATCAAATGTCAGTACCGGGGGGGACAAACAGTCACCGGGTTTGGTCACGGGCGTAACTATGGGGGGCGGTATGTGGCAGCGTTATGCGACAAATAGCAGTCCAGTTGGCCACAAGGGGGCGTCGAAATCAAGTTCCCGCTAACGGCCACCAACACCAGTGAGGATTATCTGAACCGGTCCCGGGCCTCCCTTCAAATGAGTACCTGGTGCGGTGTATAAACGTTGCCACGAGGGAGACAAAAGCGGCCGGGCGTGGTGCTCACCACCCCACCCCTTCGTGTGCCGTGCCGGCCTTCATATGTGCTACTCGTTAACAACACTTGACCCCAACAGTCTGTTAAGGCTACACGGGGGATCTTTGTCTTGTGAGTGCGGTAGTTGTAGCGGTTAGCGCACTGCGATGTGAACTCAGCGACCCGAGTTTGATTCCCGCTCACGGCCAACACCAGTGACGATTATATGAACCGGTCCTGGGCCTCCCCTAGGTCGACTCGGCCTCAAATGAGTACCTGGTGCGGTGTGTAAACATCGCCACCTGGCGAGACAAAGGCGGCCGGGCGTGGTGTTTGCCACCCACCACCCCCTCGTGTGCTGTGCCGGCCTGCGTAGGTGCTGCTCGCTAAACAGTCTGTTAAGGCTACATGGGGGGGGGGGGGGGGCGGGATCTTTTGTCTTTGTGTGCGTGTGCACGACGTTGATTGCTGCGTGTTCCGCTGTGTTTGGACAGCTGCACGACTACGTTCAACACCACTACACCAGCGCGCGGATGGCACTGGTGGGCGTCGGTGAGCTCCCACACGCCTCACCTCAAATGTCGATTCCACTCCGCGTAAATTCACCAGAAGCAAAACAACTCTTAAGGGCCTAGGAGATTGTTGTTGGCTAGCCCAGGCGTCGGCAACCTTGCAAAGAGGAAGGGCCATTTCTTTGTTTTTGTGCTTGACCAAAATAGTTGGGAGAGCCGCATCACACGCGGAGCTACGTGTACACATGCACAGCGGCGGGTATGCAGCGGATGATAACACGGGTTCTGGCTTAAATAAACAAGATACGTGATGGGATAAACTGCGTCTTTACCTTTTGTCCCCATTAGTTATTCGTTAACAATGCTGTACATTTTGTTGCCACCAAGACATTCCATGGTGACCCATTCCCTGTCATTTTAGAAATATTTGCGGTAAATTATGTTTTAAGATTTAAGGGTTTTGTTTTCCCCTTTCAAAAAAACGGCTTCCCGCATGGGGGCAGCCAAAGAGCCACACCCCATGTGGCTTCGGGGTTGTAGGTTTGCCGACCCCTGGTCTAGCCCGTGAGGTCTTCGCCATCGGTGGCTCTTACGGTCACCTACTTATGGGGTTAGGATTGGTGCTCTTGGGAGCACTGGCTGAAAACTATTTCAAAGTGTAGGGCCTTGGCATTCGTTGGTTGGTTACTTGCGTCTGCCTTGTCTTTATGGTGGCGGTGCAGGTGGCTTCTGTAACAGATTCGTTCTTCGATTTTTTTGTGCCTCCGATTTTCACGGTTGGCTACGTACGGTGCCGATGACGTTCAACATACACACATACATCAGTCGTAGGAGATAATCATTACGCTTGCTTAGCCAGGAAAGCAGCACTGAGTCGCAAGTCTCTTTTATACAGCTGTGCGCGTGATCTCAATTGAGTAATTTGTAGTTGAATTTTTTGAAGCGTTGGGATATTTTTTGGCCAACGCTGTGTTCACGGTTTTCAGTCGTGGGTTTGGCCGCGCGTCGCGTCTAAACTCTGCGTCGCCGCAGGGGTGGAACACAAGCTGCTCAAGCAGCTGGCGGAGCAGTTCCTGAACGTGCGCGGAGGCATCGGCTCAACCTCCGTCAAGGCCAACTACGTCGGAGGTGAGCGCTTTCCTGACGCCTCTGCAGTCTACGCATTCTCACCTGTGGTAGGGAGTTGATCGGCAAGGTTCGCGTGGAGGTCTCTGAGCGAGCCAGCGGGGCATGGCCTACTCGTAAGGCCATGCGCCACTGCCTGCAATTCTACCCGTGAATTATCGACGTGGGCCGTGGCGTTATGATGATGTATGTTAAGCTTATTTTGCACGGTACGTAATCAACCGTGCTAATCGAAGCGTACAGTGTTGCGTATAGTAATGGAGTGTATAGTAGTGCAGTGTACTGTTTAGTAGTGAAGTGTGTAGTGTACAGTCGTTTGTATGTTTAACTTCTTTCGCACCATACATAGCCAACCATGCTAGTCGGGAGGTACGGGGAAAGGGTAACAAACGATAAACACAAAAAGCAGCGATGCTGGAAAAGTCAGGAACCGGCGGTCGATTCCAATGCAATCGTAGTAACGAATACATTTATTGCTGACTGCAGCCGTACAAAAGTGTACGGTGTTTTTTCTGCAATATTTTGCTGTCTTTTCTTGGATTTTCTATTTGCACTCAGTCACATATTCACTTTAAGATGTTTTTTTGTTCATGTTTTTTGTTTGTTGCGGTTGCACCCGATTCAAGAGCCGAATGGCTCACAGGGCTATACCTAATAAATGAACTTGAACTTGACTGGGTCAGGAGTAGCGGAGTGTACCGCTTTGATGTCTCATTGGTATTTGCCGATCGGGCCATCGCGTCTTCACATACGTTGGACGGTCTGTTCTGAATGACCGTAACAACACCAACGTCGGCAACAACGAGTGCACCGATTGGCGCGCGCAAACGGTACGCAACTGTGGCGCGCAGGCAACGTGCGCGTGCACGGCTCCGGTGAGCTGACGCACGTGGCGGTGGCGGGCGAGGGCGCGCCGTGGGGCACGCCGGAGGCTCGCGCCTTCTCCCTGCTGCAGCACGTGCTGGGCGCCGGGCCCTGCATCAAGCGCGGCACCGACGCCGTGGGCGGCAAGATCGGCGGCGCCATCGCCAAGGCCGCAGGCCACCCCTTCGCCGTGAGTCCGGCGGTGTTCGCGGTCGGTGCTGTCGGCGTCACGCCGCGAGACGCAAGCGTGTCTGTCGCGGGGCGGAGCGGGTGCCGTCCGTCGTGTTTTGAGAACGGAAGTCGCAGAGATAACTCCGATCTGCTGCGCCAAAGCCAGGGGGGGCGGCAGCGTTCCCGGCCGCCCCCTCTCGCCGAGAGAAATGTTTCGTCGCGCGTCCGTCAGATCGACGATTTTTTTATCCTCGGGAGGTGGAATTTAGGCAAGTGAAGCGCTCTCCCACATTTCCTGCCACGGGTTTTTCTGTGCGAGCGTTGGTGACGTGGGGCCGAGACCATCAACTACACTGCACTTGGGAACCGGGTTTAGTTAGAGGCGGCTGATAGCTGGATTTCAGCGGTGCCAGTTCAGCGCCCTGAACCCAAATGCGCCGCGGTAGCGAGATGTTGACTCCCTCGCCTGGTATGCAGGAGGTCGTGGGTTCGATCCCGACCCTGACGCCTGCTGCTGCTGTGTATTTGGAGTCTGCGTGTCTCTCTCTCATCATCAAGGTGGCTGGGAGATGTTGACTACCTCGCCTGGTATGCAGGAGGTCGTGGGTTCGATCCCGACCCTGACGCCTGCTGCTGCTGTATATTTGGAGTTTGCATCTCTCTCTCTCTCCCTCCCGTGGTCGCGTGGATTTTTCTCCGGGTCCTCCGGTTTTCCATCCCACATTTAAAATCAACATCGCGCGTTTTAGAGTATTTGGCCGCTATACATTTTCACGTGATAAGCCACTACCGTTGAACTGTCGTTTGTGGCCAGGTCGCTTCTGAAAAAAAGCTTTAAATGCCAAATGGGCCTTACCTGGGAAAATACAAATAGTTTCTTTACAGCTGTTTAGTCTTAGATCACGGGGGTTGCGATTCATTGCATGTCTAATTCGGGGATCCTAAGCATTGTTTACCCGGGCCGGGCGACTCTGTACGATGTCCGTGTGCCATCGCCTTCCCGTCGCGTCTCTTCGTTTGGCTCGCCCGGAATTAAGGTGGCATGGCTGTGTGCGTCTGCTGCAGGCATCCGCATTCAACAGCAGCTACAGGGACTCGGGCCTCTTCGGCATCTACGCCGTCTGCAACAGCGGCGAAGTGGACAAGGCGAGTGCACGCCACATGCGCTGTGATTACACCTGTGGTAACCGCCCTATGGGACTGTGAGAGGTTGATCAGTTTGTTAAGCGCCATGCGATTCCTTTCTACGTGTTCCTCCTTTTCTTGTTTCCATTCCCCCTCCCTCCCCCCTCCCTTCCCTTCGCCCCTCTCCCCCCCCCCCCCCCCACTGCTTCCCCCCGCCTCCCTCTACTCTCCTTAAGTTCTTCACTCCCCACGTAAAAGTGCAAACACCCCGCTCGCGGTTTCCCCACTCAGTGGTTGGGGCAGCGGCGAGCCCAATCTCCCCCCACCTCCTCTAAGTTTCTGTACCTTCATGGAGGCGTGCGCGCGCGTGCATAACCCGCAGGTTCTGCAAGCCGCCGTGGGGAAGGTGAAGACGATCGCCGAGGGGAATCTGTCGGCCGGAGAATTCCAGCGGGCCCAGTGAGTGAGGGTTTGGTGTGGTGGGGGGCGATGAGCCGTGCCGTACGTGCGTGTGCATTTGGGTTTTTGTATCACCACCACCTCCACCACCATCATCGTTACCATAATCAACATCACCGTCGTCATCGCCACCGTAATTATCGCCATCGTCGTAATCATCGTCTTGATCACCGAAATCATCGTCGCTACCATTGCTGTTATTACTACCATCCTCACTGTCATCAATGTCACCGTCTTGGTAATCACCATCATCAATACCACCAACATCACCATCATTTCTACCGCCGACATCACCGTCACTACCACTGTCAATGTCACCATCACCGTCATCATCTTCACTACCAATGTCTCAGGCTGTCAACTGGTTAAACATCACCACCACCACCGTCGAGGTCAAGTACACGATCACTGACGAACGGCCGCGGCCCGTGTGCAGGAACCAGCTGAAGGCGAGCTTCCTCATGGCGCTGGAGGGGAAGGATGCTCTGGTGGATGAGCTCAGCACCCAGGTGATAGAAACCAACGCCTACACGGCACCGCCCAGCGTGCTGCAGGCCATCGACGCCGTCAAGTCCGCCGACGTCATCGCTGTAAGCTCCACGCGATTTGGGGGGGGGCCGAGAGCATGTGCGATTGGGGGGGGGGGGGCAGAGTACGCCCTGGTTGGGGGGCCGGCCCGGTGACGGCCTCACCCGCTCTGCTCCCCATTAGGGGCCTGGGGAATGGAACGTACAGTGCACCACTGTAGTCTGCGCTCCGACAACGCGGGAGGAACAGCAAACCGACTCGCTCTGTCCTGAAGCTCTCTCGTCGTGGCGAGCAGCAGCCCGCTTTCATTGGCATTTAGCTCCCGAATTAATTGCCGTTCGCACGAACAGATTAGTGGCTTGGCGAAGAGCAATTCGGAAGGCCGCGTGTGACGAGCCGCCGCGTACACGTTAAGGAGCCCCGGGGTTTGGGATGTGTTCGCTGCCCACTGGGACCTTTGTGTGGTCCCTCGTTGCCTGCACAGTGCTGTTTGACAGGCGTGCACCGGCACTTTGCTTCGAGAGCCACAGATAACAGCTGCGCAGCGGTGGCGGCGGTGGTGGTGGGGGAGTGGTGGTGGTGGGGGGAGTGGTGGTGGTGGGGGGAGTGGTGGTGGATCTCCCTGTGTGCTTCGTGCGCGGCGTCCAGGCCGCCAAGAAGTTTGTGACGGGAAAGAAGACGGTGGCAGCCAGCGGAAATCTGCGCAGCACGCCGTTCGCCGACGAGCTGTGAGGAGGCACCGTCGCTTGCCAGGAACCAGCCGTCACTTCCACCACCGCCGTCGTCACCAGCTGGTCTCCGACATCATAATATCATTTCTATTCCCACCCCGTTTATTTTTTGTCTTTCTCTGGCTTTGCCGGGTGTTTTTTTCCCCCCCTCCACGACAGCGAGTGAGAGGGAAGCGAAGTCCTGTTGTCGTTTTAACCGTTACGCCGGCTCCCATCGCGGTTTTTCGCCGCGCCGTTTCGTTGGCTCGCGCACGCCCGGGGCAGAGCGGGGGGGGGGGACTGTGTTGAGTGGCCCCACGACGTCGTTTGGCGAGCCTCGTACAATGAAATGTGCCGTCGCTGTGCACCTCACGAAATAAAGTTATCGGGGCGCGAGTCCCCCGTGTGACCGCGTTGTTGCCTTGGCTGAGCTGACTTGAGACCTCCGGCCGAGTGAGCTGGGCTCCCTCCCACGCACCGCCCCCCCTCTCACGCGTTGCCCGAGCGAAACTCGCGGCGGCGGCGGTTTGTGCGATCACCGAGCCACTTGGGCATCGGCGCCGACGGCGAGCGTCATGGGTCAGCTGCTGCTCCGATGAGCTTGGCTTGGAGCCAGGGGTTTTTCAGTTAGCTGCTTGCGGGGGGCTAGGGGGTAGGGGGGCTAGGGGGTCTAGGGGGGTGAGGGGAAGGCCGGGGAGGGGCCCAGGCTTGTGAGCCGCCACTTGCAAAAAAGACAAGGCGGGTACGAATTAGTACGTGTCGACGAATTCCAACGTGACGCAGTATACTCCCCCCCCCTCCCCCACCCGGCAATGGTCTTCTTTGGTACAGCCGCTGATGTCCATGCGGAGCCAACGACTGCAATGTCGCACTCGGGCAGTCAAGCCAGTGGAAGATGGCGGCAGCCTCCGCGCGGCACCGCTCCGTTGAGTGGGAAATCGCGACGGATGACGCGGCGACCGAACGTCGATCATGGACCGGTTCTCCAGAGCAACAACAACCACAACAACCACAACAACCCCTCGCAATGAATAATTTATTTAGTATTTTCAAACTTGACGATGACGACAATGGCGGCGGTGGCAGCATCGACGTAGATCTAACAACGCCTTGAAATATCGCCGCACGTCCCCGTGACGGACGCGCGATTGCCATTCAACACCCGGCTCTCCGAGCAGAGCTCGTTTTACTTTCCACCATGTAAAGTTTTTTCGCAGTAGAAAATCCACCAATCCAGTGGTGCCGCCGACAGTCTGACCGTACGTGAATCCACGGGGGGCCGCCGACGACCCGGCAACCGGAGCGTTGCACCGGTCCGAGCCGATTCCCTGCGCCGTTCCGGCGACGGCCGCTGCCGCCCGCCGAGCTCGCGGCGTCCCACGGCACGCCGGTCCACGTCCCGCCCGCCCGCCCGCCTACACCACGGTGTCCTCCTGCCGTTCCGACCCGGCCGCCCCCTCGTCGTCCTCGCCTCGCCGCGGCAGCGGCTGCTGCGCGCCGCCCCTGTCGCTGCCCGTGCCCTGGGCGGCGCCGGCGCGCTTGGGGTACAGCTGCAGGCACAGCCACTCCAGCCTCGCCAGCGCGCCCGCCTTCAGCTGCTCCCACTGGCCGAGCTTCTTGCTTCTCTTTGCGCTCTGCTGCTGCTGCAGCAGAGTTAGCGGCGCTTGCTCGCGCTTGCCGGCACCGGCGGGCGGCTTCTCGGGCTGCAGCCCGTCCAGTCCGAAGAGCGTCCGTTCCGCGCGCCGGCCCAGCTGCTGCTGCTGCTGCTGCCGAAACGTTTGTGTCTTGGAGGTCATCGGCTGCGTCTCCTCCACGGCGGCGCCGCCCGTCCGCTCCGCGCACGCGCACGTGTGCAGCACCACGTCGCTGTGCGGCGCCGGCCCCACCGTCAAGGTGTGGAGCCGCCCGGCTGGGACTGGGTCGGAGGAGGAGGGGGGTGGGGGAGCGGTGAAACGGGGGGACTGCTTCGCTGGAGGGAATCCAACGTAGAGCAGTTGAACAAACGCAGTGCAGTCTGTTCTCCTATAACGCGGTAGGAGTTGTGTTCCTCAAGTTATAATAAATAATATACGGTAAGCGCAGTCGGCGAAAACACGAGATGCGTATGTGGGCTGAACCAAGGTTGTGGTGTGTGGGTTGCATCTAGAAGCATCCAGCAGCATCCCAATGCCTTGTGAGACGCCACGCCGAGGCAGCCGTACCACTGCTTATTCCTTGATTGCGTTATGTCAAATTCTCATCCGTGTTATGAAAATTGCGTTCCCCCATGTTTATTCATCGCGTCGTATCCAACTCGCGTTGTGAAAACACGCGGCGGTGTAGGAGAAACGGACCGTACTTAGAATTCCTTCCGTCTCTCTCGACGCAACGGTACCTTTTAGTCCGTCGACCTATTGGCATTCCACACGCAAATATGCAGCGGCGATTGTTCAAAGCGAGCAAACGCGACTGGTTTTGGCATCTTGATTTAAAGCTTTGCAAGGATTCATATTCTTGGTTCTTTCGGTAAAGTCACGTAGAAGGGAAATAATAAAAGAATATTAATATAAAACTCAAGATGCCAAAACCATATTCTTGGTTCTTTCGGTAAAGTCACGTAAAAGGGAAATAATAAAATAATATTGATATTGTTTTATATCAATATTATTTTATTATTTCCCTTCTACGTGACTTTACCGAAAGAACCAAGAATATGGTTTTGGCATCTTGAGTTTTCGTCGGCGGACGCCCGTCTTGATAGATGCACGCTGCCGGCTTAGCGGATGTTGTTGGCAAGAGCGCTCCACGTAAAGTGATTGTAAACGAAAGGGGTCCGAAGCGATAGCACCCCACAACATCTTTATTTACCTGACTCCAACACGGTGACAACGGCTTACCTGGCACCACAGGGATGTGCTTAGCCGCGTGGTGATGGGGAACCGGATCCGGAACAGGGGCGGGGGTGGCGGTGGTGGCGGTGGTGGTGGCGGTGGTGTTAATGGTGGTGCCGGTGGTGGTGGCGGTGGTGTTAATGGTGGTGGCGGTGGTGGCGGTGGTGGCGGTGCCAGCGGTGGTGGTGGTGGTGGCGGCGGTGGTGGTGGCGGCGGTGGTGGTGGTGGCGGCGGATGTGGCGGTGGCGGTGGTGGTGGTGGTGGCGGCGGCGGTGGTGGCGGCGGTGGTGGTGGTGGTGGCGGTGGTGGTGGCGGCGGTGGTGGTGGTGGTGGTGGCGGTGGTGGCGGCGGTGGTGGTGGTGGTGGCGGTGGTAGTGGCGGCTGTGGTGGTGGCAGCGGCGCCTTTGTTCACGGTGGACTCTGGTGCAGAGTTATCGCTGCTGTGGGTACGAGGAACAGAGACAAGGTGGTGAAACCCCAGATGGGCGCGTTGTGGGGAGGAGGAGGGGCATCTGGTGCGTGGGTGCAGCACACGGGCCAACAAAATGCCTTCCCGTGCCAGTTAGCCAGCCACAAGTACCAGACACCCACTGATCCCGGCCAGACACCCACAAGTACCAGACACCCACTGATCCAGTCCCCACAAGTACCAGACACCTACTGATTCTAGCCAGTCCCCACAAGTACCAGACACCCACTGATTCCAGCCAGACCCCACAAGTACCAGACACCCACTGATTCTAGCCAGTCCCCACAAGTACCAGACACCCACTGATTCCAGCCAGACCCCACAAATACCAGACACCCACTGATTCTAGCCAGTTACAAGTACCAGACACCCACTGATCCTACCCGGTTCCCCACAAGTACCAGACACCCACTGATTCTAGCCAGCTACAAGTACCGGACACACACTGATTCTAGCCAGACCCCACAAATACCAGACACCCACTGATTCTAGCCAGTTACAAGTACCAGACACCCACTGATCCTACCCAGTTCCCCACAAGTACCAGACACCCACTGATTCTAGCCAGCTACAAGTACCGGACACCCGTGCGCGTGCGTACGTCTGGTCTCCGCATGCTGCCGTCGTTGCCATGTGATCACCGCACGCGGTGACCGGCATGCCCTCCCCCCCAGCGACTCTCAGAAGACGACGGAGTTCTCGGTGTGAGTAGCCCAGCCTGGTTTTCTCCCTGCCCCCCCCCGCCACGCGCCTTCAACTTGACCAGCAAGTCTCCTGTAGGGGTGGGCGCACACGCACGCACACACAGACACACGCACGCATACACACACGCATACATACACGCGCATACGCACACACGCGCACGCACACACGCACACACACGCACGCACACGCACACACGTACGCACGCACACACACGCACACACACGCACACACGCACATACACGCATGCACACGCGCACACACGCACGCGCACACACGCACGCACACACATCGGTGAGTGTACTCTTAGTGTGGTGTGCCATTCAATTCCGACGCAATTCCAGGAAAACTCGGCTTTCGCGACCAATATAATCGATAATAAAATCTTGTACTCTGATTGTAAATGTTGTGGCTTGGCTCTCCAACACACCGGTGTGCTGTATGAGTGACGGATTGGCCACGTTTTGTTTACGTGACAACCCTTCCTAGTTGGCTGTGTCGGGTGGTGTGTCTCTCTGTGTGTCTCTGTGTTATCACTCTCTGCTTACGTGTCTGTCTGTGTGTCTCCGTGTCTGTTTTGTCTCTCTCAAATTTAGCAATATTTTGAAGAACGTAATCAACCAGGTAGGGTCTTCTGGTCGAACACCATATGAGACTAGGCTCTAAAGAAAGCTGGCTCTGGTGTGGACCAATCAGTTTTAAAGAATGCATACATTATCAGAGTATTGTTTTTTGTTTGCATTTGACTGCAAGTATTGTGGTTAATGTACGCATGATTCCTTGCAAAAGGTGTCAGTTTTTGTTGCCAGAAAAAAAGGGGAAAAACCCTATTAGTATATTTTGGTACTGGCAAAGGAGGTCCCAAGATGAACCAGGTAGGGTGTTGACTGTTATGTTAGCCGACTCTCTGTGTGTTGTATTGCATTGTATTTCTAAGTTTACTAGGTTTATTCTAGATTTGAAGTTTTCGTGACTGCAATGATCCATACTCTTTGGTTCTTTCGGTAAAGTCACGTAGATGAAAAATAGAAATAATAATAATGAAAATAATAAAATGAAAATAACTAAAATAAATGACGACGTTTCGGGCGCAACACAAGCGTCTGTCATCAGGTGGGAAAGCATGGTCTGCTGCTGAGGCAGACTTTTGTGGATTTTTCTCCGAGCTACTCCGGGTTTTCCCTGAATCAACATGCGTCTTAGAGTATTTGCCTGCTATAGATTTTCACGTGGTAAGCCCACTTCGTTGAGCTATCATTTCTGGCGAGGTCGCTTCGGCAAAAAGAGTTACACAGTTCCAGTGGACCTTGCCTGTTAAAATAAAAACAGTTTCGTTTTTAAAAGTACTTTAGCGCGTGGTTGGCTACGTGCGGTGCGAAAGAAGTTCAACATACTCACCTCTCGTGGGTCGCGTTTGGCCCGTGCGTGTTCCGTGCGTCGTCGCGCCTGCTTACAGCAGCAGCAGCTCTGCCCCTGCACCCCGCTGCACCTGCACAGCCAGGCCCCAAGGCTCGGCAAGCCTCAGGTGGTGCCCCACGCTGCACCAGCTCCTGCCGTCAGCCGGTGCAGAATCTCCCGAAGCAGTCCGTCCTATCGAGCTTCGGCCACCGCTGCGGTGCGGCTCGGCAATGCAGCTCGAACTGTCGGGGTGGTTAGGGTCAGAGATAGCGGGGAGGAGAGGGGGGTTCACAACGATTACAGCTGACACTTGAGCCGAGGTGGGCGGGTGGCTCGGAGGAGAAAACTCTCTTAACCCTCCTTTCCCGTTCCTAGACGTTGGGTGGGCGTCCCATTCGCCGCCGCCGCCGCCGAATCTCGGAATGCCGCGAGCGGTTCGGCATTCAAACATTTTTCAGAGAGCCGCAGGGGACAGCAGCGCCGTCGTTTGTTTTAAAAGACGTCGTTACTCACCGCAGAGAACTGTAGCGACACGACCGCCGCCACCCTACGATAGCCGGCGCAGAAACAGCGCCACGCGGCCACCTCCTGCGTGGCCCTTTTACCGATGTCCGCGTACGTCAATGGAACGGGGGAAAGGTTAAGGGTGTGGACTTGCACAGTTGCGGGGAGCTGACGGCGCGGATGTCTGGGGCAAGGCAGTTCCAGGCGATGGGTGGCAGCAAAGGTAACCGAGTGATCTCCCGACCGAGGAGACGAGGCGAAGGATGACCAAACCTCTAAAACACTAAAATCAGATCGCTCAAATCGTAATACTCGCGGGTGACTCCCGCACCTTTGACTGGGGGTTAACCTCTTTATACTGATGGGTGGACAGAGGCAGTGGGTGGGGCGGGGAGGGATTTAAGGAGCTTGTACCGTTTCAATTGCCACGCCAGGATATTAAATCAGCCAGCCAGCCAGCAAAACTTTGAAAAAATAACGCAGTGAAGGTATCCGTCGTTGGATGATGGTCCAACCCCCCAGCGTCCCTACCTCCCTGCCCCTGGGTGTCCCCCTCGCGTGCGTGACAACCCCTAGCTCCCCCCCCCTCCCACCCAGACGCATATGCCACCAGTCGCCCCCCTACCCACGTACCTCCTCTGCGCGCGCCTACCCCCACGGCCTACCCACGCACCCCGCACCCCGCACTCAGCTGTCTCTCCCCGCCCCCAGCACCCCCGCAGACACGAGCCCCCGCCCGCATGGCCGCCCAGCCAGCCAGAAAAACTTTGAAGAAATAAATAATAGAGGCACCCCCACGATTTTTACGAAAGGGATGCGTTCTTCGATGAAAGAACAAAAAAAAAGACCCGTAAAATGACATTTCGTAAATTGGCACGAATTATCTCGTTAGCTTAATACTAAACATTGGGGATATGTTTGGGACAGTCATTGCAAACGCGACTCCTAACCTAGAAATACACCAGCTATGTAACTTTCTACAATACAAAAAAAGAATAATCCATGGGATATTAAAACGACTGTAAAACATATTATTGGTTCTTTCGGTAAAGTCACGTAGAAGGGAACTAATAAAATAATAAAAATAAAACATAATAAAATAAAATTCTCACGACGTTTCGGCCACAACGCAAGCAGCCGTCCTCAGGTGAAGACCAGGTCTGTCGGGGAGACAGCGAAACAATTTAAAACAATTTAAAATAATTAACCCCAACACCTCCACGGGACACCCGTGACGCAGCCTCCCCGGGTGACCTCTCGTTTGATGATTTCCGGACGCGTCGTGGTCTATGCGTCGTTTGTCGGAATAAAAAAAAAGTCTCCGTGATTTTCCAGTTGTGCTCACGCCGAATTTTCGTTCGGCGTAAGCGCACCGGTTATGTGTCAGTGAATAAAACCCACAACATTTACAATTCGAGTACGGCGTTTTGCCGGTAATTACAACGGGCGTCATCAGGCGGACAGCCAGAGTTGTGGCTGTCTGGCTGATCACGTGACAAACTTCACTCATTGGCTGTGTCGGGTGGTGGCGGGTTTAACGACACATTCGTATTTACGCGATCTAACCCAAAAACCCTCTATCATGAATACATGTGTGTGACGCAGAAGGGATATAACAAAAGAATAAAAATAAAACGTGATAAAATTAAAATTTCACGACGTTTCGGCCACAACGCAAGCAGCCGTCCTCAGGTGAAGAACAGGGCTGTCGGAAAGACAGCGTCCCAGCTCTGTTCTTCACCTGAGGACGGCTGCTTGCGTTGTGGCCGAAACGTCGTGAGAATTTTATTTTATTACGTTATATTTGTATTATTTTATTACTTCCCTTCTACGTGACTTTACCGAAAGAACCAAGAATATGAATCCCTGCAGTCACGAAAGCTTTAAATCTGAACCCGTGTGTGAGTTACAATGTTTCCACTTGCCATTCCTGACGTGACCTGCTCTCAAGATTGTTTAATACGGCTAATTAACATTTTACATTTCGCATTTTATAAGGTCTACTTATTCATAATTTTATATATTTTAGCCCTTTAGTATTACTTATACTTTGTAACGTTAGTATAGTTAGAATGTATACCTCGTATATAAGTTTTTAAGATTCCTACTTGTTAAATGTATGCACCGTCCTGCCATAGTGAATTCCTTGTATGTGCAAACTTACATGGCGATTAAAACCGTTTATGATTCTGATTCTAAAGGCCCCACGGCCCCTCCCAGGTTTGTACGACTCTCCAAGTGCGACGAGACGCGTAACGCCTCCACAGCTCCCCGTGATGATCACCAACATCTTCGTTGTCCACTCGGCTACCCGTGCAAACTGCGTACGGAGTCATCGTACGCGTGCATGTTGAACTTGAATCGCACCCTACTCGAGCTGATCTCGGCAAGGAACGTGAACCATCATCACGCAAGTGTCCTTTGGCTCAGACGTCGAACAAAGACGGCGGCCACCGCGTCGCGTGCTTCAGGACGCGCTTCTCTGGCCGTCTGGAACGCTCTTCCATCCGATACGAGGACGCCGCTGGAGCGGTCCAACTTTGAATTCGTCGAGATTGAAAGCTAATTTCTTTAGAACTGCGTGTTGTTGTTGTCGTTGTTGTTGTGTGTTTAGTGTTGCTGTCCTACACCCCCGCACATCCGATTAGCGCGTTTGGCTACGTACGGTACGAAAGAAGTTCAACGTACATCGGAGGCGCTGGAGGAAGTACAGCAAACGAACACACAACAAACCAACAGCTTTAAAGACCCGAGTTTTCAATCGAGGCTGAAGAACGCACTTCCCCCAGCGCTTGCCAGCCGCCCGATCTCGCCTCGCTCGCCGGCCCCTTCCCTCCCCATCCCCGTGACCTCTCTGTCAGCGGCACAATCCGAGAGACGCGCTCCCCTCTCGACGAGACCGTGACCCGAGCACGACAGCGGCTTGGGACGCGCGCAGCCCGATGCCGTGGCCGTCATCCCGGCGCTGTACCCGGTGAGCGACGCTGCGTCGTGGGTTGTTTGTTTGTTTGTTGTTGTTGTTGTTTACCTTTGCGCGTATTCACACGAGCCTCGGTCCCATCGCCCTCACCGCCAGCGCTCCTCTCGCGCTCTGTGTGCCTACTGTACTCCGTGCGCGGCTTATAGGGTCGCCGCAATTGCCTCATGGTTCAGAGGTCGCCGGTTTGAATCCTAGCCCAGTTCGCTGATAAGGTGGCCGTCGATGTGTGGGGTAGTGGTGGGTGGGGTTGGGGGGGGGCCGTCAAAGTGGTCGTTGGGTTACCACGTGGCCGAGTTTGACCCGACCGCGTTTGGCACGGACGGTCGGTCCATCGGTTGCGATGTTTTGGGTGTTCGGGTGGCCGGCGTTGATTCGTACCCGGATCTCGGTTGCGGTTGACCGCACGGCGTTGATGTTGCAAGCGAGGACTCGAGCACACGATGGACACCGATGTTACCGAACACCTTTCCGATGAGCGCGGTGGGCTTCGTACGGTGCGAAAGAAGTTCAAAACATGTGCATACATCTCTTTCGTCATGGGATGCTCGATAGGCAACTATCGGAAGGGTGGCTACTCTCGTTAAACACTTACATATCCACTCACCCACACACCCAACACACTCACCTACTCCCCACATACCCACCCACCTACTCACCCACCCACTCACCCACTCACCTACACACTCACTCACCCACACACTCACATACCCACCCACCTACTCACCCACTCACCTACACACCCCACCCACTCACCTACAAACCCCAGCCACCCACTCACCCACAAACCCACTCACCTACACACCCCACCCACTCACCCACACGCCTCACCCACTCACCCACCCACCAACTCACCCACTCGCATACCCACCCACCTACTCACCCACTCACATACCTACTCACTCATCCACCCACATAACCACTCACCCACATACCTACTCATCTACATACTCACCCACATAACCGCTCACCCACAAACCCACTCACCCACTCACCCACACACCCACTCACCCACACACCTATTCACTCACCCACTCACTCACCCACAAACCCACTCACCCACAAAACCACTCATTTTCGTCCACCTTGAACTGATCTTCAACTCAAGCCTTCGGACTAATTTTTCATACGAATACGGTTAAAGCATTTTATTGTTTCGTTTTAAAAAAAATCGTGTTCGTTTTGTGTAATCCACCTACTCGTAGCCAACCTGAGCCGACGTCCCACGCATCTCTCTCTCTCGCCCACGCGGTCGTGAATATCGCGGCTGCTTGACTCCGAGCAAGGCAGGGGACGATGGGTCACCGCGCCGAGTCACCCCGCCGAGTCACCCCGAGTCTGAGCTTCGACCGGCAAAACCGTCACCCCCCACCCCCACCCCGCCCCTCTTGTCGTAATCCCAAATTATTGTCAACACTTTGGTGGTGACCGTAAAATCACGCAAAGTCGAAACGTTGCTTCCAAATGAGCGGTGGGGGTAGGGGGATTCTTGCATCGTGGAAATGTTGACAGCCCCGAGGCGTTGGGGGGTGGGGGGCAGGGAGCGGGGGGGGGGAGACCTCCATCCAGCAGTGGAGATAAATCGTAGCCGACTCGGTTTTGAATCGTCGTCTTTAGAGTGCGTCACGCGTCGTGTGTGCGTGCGTGTGTGCCCAGCCACCGCATGTCCAAGCAGCTTCTGTTTGGCCCCATAGAGGGGGCTCAACGGGCGCGGCACGGGCTGGAGAAGATATGGAGCTGATGCGGTACGGGAGGATGTGGAGCTGAGTGGACTTGCCGTTGACTGGTACCAGCAGTGTCAAGATCGGCCTCTGTGGAGGAGGCTCGTGAAGGACGCTGCTACTGGGCAGTTGGAGGCAGTCGCCCTCCAGCAACAACGGAGGGCGGAGGAGCGATGCTTAATTTGCCAACCTCGCCTGTCCACCACATTGGGCGCCGTGGTTGGCGAGATGGTAACTACCTCGCCTGGTGTAGAGGAGGTCGTGGGTTCGATCCCGATCCCGACCCTGACGCCTGTTGCTGCTGTATATTTGCAGTTTGCGAGTCTCTCTCTCTCATCATCAACACGGTGGCTAGGAGATGTTAACTACCTCGCCTGGTCTACAGGAGGTCGTGGGTTCGATCTCGACCTTGACGCCTGCTGCTGTATATTTGGAGTTTTCGTCTCTCTCCGTGGTGAGATGATAACTACCTCGCCTGGTATACAGGAGGTCGTGGGTTCTACCCCGACCCTGACGCCTGCTGCTGCTGCTGTATATTTCGGGTTTGCGTGTCTTGTGGTGCCACAACGACGGGGCCGCTCTGCCGAACCAGGGAGCCGCCCGGCTTCCCCCACCGCACTGCCCCCCATCACCCGCCCCACATAAGCACACACCCGCACGCATCCCCCCCCCCCCATAGAGCTGGAAGGGAAGGTCACCTGATCGACCGGTTTTTATCCGAGAGACCCTTATCGGGATTAATTCTCACGGTTTCCGGCGATCAGGGAATTGGATGACCTCCCCGTGCTACGTGGCACCGCGGCGCTGCGGCCGGCCTTAATATGGTAGGTCGTGGCGTGGGGCATTCGGCCACCGCGGTTGAGGCGCATTTCCCCCCACACACACTCCCACGGGTCGACGGGGCGAGCAGGGGAGGCACGGGACAGCATGAATAGCGGGGTCACAGGGGCTGTTGCGCATAGTCATGGAGGGTTGGGATAATTGCGCTTGAGCGCGCAAGCCCCATTGGTAGGAAGGGTAAGGGAGTAATTAGGATTTACGCCTTGCACGCAGCACACTGATTAGCATATCAACAGCGCCTGGGGACTGCGGTGCGCGGGCTTGGGGTGCACGAGCCCATTGTTCAGCGCAGCATCCCCTTTGGGAGGTAGGGAGGATAAATAGAGGAGCGCAGAGGGGAAATCGCTCTCTTACTCCAGCGCCAGGCGACCAGACGCAGCTCGAGCCAGCGACCCGGACGTCCGTGCGACGCACCGAGGCACGCGGTTAACAGAAGGATCAGCGGACCGCCGTGGACACTTAACAGTGAGTAAGAAGGGGAATTAGAATCATAGCCGATAAATAGGGAATAGGTACAGGTTTAGTGGAATAGGCCAGCCTCGTCGACTCACTGATTCAACATCAATTCGCAGGTGGCATATAATAAATCATTAATAGCGAAGCGTGGTCTCGCGTGATCTTGTCGTGCAGTGTGAGCGTGTGGGTGCGCTGTGTGCACAGTGGTTCGCCACGTGAGTGAGCGCTGCGCGGAGCTGAGCGCGCGGGTTGCGTGTGGGAACGCGTGTGGTACTGTGTGTGCGTAAGCTCGCGGCGTGCGTAATCGGCGTACCCCAGGTGCGCGATTGTAACGTGAGCGGCCAGCGCGGCGCAGAGAAGCGCAAGAGTGAGTGCCGTACAGAGCTGTGTGTGTGGGTGTGCGCGTACGTAATTAACCATGCCTGCTACGCGGACCCGCGGTGGAGTGGAACCCTCGGGCGACGGCTCCCACACCATGGGTGAGGAACTTAGCAGCGGTTCGCTTAGCAGCGGGGGGGCGATTGATGATGCTAGCCCGGCCGTTAGCATTATCGAGGGAGGGATTTCGGGGGCTAGCGACCCCCACAAATTGGTGTCGGAAGCGGTACGGACCCCCGCGTTACCTCACGCTAAAATAAGACTAATATTTACCGGCCGGGGGGCCCCTTCGTGGAAGGCATTCGCCCGCAATCTCTTAGGGGCCAAGGAAATTAATGGATGGACGGACGCGCAGGCAGTACGTCAACTTAATATGAATCTTGATGGGCGGGCAGCCGATTTTGTAGAAGCGTTACCCGCGAGCGCACAGACACAGCTAGAGGAGCTGATGCGCCGACTCGATCAGCGGTTTGGCACGCGTGACGAGGAGGAAGCAAAATCGGCCTTAGAGGCGCGCCGGCGCCAACCTGGCGAAGATCTACGTGATTACGCCGAGGATGTGCGCGAGTTAACAAAGATCGCACGCCCGGGGTACGCAACTGATGTTATTGAGGAACTGGCCGCCGAGAAAATCCAGCGGTACCTGTCTCGCACGGCGTGGTGGCAGCCAGACATGAGCTGCCCACGTCTTCCCTTTAACGCCCTTGTCGAGCGCGCACGTAAGTGTGAAAGAATTCACAGCGAACGCGCGCAGCTCCGGGGGCTGGGACGAGAGCGCGCCATTGCGAGCCTGCTCTCGGAAGACGAGGAGGAGGAACAGGAGCTCGCGAGGACGGTAAGGGGCCGGGAAAGAGAGCCTCCAGTGTCCCGCGAGACAACTCCGGGATGGGTTGCCGGTATACAAACGGGTATAAAGGATGTCTCCGGCCAGGTAACCCAGATAGACAACAAGGTAAACCAAGTAGGTGAGAGGGTAACCCAGGTACGCGAGGAAACGAATAAAAATATGACCCAACTGCAATCCTCCGTTGAGACCATCCAATCCGAAATGGGGGACCTACGCGCCACGGTGGGAGGGTTATCTGGGAGGGTAGCCCGACTAGAGGCAGAGGGTGGACAGCGGCGTAATGGGGGGGGAGGGAGCGGACAGGGGACCCGCTACGGAACCGCCCCCCCTCCCCGGGCATGTTATATGTGCGATCGCCGAGGGCATCTAGTGAGAGACTGTCCTGAAATCACCCGAGCTAGGCAGGCGCGGGGGTTAAACTCCAACGCCTCCTAGTGAGCGGACCAACTAGGGGTGCAATCGACGCGGTCCCGATACAAATGGACGATAATGAGAATAATGGCGAGCGAGTGATCTCCACACAGGTTCCAGCAACAACGCCCACGGAAACGGTGACTCCCGGCGACTGGCTGCGGGAGCTGGTGGCGGGGATCACGGGGGCCACGTCGCTGGTGGAAGGGGAGGTAAACGGAGTGCGTACCCGCATCCTACTGGACACGGGGGCGGTGGCCTCGCTCGTGAGCGCAGCGCACTGCAGCGCGATCGGGGTCGACGTGCGTCACCTGCAGGCACCGGACCGCGCGCTGCACACTGCGAGCGGAGCCGGAATGGGGCTGCTGGGGAGAGCCACCCTAGAGGTCCGCATAGGCAGTCAGGTGTGCACGCAGGAGTTCTACGTGTCGAGTGCGTTGTGTCACGAGTGTATCGCAGGTACCGACCTCTTAGAACGGCTGGGACTCAACGTGCAACCCCGCCAGCGATGCGCCACCATGGAGAGCAACGGCGAGCGGATACCATTCTTGGGACGAGAACCGACGCGCCCCCGCTTCGCACCTGTGGCCGCTATCCTGGCGACGGCAGTCACCATCGGCCCGCTCACCGAGATGCTGGTGCCGGTGGCAACATCCCCCATCGACCCCGCGCTCCGACCATCAGGAGAGGTAATGCTAACTCCTCACCCGGAGTTGGCAAAACGGTATGGGTTAGTGGGATCCGCCACATTGGTAAACGCAGATGGGGACCGATTGTTTATGCGGATGTTTAACCCCCACAATACCCCAGCGATACTGCGACGGCGCACCCCAATAGCCACCGTACACCCCCTGCACGCACGCCACTCTAACGACTCGGTGTTCGCACTCTGGGCTGAGGACCCCGGGCGTCCTGAGGGTGACCAGGACCTGGCCTGGCGAGTCGGCCCGACTCCCCGAGCCGAGGTCGTTCCCCTGCTCGACGCGTTACATGTTCCATGGGCGGATTTACCTAAGGGAGAGGCCGATCGGTTGCGCGAGTTACTGCGGGAGTATGCCGACGTGTTCAGCGAACACGACTCGGACGTGGGTCGGACCGACCTTGTTAAGCATCAAATTGACACCGGTGCAGCCCGACCCATCAAACTCCCTGCGTACCGAGTGGGCGCACCCGAACGCGTCCAAATCAAAGAGGCAGTTGGGGACATGCTTCGCGATAACATAATTCAGCCCTCGGCGAGCCCCTGGTCAGCCCCGGTGGTACTAGTAACGAAAAAGGATGGGTCAACCCGATTCTGCGTCGATTACCGTAAACTAAACGCAGTCACGCTCGGCGATGCCTTCCCCATACCTCGCATCGACGACACCTTCGACAGTCTCGCAGGAGCGCGGTATTTTTCCACCCTCGATCTGGCGTCCGGTTACTGGCAGGTGGAGATGACGGAGGAGGATCGGCCAAAAACAGCATTCACCACCCCGATGGGCCTGTTTGAGTTTCGAGTGTTGCCGTTCGGACTCACTAACGCGCCCGCGACGTTCCAGCGGTTGATGGAGTTGGTGATGCGGGGCTTGCAGTGGGAACAGTGCCTGATTTACTTGGACGATGTGATAGTGTTCAGTAGATCTTTGTCTGAGCATTGGTCCAGGCTTCGAGAGGTGTTCCAGCGGCTGCGA